TTATAATAATGAAGTTTCTCTCTCGCGATTTGAATCCAGTTGGTACTAGTCAGCAACTCAGCATGGATCTCGGGGCACATGACCTTGATCCAATGAACAGCGAGGACTGTACTAGAAGTCACGAGGAACCCTTATTTGTTTACCTTGTTTCAAATCCAGTGGGCTAGCTGATCATTCAGAAAGAGCTTAGAAGAAGAGTTGTTGAGACTCCAAGAAAGATTACATCGTGATCTTCTGAGAATATGGTCTGTGCTATCTACTTAATTATTGTAAACAAGTGATCATTTTTTCATGCAGTATTTAATTCTGCAAGAACGTGTAGTCGTTTCCCTCCACCCATTGGCCATTGATTTTTTCGGTGTGAATGAACGAGAAAGCAAACCATAATTAACAATGCTATTAAAATTTAATTTATTGACATAATTTATTGATCTAATTTATTGTGACATTCGAATTGACTGTAGATCTCATCAAACATTAAAACTTAGTGTTAATTCAATGATTTCTATAAAACTATATTATTATGTCAATAAATTTGATCAAATTTTTAGAACCAAATAGTATTACTTTGAGTTAATAAAAAGGTACTAGGTACACTAAGCATGCATCGATTTTACGATAACAACTTCTATGTTTAGGTGTTTTTGTCCATCCATTCCTTGTTCGTTGGGTTGGTTCATTCAAAGGCAAAAGAGGAAGGGTTGCCAACAGTCAGATTAAGCCTGGAGGCAAGAAGTCATTTTGCTTAGTCGAGAGTAGCATAAATTGATTTAAAATTCGGTCTGAATTTGATCTATTGAAAGGATTACCTTTGTTTAGAAATGGCATTGGATTGAGGAAAAGTGAGTATTCGTTCAAATTCGCCCCGTTTGGACTTTAGACGGTAGATATATATAAAAATACTCATATACAAAAATAGAGACAAGGATGAACTGAAACTTATCACCGTCCCACCCCACAAAACCTGTAATACATATATATATATATATCACAAAGAGACAAACTCTATCCACTCACTCACCCACTTATTAATACATATATATAATATCTCAAACCCCACCTATCCACACAGTCTTTCTTTTTACCCAAAAAAAAAAATAATTTTACTTTTTCTTTTAATTTTTTGAACCATTTGTTATATAACGAGGTTTCATCTTTCTTGTATAACCATTTGTGAGGTTTTATTGTATTTTTTTTCAATTTTTTTCTTAAAATTATAAAAATTAATTATTACGAACGGTGGCGAACACCAAAATAGAGATGAGGATCAAAATTTATTTGCGGGCGACAACAGAGATTAAAATTTTCTCCGCTAATAAAAATACACCGAAAATAGACGAATATTTTTAAAACGGGTCTAGACTAAAGAGTATCCCCTTGCCCTAATTTTGTTCGGTTGGGCTCTAGTAGTACAATAATTATATTAACAACCATATATGTCATCTGACTGGCTGGGTGAGATTAAAGTCTTTACTTATAAAAGTTGGTAGTTGTGATTGAAAATGTAATGCAAGTTGCATTTTCGATACAGCAGTAAATGATTTTAAGCCTGACACTTCAATCAGACTGGTTCTGCTGAATTAATAACGATATAGTAATGCATGCTACATCACAAGGAAAAAAAAAAAAACTAACCTCGACTCGAGGAGAAGTGTGATTTATCTAAAAATTCTGGATCATAAATGAATTCGAGTACCATTCTAATCACCACTTTCCTGCACCTTTTCTTTTAGGCTATCCCAAAGAATTGAATGACTAAAGTGGTGTGAAACCTCTACAAAGAAAGAGCTCTTTTGGTGTTTTTTAATGTACTGTTGCAAAGCAAATGGAGGTGAAAATTGTCTGGAATATTGGGGTTCCTTCCAACCCACCTTACGCTTAATTTTTCTTAAATGCCCGATCGCCCATTGTATAGTGATAGAGAACGTAGATAGATATAATAGAATCGACTTAAATTTCTCTGATTGATGTACACACTTACCATTGAGAGAAATTAGAACAAAGTATCTCGCCGAGGATAATTCTTACATCCTATATTTGTAGTACAAAAAAAAAGCCCATAATCTTTTCTTGTTTATGTTTCTGTCTTCTAAGATAGTTAGAAAAATATAAAGGAAAATGGCACTTTTTCCCCCAAAAGATTAAAAAAAATTCAATTTATACCACCAAAGATCGATCATTCCAAATTGCACCTGTTGCATCAGATTAGAGGTTTTGTAATTTCTTGGCGTGGAAGGTTTTGTAGATCTCATTTGGGCTGGGTCATGTTCATTCAAGACTTTCTTGGCCAATTTTTGGTAAACCCATTACAATGTGATAGAATTTGGGTTAACCTTTAGTGCTGGAGTCACACATGTAGCCCCAACAAAACTAACCCTTACAAGTCCAATTACCATGCTCAGCCCAAGCCATCCAATAGTCTAAAATCCAAATTAGCTTAAAGGCCGACCTTCTACCAAAGGCAACTCCATGTATGCCCCTAGATTTTTAACTTAGTACCAAATCCTTCCTTTGCCTTCAATTTGATGGATCCCTGCAAGTTTTTTTTTTTATTATTATTATTACTTTCATCATGGTTAAAATATTACTATAATTGTAATATTTAATGTACGAGAAAAAAATTTTGCACTTGATATTGATAATGATGATATGGATTTTGTGTGTTTAATTTGTGAGAGAAACAAACAAAGTGCACATCTTCCTATAAAACAAACAAATTGTTAGGGACTCGGGGTTGGTCGATTGAAGGCATTTTTGATATTTAAGTTAATAAGGGTCCAAAATTAAGCACACAGATTGCAGGGAAAGAAGTTCTACCTTAAGCTCATATGGTATGTATTTGATTGTGTCTTGACCTAGTCAGACTTAGAATCTTTACAGGAGTAAGGTGGCACATCCTGAACCTAACCAAATTCTTGTCAATTTGGTTTGTAGTCCAATTTGACTTTCAATCTTAATGATCGATTGTTGTAGGTCACGTGTTTAAAATTTGTACTTTATCAATACCAGTGTCTTATATTTTTAACAGAATTAGGATTTTAGGGAGAGCTTAGCTATCAATTCTATTTGGGTAGGGCGATGTCACTAGAGGATAGAGTTAAACTCTTATTCAAATTTTTATCTTATAGGATCTCTTTCTGAACATACTTTATTAGGCTATGTTTAACACACACCTCCCTACTTTCAATTAATTTTTATAATTAGTCTCGTACAAGATTAACAATTGAGTGTGTGACAAGGTGTAATTAATGGACAATAAAATAGAGCAATCAATGACAATACAGTAAATATCGGGTCAACACACAGATATATAGTAGTTCGATTCTGTCTGGGTGACCTACTTTACTTTCGAGAAACGATAACGGCGACCGGAGGTCTTTATTTAGGAATAAAAAATTCTGAGAAATATATGCTCCAAGAAAGGTACAATAACTATGAGAGAGAAACTATGTGTGTAGATGTAGAGGTGTGCTAAGGCGTGTTGAGAGATGTGTCTCTCCAATACAATTTATAAGTATGATGAGGCGGTGATACGAGTGTAAGGGTACTACTTTTTTAGGAGATGATAGTTACAAAAGGTAAGTACAATTAAGGTAGGATTAATTTTCGTGAGTATGTATTCCGATAATCTCTCTCCCACGTGCTCTTATCTTCCCGAGTTCCTTAGATCTTGGACTGAGTCGGATTAATAAAGCGGAATTGGACTGTCTTTTAACTGATTTGGGCTTGCTTAATTTATTGTGTCTGATCCAATTAAATTTAGACTCATCAAAGTCTTTTGTCAATCTACTCGGCTTAACTTAAATCTATTTGATCAAACTTTTATTTAGTCAATCATAATAGAGTTACTTTAAATAATTTAAATTCTTTTCAACACGTGCTAATTGATACGAGTCCACATCTAATTATGATTAGAGATTTTGTACTCCATCATTTATTCCTAGAACGCGTTAAGTCGCGTGACGACGCTGGATGACATTCCTTATCATTCCTTTTATTTGATGCTCTACATTATTTCTTATGAAAAGGCACTTTCTGTGTCTTGGCAATGAGAGAAACGGTCATTTGCATTAAATGACACCTCTTGCAATACTTCAGTCATTGCTTCTTGGCGCCCTTTCCCCTTTATTTAAAGGGTCTTTTTCTTCATTTTTTTTTTTGTGGCTATTGTTGAGACATTCAAGCTTCTGCACCTGCAGAATTTCTGTAAGTGCTCTTTGACGAAAAATAGGTGCTTTTAGAGTTAAATATTTCATTCCTAATAATGTAAATGAAGACATATTCATCTACGATATCAGTGTTCCAAAAGAGGGTGAACCTTTGATAGGGTTTAGGAGATATATCCTCATTCTTATTAAAGCCACTTTAAAGAGTATGGTTAAGTTTCTTTTTCACTCTTTTTAGGGTTTTACATGCATTAAAGCTTTGCCCCCTCAATGGTTCCCTAATTTCTTTATATAGTCATGGGAGTAACAATCTTGAACAATCTATTATGTATAAACCTCGATTTTTGGTATATCATCTAGTATTATATAGTCATACCTACTTCCGAGAAGAACTATTACTTTAGAGTGAAAAATAAATCACTATTTAGTCACCTATTTTCCCACTATTTAGTCACCCATCTTCACGGCTCGAATAATGGTCATGAAGAAGATGTCTTATTTGTCTTGGGCAATTGGGAAATTAGGGAGGGCAAGGAGCCTAACTATAATTGTCCTACGAAGAAGGCTCTTTTTTTTTTTTTTTTTTTTATTTTGTCTTTTCTTTTTATTCTTCTAATAAAAGCAACTTGGAACCTTTTGCAGGGGAAATCGACAGAAGAAAAATCTCTGAGCCAAGGGTGAATTTTCAAGATTTACAAAAGGTCTAGTCGTTTAGTGCTCAAGAGGTCTAGTGCCAAGTTGCTCACGTCATGCTCGGTTACGAGCCTGCCTATTATTCCTTCAACGCGTTCCTCCTACAACTGAAGCATCTCTTGCTGAATGCAGAAGAGAGAGATGGAAAGAGGAAGGAGTCCTACAGTTGGGGCCAAAGAGCTTACTACTTCAACACTGCCGAGGAAATCCAAGAAAAGAGAAATGGAAAGAGGAAGAGTCCCGACCAACTTCACTGATCTGGTGTTGGAGAGGATTCGGGTTCTAGAATTACACTTGAGCATGAGCCGACCAGCGAAGCTCCTGTTGAAATCAGACCAATCGAGCCACCAACTAGCGAGCCAACAGACACTGAGCCAACGCTGCCTTTATCCCATAATACGGCAAGATTTGATTAGTCCCCTATCAAGGAAGAGTCACAGGTAGATTTTGACCATGAAGAGGAAGGCCCAGGTCGGATCCAATGAGTATTGAATTTATAAGTTTCAAATATTAAAATTTTCGTATTGCATGTATCAAAAATATTATAATGTGATAATTATATTAACTTTCGTTTTTTTTTTAAAAATTCACACCGAAAAATGAAAAACTAATATTATAATATTTTTAATACATGAAAAGTACTTTATGAAAATTTTATTTTTTAAACATATATGGTAAAAATTTTGAAAATTTTTAAAATACAAAATGCAATTCGCCCAAGTTAAAATTTACCGTTGAGTAATAAACGGTCAGTCCAGTTTTATCCCACTAAATATGCAATTCAAAATTCAAAATTCAAACTCAATCCCATTGCCAAACAGTCCAGTTTCAAACGGCTAGCCACTCCGAGACCCTTGTGCCGCAGATCAGTCCCACTCTCTTCTATATCTAACCCTTCCCTTTCTCAACCTCTAACCCTAACTTCTAATCTTCCCCAACTCTCGAATCATTATTTTTCAATCTCTCTTAAACGCACAAACAGTTTCTACACAAACCCACAAGCCAAAAATGAGGGAGTGCATTTCAATCCACATTGGTCAAGCTGGCATTCAGGTTGGAAACTCCTGTTGGGAGCTCTATTGCCTGGAACATGGAATTCAGGTACAACTATCAAAGAACCCATTTTGCTAAAGCTGCCTTTTTCTTGAATTATTTGGTCATTAATTTTGTTTGCTTTCTGTATGGTGGTTGTGGTGTGTAGCCTGATGGGCAAATGCCCGGAGACAAGACTGTTGGTGGAGGAGACGATGCTTTCAACACCTTTTTCAGTGAAACCAGGGCCGGAAAACATGTCCCTCGAGCGGTTTTCCTTGATCTCGAGCCCACTGTCATCGACGAGGTTCGGACTGGTACTTACCGTCAGTTGTTTCACCCCGAACAACTCATTAGCGGCAAGGAAGATGCGGCCAACAATTTTGCTCGAGGGCATTATACGAGTAAGAAACTCCAAACAAATTCCCCTCGTTTAGGTTCTACTGTATGCTTTATACTTTGATATCTCATTAATTTCAGTGTTCTATTGAATTGCTTTAAGGGTTTGTTGAATTTCTGATGCAGTTCGAAATGCTTCATTCTCTTGTGTTCTTGCACATGGTTAGTAATTAGGCTTGTCAATAATGTTGGGTGTCGCAGGTTCCTATCGCGTTTTAGTGGGTTTGTGTCAAAAAATATTCCACTTATACTCAACATGTTTATTAATTTATGTCTGACGAATCGTGTTATATCGGATTCATGTCATATATAAACTATTTATAACTGATACATAAATGAGTTGTGTCATGCATTTCTTTTGATTGACTTAATTATACCCAATTTATTTATTAATCGTGTTATGTTAGGTCTACTCGTTAGTGAAGGGGGTGGTTTAATGGAAACTCAAATACTTTAATTTCGTGTCGTATTCGTAATCGTGTTGTGTCATATTTTTGCACCCTTATTAATTAATTAGGCCATTTAGTGAAAATATGGGGAGGCCTTCAATTGATGATGAACCATTTTCATATTATAACACGTTTGAATGCTTGCTTACAGTTGGCAAAGAGATTGTGGATTTGTGCCTTGACCGCATAAGGAAGCTTGCAGACAACTGCACAGGCCTGCAGGGTTTCTTGGTTTTCCATGCTGTAGGTGGTGGAACTGGCTCTGGGCTTGGCTCTCTGCTGCTTGAAAGGCTTTCAGTTGACTATGGCAAAAAATCAAAGCTAGGCTTCACTGTTTATCCCTCTCCTCAGGTCTCAACCTCTGTTGTTGAACCTTACAACAGTGTTTTGTCCACTCATTCTCTTCTTGAGCACACTGACGTTGCAATACTTCTTGACAACGAGGCCATCTACGACATTTGCAGGAGATCACTAGACATTGAAAGGCCTAGTTATACCAATCTCAACAGACTCGTGTCTCAGGTATGCCAACAGTTAAACTTGAAAAATGGTTTACGTTGTCCGTTTGTTTTCCTTAATTGTGATTCCTTTGTGTATTGATTCCAGCAGAAGTGATCATAGGCTGTTTTTTCCTTCTTTTTCAAGACAAAAGTCACATAATGAGCTCCTACCCATATTCATTTGGTAGTGGGTCTGTGTATGATTTGTGTCTCACAGTATATATTACCAACCTAGTTTGGTTGCGCTTTTCTCCTAATTATAACAAGTGAGTGTCGTTACATTCCAGTGCTGGACACCTCATTCGAGTTGTGAATTAAGGACATATTTGAAATGTCTTCATAACGCTTTAATGGAATCTATAATATAAAATATGACAAACTTTAATAAACCCATTTGACGGTTTCAAATAAACTCATCCAACGACCGTCAACATTTCTCTCAAACATTCACATTGAATTTTACTCCTAGGTAGATATAATAGCAAATGGCTTACCTGAATTAGGCTAGAGTGGTAAATAACCAGATGGAATAAACCATGATTTTCTAGTTCTGTGATGTGTGGCTTCTAATCTGAAGTTGCTCTTTTTTTGCAGGTTATTTCCTCTTTAACAGCCTCTCTTCGCTTTGATGGTGCTCTCAATGTGGACGTTACTGAATTTCAGACCAACCTGGTGCCTTACCCACGTATCCATTTCATGCTCTCTTCCTATGCACCTGTGATATCTGCAGAAAAAGCATATCATGAGCAACTTTCAGTTGCAGAAATAACCAACAGTGCTTTTGAGCCATCCTCAATGATGGCAAAATGTGACCCTAGACATGGGAAATACATGGCCTGCTGTCTGATGTACCGTGGTGATGTGGTGCCAAAGGATGTGAATGCAGCAGTGGCCACAATCAAAACAAAGAGGACTATTCAGTTTGTGGATTGGTGCCCAACTGGATTCAAGTGTGGAATCAACTATCAACCGCCAACAGTCGTTCCTGGTGGGGACTTGGCCAAGGTCCAGAGGGCTGTTTGCATGATTTCCAACTCCACAAGTGTTGCTGAAGTGTTCTCAAGGATTGATCACAAGTTTGATCTCATGTATGCAAAACGTGCATTTGTGCACTGGTATGTTGGTGAGGGAATGGAAGAAGGGGAGTTCTCAGAAGCTCGTGAGGATCTGGCGGCTTTGGAGAAGGATTATGAAGAAGTTGGGGCAGAAGGAGTTGAAGAGGAAGATGATGATGAGTACTAGGTAGAAATCCAAGCCCTTAGCCTTTAACAACTAAACACCAATGGGCTCATTGGTATGCAATGGGCAATCTGATTTTGTTTTTGTAGCTTGTTGAATGGAAAACTTAGTTTTGCTTTGACTTAATGTATGGCTTACTAATCCTAATAGTAACTTTTCTCCTTCAGATGTAGCCTTAATCCTAATGTAGACTCTTGTTATCCCTATTCTTCAAAAATCTTTTCTCCTTCTGATGCAAATCTGATTTGGTCAGTTAAGTGAAGGAAATGCTGTAGCAGTTTGATTTTGATGTCAACTTGCTGGCCATATGGCTATTGCATAACATATGATTTAATTTCATGACATACTATGTTTGATCGATTGTTTTTGACTTGTATATATCAACCAGTGCAATTTGGGACAATTGTATGATGTGAACTAGAAATGTTCACATCAATGCAAAGTTGGATACAAAATGTTATCATCAGTACTGCAAATTGGGACATATCAAGCATATTAATCATTTTTGGTGTGAAGAGCTTTTATGGTCAGCAAAATTCAGCTATGATTTCCTTTGTGATGGTAACTCTATGAACCCCTTTTTGAAGTTGCGTTACTGCAAATTGGGACATATCAAGCATATTAATCATTTTTGGTGTGAAGAGCTTTTATGGTCAGCAAAATTCAGCTATGATTTCCTTTGTGATGGTAACTCTATGAACCCCTTCTTGAAGTTGCGTTTCACAATGATTGATCAGGTCATGATGGAGTAGTGGTTGAAGTGTTGACAATGAGAAACTGTTGATTTTGCAACTTGTTTCGATTATTTTTTGCAATTGTTAAAAGGTTGTCGTAATACATCAAAGTGATGATGATCCAGTTGGTTGTGATAAATCTTTCCAGTTTTTTTTAGTACAGCACAAGCAAACATGTTTGCACTTCAATGTGGATATATAGTTCAGCGAAACTGTGAATTAAATTGGGTTGTAATATGAAATTAGAAGTTATTTCCATCATAAAGGCAATAGAAAACCACTACTGCCTCTCATTTACTTCTTCCAAACCGCACCATAGATGAGAACCCTTTGATCTGGATAGGACCATTTTAAAAGTTTGCATTTTTTGGAAGCAACATATAATGTGACAGAAGAGACAAATATATGTCGTAGTTATTTTCAAGATTATTGGATGAAGACAGTTAGATGACGATGAAAGGAAGTTTTGGAAGGGAGGAATGAGCAACAGTTGTATTAATATATCAAAGATGTACATTACTTGTTGGACACAGATAAATAATTGAGTTTAGCTTATCACAACAGCACTCTAATGTTGGTGGTTGACACAAAGTTGCAGAAATGAAGTTAGGATTGGCACAGCACAAGCAGACTTGTTTAAGCATTAATGTTGGTTTTGTTTTGGATTTGCTGGATTAGTAGCGATTAATGTTGCTTGATTGTGGGGCAAAACATCCCAAAGTTGGCGTTAATACAGCACAAGCAGACTTGCATAAACTTCAATGCTAAACAGTAACATGGGTCTTGCATTATGTTTTGGTTTGCGCATCAAATCCGACACTGCCTTTTGAGCTGAAGAAGTAATCTTGTGCGCTCTGTATTTTTCTGTTTCGTTTTAGTGTTTATTCACGACCTCGTGCATAGCAGACAGAAATTCTCTTTCAAAGGAGTCAATACACCTTTTCAATCAAGTTAAGGGTGGTATCTTGTTATTTTACTCACCGACAAATTTTTTTGTATGTTGTGTTATAATCGAATAGAGCTTGAGCGCATCAAGCTGGGCTACAGATTGCTTGGGCTCGACTTGAATATTGAGTTCAATTATTTAACAAGTCCAAATTCTTATCAGAATAACGTATAGTCTCCACTGGACAATCCATGTGTGACTATGAGAATCTGATTTCAGTGCTGGCACTGGAAAAGTCAAGTTCTAATAAGTGTTGCAGGGCATCCACAGCTGCAGAAACTGAGCTTGCCCATTAGCTGTTTCACCTAAAATGGCTACAATCCAAAACACAAAAAGACTGACGCCATCATTAATAGGGCTTGCTCTTTCTCTTAGATTGAGATATCAACCACTTGTAGTGTTCAGTTTTGTACCATTTCTTGTGATTACTTTCACATGGATAGAGCTGGTTATTTGAGTCTGGTCTAAGCTATTGGTTCAACTCTGGTACCGAAAAATTACTTATATTTTTCGTCACTCAAAGCATGACATGGTGAAGTTTTTATATTGTATTATTTTCAAGATCAATGGTTACAAAATGAGTTTTCCCTTTTATTAAATCTAAACAATAAAGGTCCCGACAATACAATTAGATCATATGCTACCTCATTTGGACTTAAAGTTTAGCTCTGCAAAATTAGGTGAGGTTTCAGGAGGGGAAAAAGGCATCGAAGAGGGTACCATATTTGCTTCAAGTGGATCTTTTCCTTTAGCATATCTAGCAATTGTGGTATTTTTGACGATCGACATTATATCTTTTTTCTTAAATATTGATTGCGACGTAAACTAGGTATGCATGAGATCACCTATGACTCAAGTCCCATTATGTTAGTTACGGTGTAACTTGCAAGACCCAAATATGGGACCACAAGGTATTAATCATCAAATGCTCATCCTAGCTAGCTACCCTAAAGAACTTAAAAAAGAATATTTATTTATTTATTTATTTTGAATGGACATATGGTTCCTTACAAGGAAAATGAAAAGTTGAGAAACACTAAAAAAATTTATTCCCACAACATTTTTCATGTACTTGTGGGCATATATCCCCCAAAGGTGCATTTAGACACATCTCTATTGAGTTCTACACCAAAGGGAATTTTAAGATACCACAACACTATGATTACTCATTAGATGCTATGCTATGTGTCCTGAAGGACAATATGCTCATTGCAGTACACTAGGCCTACACTGTGGACACAGGCAATCATCTTTCTGAGATGCTATTTGCACCCTAATATCTAATTGTGACATTAGAAGCATATGCATATGCTACATATTATGCTCATATTAAAAGAGGAAATAATTTTTTTTTAATTTATTTATTTTTCTAGTTTATTCGATTTATTGAAAAGTATTCCAAATAATAATGTGTGCAGTTGTAGAAAGAATATGTAGATTTATGTGGTTAACTCAAATCAGAGTGTCTTGTTAGTGTTGTTTTGGGTTCCCCACTTTGAGTAAGGGTATCTTCGGCGTTTATTCGATTTTAAACTCAAATTTAAATTTAAATAAAAAAAATATTCTCTAATTTTATATTCATGCCCTTATAAAATGAAAAGAGATTCAAATTTTTACTCAAATTAAAAGAAACTCAAACATTTATTCAAATTATCAATGATCGAATTTTATTTTGCTTTAAAGATTCGATTGTTATATTTCACCTCCTTTAAATTTAATTTTGTTCTCTTTTATGTATAAACTTATTCATTGCAAACTTTTGTATCAAATAAATTTTTTTACTCAAATATTAATTTAAATCTAATTTTCCAAAACATTTGATATAGGATTCAAACAAACGTTTACATTTGGATAGTAAAGACGAGTTGAGTTTGAAACCTAACAGTTCATTAGGATTAAATAATAAGTGATTTATCTTTCTTAAATATTTAATATTAGTAAAAATAATTTATTTTTAATTAAATAAAAAAATTTAAAATTAATTAAATACGTATAAATTGACGTTAACACATCAAATCGTTCCGTCAAAAACAGAAAGCATGGAATACAATCATCACAAGTTTGCATGGGACCCATGCTGCAGTGCCCTTGAGCCACGTGGCAATCCTCCCCCGGCCCCAAGGGTGGCTTTAGACTTAGAAACTCACAGGGAGAAAGGAAAGGAAAATCTTCCATACCTTAAGGAAAGAGAAGAGAGCGAAAATGGTTCTTCTATTAATCCATCAATAATAATAAAAAAATAAAAAATTGAAAACTCCTATTGGACTGTACCATCGTTCTACAATTATTTTTTGTACGACCCACGAGGACTTATCGTTCCATGGCTGAAGCAATATTTATTTTCTAATAACGGGTAAAACGATGATATTAAAGAATAACTTTATGATACTATAATAAAGAATCTTACAATTTAATTTTATGAGATTAAGATAAAATAGAATTTTTGGGCTCGATGATAATGTTTAATGATCGATCTTAATATTATTGTTTGTCATATTACTAAGAAATTTTTACCATACCCCGATAATTTAAAAAATTATTTTCAAAAAAAAAAGTTGTTCTAAGTTTATTTTCCAAACCTAAACATTTTTAGGCTAAAGACATTGTCCATTAACTTCTCGCAATTTTTAGAACACAATAATTTGACAAACGTTTTTAATTTGATAACGCCAGTTTAAACATGTTTCCACGATACTCAACCTTAACAGAAATCTTTGAAATGTCACTATTCTATCACCATTTCATTGTGCCAGTAGAATTGACATGTTCTAAACATTTTTCGGTTGCATTAACAAATCAGTTGAATTGATGTTTTTAGATTGAAGACGTCAATTGAGCTCATATTTTTCAAAATTATTTGGGTATGAGAATTAAGTTAAAAACTGTTCCTTTTTTAAAAAATAAGTTGTCAAAGTGAATGGGTATGGTAAAATAAAAAAAAAAACATTATTACCAGCATGAGCATAAATAGTTTGTGTACATTATACCTACATAAACGATTTAATTAGTATGTGATTAATAGTTGTTGTGAGTTAAATAAAACTGATAATCGAATTGAGTTTTACGAGTTCAAGCTTTCAAGTTTGTTTGTTTAAATGAGAGTAAAAAATTAATCAAGTTCGATTTGTTTTAAAAACGAATCGAGTTTAAATTAAGTGCAAAACAAACCAAGGATGAGTAATTCAAATATTTTATATACAAATGAATCAAATTTTATAAATTTGAATTAAATTATTTTAACTCATTTTTTAAATAAATATAAAAAATTATTCAAATTCAATTCATTTATTCAAATTAAACTCAGAAGTGAAACCAAGTAACTCGATTGAATTAGGAACGCTAAAGTTAAAACAGCAACAACTGGACGAGTGTCTTTGTCCTTGTATATATTTCCTAAAATGGAAGGCCTTACAAAAGCTTTACTGGGCCGCGGTCATTTTTGAAATGGAAGAAAGTAGTTGGGGGATGATGTTACAACTCATCCCCTTACCAGAGTTACTGACACCAAACATGTGGAGTTACACCAATTATTGATACAATCATGTGGCCTTTGGTTTTTTAATTTATAGCATGGCATTTTTTTTTTTATTAAAGTATAATAATAATTTTATATCTGAATATACAATATAATATATACTATATAATATTAAAATTTTATTAATTTTATAATATTTTTATTTAAAATAATAATTTATTTTTTTTAATCATGCAATTTAAAATTAAAATGAAAAGAAAGGTATATACAAATCGATGAGATTGTTTGATATAAGAGAGTATGTTAAATGTGTTGTCTGATATTAGGGGTCGTACAAAAAAATTGATATTTTTGGATAATTTTTTTTTGTTATATTAATTTTATATCATTAGATCAAAAGAGATAAAAATTTGATTAATCTTGACCATTATTATACTTTTATAAATTAAAAAATTAACTTTTTAAATATAATATTAAATAAATAAATATTTTAATTACACGGTCCCCTTCAATAACCTTTTCAATGTACCCCCTTAAATACTCCTAAACATAGAAAGGAATGAAGATAATATGAACAAAATCGAAGGCTAAGAGTCCAAGCCCAACGCTCAAGATAGACAATGTCCAAGAGTAAATATTGATTGTAAATAAATAATAAAACATCAAGTGAATAAGACAAATTTTATTTGAATAGTTATTTACTTAGAGGGTCTCTAAAATAATGGCTAAAACTTTAATATAGTTAAAATTTAGTTATTCAAAGGTAAAAAAACATGTTCTAACAAAAGATATTCAGAGTATGTACAATATATTATTGTTATAGTGATGCTTTATATTTAAAAGATCACAATAGTATAATGTATAAATAATTTATAATATATTCTCTCTTCTCTTATCATTTCTCGTATAAAACCTTATTATATATGCTTTTACATGTAAGAAGCATTAAAGGTTAAAGTGGAGACCCATTTAAGGATGACCCATGAAGGTCTTTAGAAGTGGGACTTAGACGTGGCTGAAGACAAAATGTCACTCCTGTAAATTTAAGTAGTAATATGAACGAATTGTAAATTTTAACATGTTGAATTCAAATTTTAACCATTTTTTTAGGTTAGACTATCTCTCATGAATATCCTATTCTCGACGTGAATCAATGTCTTTAATTAAATCGAGTAAGAGATTAATCAAAATACATATAAAATATCCCACTGCCCCATACGTATTTAGGGGTGGAATGCCTCCATTCTCATCTCCTCCTTTATGGTTTCGGGGTCTTCTGCTGCAATGAGATATTCATGACGAACACTCTTTTAAACTTTTTCTCCTCTCAAATTCAATTTGGCACTAATTCCTATAAGGCATAACATTGATATTACTTGTTAGTAATTCAACTTCTCAATTGATGAATAGTAACAACCCCTTGAATAAAATATTTTTTAGCTTGGTAAATTCGATCACAACCACGAATTTGGCCTTGGATTTTCTCGTGAATCACAACAATAATTTTATCTCCCTAAGTCTTTATCTTATTGTTGCTCCAAAATTTGTTGTGATCGAAAGAAAAAAAAAATTCTTTTATTAAACACATATTATAGAGAACTACTAAAAAAAAATTCTTTTATTAATTCAATTAAAAGGATTTTGCTGACTGAACAAATAATCTTGATTGCAACAGTAACTGATTTTTAAAACTAATTTAAAACTACTCTTAAAAATGTGTAGATAGTGAGTCTTATTAGAGGTTTAGAACATATCATTTGTCTTCTCCACTATATACTTTTTTATAGTCATTGTCTTTGACGATTTTGTCTCTATCAACGACTATCTGACTGCTAATATTTCATTAATTATTCTTTTTTTTAATATAATTGTGACAGATCATCTCTCACCTTTCTTTAGATTCCTTCACTTGGCATCTTCTTAATATATTCAAATTGTCAAATATCAATACATTGAATATTCCTGAAATTTTATATTTTTAAGTCCAAACATTTTATATATAAGTGAGAGTGATAATTGAAAAAGAGATCACTCTTTTCCATTGCAATTATATTTTTTCTAATTTTCTTTTATTTTTCGTTCCACTTCTCGTCTTTCATAAAAAAGAGCTTAAAACAAATTAAAATATAACTTTGTTCATGATAGTTGTTTATTTATTTTGGGGATAGGAATGTACTATGGATCAGAATTGTGGGGACTACCTCTTTATCATTTCAACCAACTTAAATCCCCAATTAAAGTTCCTTTTATGTACGTAAATTTCTTAGTGGATAACTTGCATAATTTCGAAAATATAGAGGCTAAAAAATGGCATTTGGGCAATATACATGAGCATAGGAGGGAGGATCAAAATTTTGTTTTAAAATGTTCAAAATATTTATGTTTCATAGTAAATCGGAATTAATCAGTGGTGCAATTTAAATTCTAATATTTCGATGTATTTCATAATATTTTTGAGAAGTTTGGTAATGTTTAAATACATTTACATAATTATTTTAGAATATTTTAAGGTATTTTAAGATATTTTGGTATATTTCGACTAATATTTTTAAAAAATTACTCTTAATTTTTTTTTTATTCATTCTATTTTCAAAACGGGTTGAAACGTTTCTAAAATACATCGATATATTTCTATTTCGTAAGTGACTAAAACAATGCACCGAAATAAAATATTGATCCTTGCATAAGAGATAAAACTACACTTGACGTGTCCCACTTGTAATTTTGAAGATTTCATACATTTTTTTTTTTGTGTTTTTTACGTTTTAGGCATTAGCCATTTCATATGGACTATTTCATAGGTATTTACATGGGGTCCGTTTGGAGTTAATTTTTTGGGCGTGAAACGAATGTTTGAAATGAAATAAAAAAGTTAGAGTTAAAAAAGATCTAAGAACTGTTTGGAATATTCTTGAAAAAGTCGATTTTTCTTTGTATAAACATTTTTTTTCAGCTTTTCTTTTTTACTGATAAAAAATTATTTTTTTCGAATAAACAGATGAAAAAGTCATCCAATAAGCTTGGATACAAACGAACCAAACATCTTTTCATCTAAATATTCCAAAAACTGAAATTTTTAGGCAGCTTCAAATAGGTCTATTGTCTATGTACCTTCGCTTATAAATTAGTTCAAACTTGCTTATAGTAATACATGGAGATTTGATAGACATTTTTTTTGATAAATAACACTTTGATCCCTAAAATATTTTGAAATCTCAAATTTGCCTCTATCAAAGATGAATGTCTCACATAGCAACGTACGTAAATTTTTGTGAACCTTTTTATCCCTTTTTGACGTAAATTTGGAAAAATGACTAAAAAGAGGGGGGAAAGGACCAAAATTCTATTAGCCTATTTTTTTTTATTTTTTTTTGTTCAACAGTCAGGGGTGTCTAAACTAACTTACACACACCTCGATTAATTCATTTTTCGATCCGATCAAAGACAGATAATCCACGTTGGGATTAAAGTATTAATGAAAGATAAATTTATTATGACCTGACCCCAATGAATTGTCAAGATTCGAATTCAGGACATTTGAATTTACATCTCGTCTCTATTACCACTTATATTATCCCTTCTCTTCAATTAGCAATTATGTGTTATTGTAACTATTACTTGGACATTACATAAGACTATTTACTTTTTGTATATATAGAAAATTTTATTGCCATGTAGATTCCTTTTAATTCCATAATTATCAAAGAAAGAAGTAAGTTAAGTAGGATTGGTACAAGTGCTTTTGTGCCCTTAATTGATTAGACAGTTTGAGACAATGCTACCCCTTTGCCCATTTGGGAGACGGTTACCTTGTTTGCTGTTATTAGACCCTTTCAAAGTCAACAATATGAACCAACATTATCACAAGTGCCATTATTGAAGGTTGGCACTACATACATAGTGTTGTCTTCTCTTGCATGCCTAATTAGGATATACATATTATGTTACATTAAGAATAATATTTACGTTTAACTCATTTATCAAACGGATTTAAAGAATTTATATAATAATAACCCGAAACAGGTTCTGCATGTCAATTTGGCTATCATCCCAAGCCTATAAGTCTATGTACATATTTAGTAATGTCTGGTTAATGGACCGGATTAAAGACCCGTTTGCCTATATTATTACTTATTTCATCTCTCTTCTTGTACAACTTATTTTATTTTCCTTTAAAAGTTAGATCCAATTAAGGAAAGAAAAAGATTATACCTCATTCTGGGTAAATTTAAGAATTGGTCACAAAAGAGTGAAAAAATTCAACGAGAAAAAAAATATTAATTATGGTACCGAAATACCACTTCTCAGTATTGTACCTCTATTTTTATAAAAACATATTATGTGTAAAAAAATTTGTTTTTTTTAATTATTTTCCAATTTTTTTGATCAATAATTATAGATCATTTGGATCAAAGTTAGCATTATCCAGGGGAAAAAAAATACACACACGAGAAAAGAAAAAAAAAAAGAAAAAGGCAGAGGACACACGGGAAAAGAAAAAGGCGGAGGAAATGCACGAGGAAATGCTACGGAACGCAGAACCGTACGGGAAACGGAAACTCCGCATAGGAAGGGGAAAAAAACAACCCGCAAAAAAGGTAACCGTTTCAGCGTGTGAAAAAACAGCCTAGTTTACACGTGTACAGTAACGGCTGTTAGTGGGTTTCGTTTTACCAGAGGGCCGTCAAATCCTAAACGGCGACTTTACCCACAACCAAACACGCCACTTTGTCTCTCACTATTATCAAGTCTCTAAGCCGTTTTGGGCCCCACCCACCACCTCTCTCCTTTTCCCGTTATATTATTTATTTATATACCTTCCCCTCCTGAATAATAAAAAAAACTTGGATATGGAGGTGGGAATAAATGGAGAGAAAGAAGAGAAAGTGCTTGCAGCTCTGAGATTTGAGATGGCCTGAGCTGTATCTAAAGGGAGAGAGAGAGCACGAGAGAGAGAGAATCAGAAGGGACTAGCAACTGAGGATTGCATATACATGTATATGTATATGGGTATATAATTTCAATCGGCTTTCTTTCTTTTTCGATCTTGTAAGTTCTTAATCTTTTTGTTAACTTTGGGTTTTGGATAGATTTCAGTTTTTTTTTTCATATAGCTGTTTATATATAATTTAGTTCTGTTTTATTTGAGAGAAAAAATAGTGAATAGATGGGGCTAAAATTTGCATTTTGGGGACTGTTTTATATGGATATGGGATCTTTCCTTTCTTTAATTCTTTTTGTAGTAGGAAATTTAGTGATTGTAACTAAATAGGTATGTGATAGATGGGATTAAAGTTTGCATTTTTAAGGACTGTTCTTATATGGGTATAGATCTTTCCTTACATGTGGAATTTCCTTTTCTTCTATTTCTTTGAGTAGTTGGAAATTTAGTGATTGTGGCAAATAATTTATTTGTGTGTGGGTCGCTGGATGGAGTGTGGTGTGTGTGTCTCATTTGCTCTATAATTGTCTTCTTTCTTTTGGTGGCAACCCAGCAGTTTTTTTGGAGGAATTTTCCATTTTAGGGATTTTTAGTGGCTTATGTCCTTTTGATTGAAATTGCTTGGTTGTCATTTTCATACTAATCTTTTTTACATGAGTGAAACTACACACGTAAACTTTCTTATTGGGCTACTGTTAAATTTGGTCACCAAGATAGGCTCTTTTGATCTGCATATTTTTACTAGATGCATACATATTGTAAGCAATTTCATATTCGTTTCTTGTTTGTTTGTTTGTTTCTTTTCTACTTTTTTTTTTTAAATGGAATGTTTATGCCGTCAAATTTGGGCTAGAAGATAGGCTTTTGATCAAATGTGATTTTGATTTTATCCATGTGTATATTCTTTTGCACTACCATCGTTGGAAAATTAATAGTTGAAATATATTATTTCCTTTGCTTTGCTTATAAATTGTATATATGTGCTGTTGATTTTCTTTCTACCATAAAGATCACAATTTTTTTTAGCAGAATTAGGGATTTTTTGTGGGAGTGATTAGGAATCTAATAATAGTTTTAATGTCTTGTGGATTTCAAGATTTGTTTTGATGAGGAAGAAACATGAAGCCTTGTATTTGTTTGTCAGATTACTTAAAAGTTGATCATAACAAGTTCTGGTGTAAAATGAGGGAATGTACAAATCAAATCTGCATATTTTCATCTAGATGCATATAAATTGTTAGCAAATTGCCATGCATGCCTTGTTTCTTTCTTTCTGTTTTAACTGGGATGTTTATGTTATCAAATTTGGTCTAGAAGCTAGGCTGTTGATCAAATGTAGTCTTGTTTCTATGCAGCCATATATTCTTTTGCACCTTTGCTATATTGCAAACTCTGTAAGTAAACTGAGACCACTGAAAAAATAATAGTTGGACGATCTTTGTTTCCTCAGCCTTATCTGTGGTAGCATTTTGTGGTGTTCTTTTGCTTGTAAATTGTATAACTGTGCTGCTGATATTCTTTCTACTTAAAGATCACAGTTTTTAGAAGAATTAATGATTTTCTATTGGGAGTGATTGAGAACCTAAAATATGTATTAACATCTTGTTCATTTCAAGTTTTTTTTTTTTTTTGATGAAGAAGAGACATGAGGCCTTGGATGCATTTGTCAGATTACTTTAAAAGTTGATCATAACAAGTTCTGTTATAAATTGAGAGGATGTACAAATCAGACCGATGGATGCAATACTATTTGTTTCTTCTGTCAAAATTCATTCTGATCTATTTCTGACAGCTTACCTCTAAAAATAAGACAATTTCCTACAGATTTGGATTGTTTCTGTACAACATATTGCAGGAATTGCAAGTGATGAAACGAAAAAGAGAGTTTATAAAAAGTTTTGTCATATTTCATTTAATTTGTTTCAAATCTGTTCCATAAGTTTGTGGTTGAGACTTGAGACTGATTCGGGAATTACTAGTTGCAACATCTTTTTTTCCCTTCAATTTTGTCTCTGGCATTTTGTGCTATTCCTCTGCTTTGTGAATGGGGCGTTCAGATTGTTAATTTTCCTGCTATTTAAGAATCATACTATGTTAGCTGAATTAATGGTGTGTGGTTCGAGTGATTAAAAATCTCAAAAAAAAAATTGCAATGTTGGCTGATTGCTTGTTGGAATTTTTGTTAACAATGAAGATACACGAGGTGTTGCATTCATTGGTTGGCTCAGTGCATTCCTCACCATTTCTGAGAAAATTTTGGCATCATGTTGGAGGGTCCTTCCTATCTTGTCGCCCGGGACTTGCCAAGTGCCTGTGAACAACAGAGCAAGTGGATCTACAATGCGTTTTGTGTTATCGAACTTTCAAATGGTAAGCAATGTCTGGAAGATGAAGAACAGATGATGTGGAGAAAGTCTTCCACACCATTGGATGCCCTTCAGGGAGATGAAACAATGCAGAGTTTTCATGATCTTTCGCTTTCTCAGATGGACCACTCAGATAACCAGCGTCACCAGGGAAATCATTCGGACTCAAGTTCACTGATCTACCAGCTTGGCCGGGACATCTCAATTAATTGCCTACTATGCTGCTCAAGGTCAGATTATGGATTGGTTGCTTCTTTGAATCGGAGCTTTCAGTCTCTAATTCGTACTGGGGAGCTTTATAGGTTGAGAAGGCAGATGGGCATTGTTGAACATTGGATTTACTTCTCATGCAAGCTTCTTGAGTGGGAGGCTTTTGATCCCATCCGCCGTCGATGGATGCATTTGCCTACAATGGATTGTAATGAATGCTTCATGTGTTCGGACAAGGAGTCATTGGCTGTTGGTACTGATCTTCTTGTCTTTGGAAAGGAAATAGATTCACATGTAATCTGCAAATATAGCATATTGACTAACTCGTGGTCCGCTGGTACAAAGACAAACACACCTAGATGTTTGTTTGCATCTGCAAGTCTTGGAGAAATTGCAATTGTAGCCGGTGGTTGTGATTCAGCAGGGAACATCTTGAGCTGTGCAGAGCTTTATAACTCAGAGACTGGAACTTGGGTGACTCTCCCAAGTATGCATAAGCCAAGAAAAATGTGTTCAGGGGTGTTTATGGATGGGAAGTTTTATGTTATTGGGGGAATTGGGGTAGGCAATCCAAGTGAGCTCACATGCGGGGAGGTGTATGATTTGGAGACAAGGACTTGGCATGAGATTTCTGATATGTTCCCTGCACGGAATGGAGGGGCCGGGGAGGCCCCTGCAACTGCCAAGGCACCTCCACTGCTTGCAGTTGTTAAAAATGAGCTGTATGCAGCATATTATGCAGAAAAGGAAGTGAGAAAATATGACAAGGTGAGAAACTCATGGGCTACGGTAGCTAGACTACCAGAACAGGCGACCTCAATGAATGGTTGGGGGTTAGCATTTAGGGCATGTGGAGATCAGCTTATTGTTATAGGTGGACCAAGAGCTTCCTTTGGAGGGATTATAGAGCTTAATTCCTGGGTGCCAGATCAAGGCCCTCCACAGTGGAATTTGCTGGCCAGAAAGCATTCAGGAAGTTTCGTCTATAATTGTGCTGTGATGGGTTGTTGATGCGTCTTATTTTGGTGACGCCCTATCCACTGTATGAGTTCCTTTCTGAATGTGGATTTACAACATTTGCATTTTACAAGGACATGAAATTCAGGCTATTTATCTCTGCCTTTGTTCCTGCAGGGGAAGTTTATTCCTAAACATTCTCATAAAGAGTTCCTCTTGAGACTGTCCAGAATATGCATCTGTGGAACAGGCATAGGTCAATAATTTGAAGCATCAGTTAGGAATATTTACCAGAACCTTTTTTTTTTTTGAAGAATAAATAAAATTCTCTTGTGGTTTTTTGAGTTATTTAAAATGGTTTTTTTTTAATGATTTAGAAGTGGCTCTTTTGTACACATCTTCTATGCCCTATTCGCTTCCATAAGTGTATTTCCTTTATGGGGGGTCTTGTAGATTCTTAGCTTGATAATGCATTCTCTCTATCCCCTTTGCTTATTGTTAATTAGGGGAGAGGGGGATTGGGTATCCACTCCACATGAAATGTGCATAATTACCCTAGTTTTCTTCTCCTCTTTATCACCCATTACTCCCTATCCGAATGGCACTGGACCACCTATAGCCATTACCAGTTCTCTTGATCTCTTTCCACTCCCTTATCTCTCCCTCTCCCTCTCCCTCTCCCTCTCTCTCTCCCTATCTCTCTCCTTTGCAATCATGCACATGGAGTGGACGTGTGCAGGACCCCCTAGTTAATGATAATCTCTATAGTGGTGCATTCTTTTCTGTTTCACTGAACTATCGTGACATGTACGTTGATGTTTTAGTTCCTTCGACGCTTCGTACCCTTGCTCGCATATTAGTGCAGCATTCTTCTTTCTTAGGCCTTAGGTGACTTGAGTTGGATTTCTTCTGGAAGGAAAAAAAAGAAATCTGACTTTTATTTTAATTTAGGTGGATTTTCTCACAAAGATAGCCTGGAACATTCAGCATGCCAAAGAGTTCTTTAGTTCATTGTCTTGTTTGTTTTTATCTATTGCCTATAGGGCCCTTTTGCTCTTTGTTTTCTCTCTTTATTAACCTTGAGCATGACTGGGTAATGCTCCATTATGCTTTTTTCTGTTGCATCTTTGGAGACATTTGATTAACTTGGATTGTTATCATGGTGATCTGTTAATCCTGTGTGAGAGCTTGGATCTGTGTTTTGATGCCACGGAAGAACACTCATATTTCGGATAACATGGTGATGTGTTAAAAGCAAAATAGGATTTGTTGGCAGTAGTGAAGAACACTCTATTGTTAGCTATTTTTGGCAGAAATACACCCTTTTTTATGAGGTGTGTTGATCACCCCCTTCATTAACATTTTGTTCGTTATCTGAGCAAAGAATGATTTGTGTCTAGTTGTTGTACATACTTTATAGTAAGCCTAGCAAAATTCGAAACTTATTAAGTACCTTGTTGACATTGGTAGAACATCGCTTAGGTTCGTATAATCCTCGATTATCATTGTAATGTTGCAATTGCATCTGAGGAATTACAGTTGAGATTCTTGATTACATTTGCTTGTTTTCTCACAATGCTGTGGGTGAAAATGCAAATCCTCCATTCTATCATACTAAAGATAGCCTTGTGGAAAGTTTTTCCTTTAGCCTTTCACCTTCATTCACTCTTTTGCCAAGTGATTTAAGTGCAGATTATGTTCTTTGTCGCGTCACTTGTAAATCCTGTAAACGGCATAGGCTTTCAAACAGCTTAGACACATGCACATGCGAACTAATAAATACATGATTTCATGTTAATGTAATTATATATCTTTTGTACATACCCAAAAAAAAGCTATATATGTTTTGAAGTCAGGAAAATGGGACTTCATTCATACTCGTATGCAGGAAGGTCAATCTTATCATGTAAAACGGATTCGTGTCGGGTTCATTTAAAAAAAATATTTTACTCATACCGATTTGATTATTAATTTATGTCTAACGAATTGTGTCATATTAAGTTTGTGTGGTATATGAATCGTATATAATCAATATATAAACTAATTGTATCGTATATTTTTTTTGATTGGTTTATACACGATTCATTTATTAATTATATTGTATGTGGTCCACTCATTTATTAAACGAAAAGTTTAAGAAAAATCTATATCTTTTAATTTCGTAACGTGTTAATGATTCGTGTCAAACTCCTACCCATATGCGTGTTTATGCATCTCATTGGTGTATAATTTTTCTTTTTCAAAATGTCCACCCTAAAAAACACACATCTATTAAAAGAGAACCTCAAAAGACTTGTGCCGGCCACAATACCGCCAAAAAGTATAGAATTTTTTTGAACAAAGTTAAAAAGAGGGGGCAATTATTGGGTAATAATTTTTTGGGCGTGATTACGAGGATTCTCCTACTATGAAATGTTAAGTTTGAGTCATATCTACAAATTCAGAAGAGCATTCCATCACCACAGCACCGTCAAAATCAAGCAACAAACTGTGTTGTTCTCGTGAATCGAACCCTAGTGGATAACCATATAGAAGTCAAGAACGATCTTAAATAGATACGATTTACCACTAGACTACCAACATAGATTGTACCAAAAAGTATATATTGACCCTAAAACAAAAACGATTCTTATAGGATCACTTCAATTGATTTCCATCACAGATTTAGAGTATAACTTTTAAACACTAGGGTTTAGCATAATATAATGAGCTCCAATTACCAAGTCACTTTTTAGCTCCATGATATATTTCTTAATGCTTACTGCCACGGGCTTTTCTGTCCTTTGTTGCTATACTTATCCCATCACATTGGTATCTACTCAGACTTTATTTATTTATTGTCTTTTCTGAATTTTTAAGTGGTTTTTGGCCTTTCCTTTATAGACCCATTAATAGAGGTAACATTGACCTTATCACTTTGGGATTTTTTTTTCTTACGAATCACTGGGATGTATTAATTCATGCTATTTTTTTGTGAGCAATATTATTTATATCTAATTTATTGACCTAAGAGTATAGATTCTGACTCAAATTTAAATTTTAGTTTAAATTTGATTAAAAAGTTTAATTTGGTATAAAATACTCTAATGAATAAACTTAAACATATATTCAAATCTATATAATAAAGTACAATACAATTCAAATTTTAAAAATAAATAAAATGACTTTTGTTTTTCGCAGTTGAGATCCCTTTAATCCAACGGCTAATATTAACACCTCAATCTTGATAGGAAAAATAGGCTCATAAGAGTGAGTTTAAAGTGACTTTTTAAAAGTGTTTCTAGGTTTTATAATTTCTCATAAATACTTCAACAAAAAAAATAATTTTGAAAATTGTCCCACCCCCATCACCATTACCACTATCATCGCCACCTCACCACCACCACCGCCCTACTACCATCACCACTATTACCACCACTGTCGTCGTCTACCACCACCTCTGCCACAACGACCACCACCACCACTATCACTGCCCCACCACAACTATCACCATCACTACTACCACATCACTGTCTCATTACCACTATTACTACTACCACACTACCCCCACCACTATCATAATCACCACCACCATCGCCACCCACCACCGATTGCTACCACCATCGTCCACCCACCACCATCATTATCTTATTTGTATATTTATTATAATTACCACCGTCACCACCCACTACCACAACCACCACCATCTGTCGTCGCACACCATCGCCTCCAACCACTTTCACTCATCCCTAGCACACTTACCACCATCACCTCTATTCGTCACCACCCATCACACTGTCTTCCAGAAGCACCCGTCGTTGTTCACAACCACCATCGTTACTGTCCACCACTATCGTCACTCCACACCCACCACTATCAACCATTATCACCCACACCCACCACAACAACCGCATTCACCCATGACTGTCACTAACACCATTGTCACCCAAAATCCACTACCACCATCACCGTTGCAATCCACAATCGTCGCCACCTACAATCACCACCAATTCCCACCACCACCACTATTATCGCTTACACTCACTACAATCGATGTTTAAATTTTTATTTTTTTTTATGATTTAATTTTTAGTGTGAATATAAATATATTTATTGTTGACAATTTTTTTTATTACTTCATGTCTTCAGGTACGGGAAATCACTAGTCTTTTAAAAAATATCCTTACTGCCCCAAAGCTCATTTTTTAAAATTTTTTTCCACCAAAACATTTTATCCTCTCTTATTTTCTTGTCTTCATTCCCTCCCCAACAATAGAAAAGAAAAGAAAAGAAAAGACACCCTAATATTAAAACTTATTTCTTACAAAATTTAACAATATTAACCAAAAGAAAAATTAAGAATAACAACCTCTTTGAGTGGTAGATTCATGAGCTTTGAAAATTTTTTAAAATTTTTTGTCTTTAATTCTGTCTAAACCAACTTATATCTAAAGTAATTCCATATGAGAGACGAGAGACGAGAGAATGCAAAGAGAGATGGTGTGGTCGACGATGATGGTATTGACTTTGAAGATAAAGGCAAGAACTATTACCTCTAAAGAGTCTTTTGAATTTGAATAAGATAAAACATTACCATTGAAAATTTGATTAGGATTCGAGTCTCATTCAATTTAGGTTTAAAATAAGTTTTATCTTAATTTGATATAAATTTATTTTTTAGGTCCTTTTGACTCAAATTTAAAATTGAGTTAATTTGGAGATGCTCTAATCACTTATAATTATTGGATTGATAGTAAATCTCAGTATTTATTGAAACCCACAACTAATTCAATGGTCATGATAAATTAGATAACAAATTAACTTCAAATAACTAGTGGTGTCAAAATATTCACAACTTGTTAACACGTTATGAACACAACACAAAATTAGAGAGTTTGAATCTTCTTTAAGCTATCCGTTTCATAAATAAGTGGACCTAATGTGATACAATTAATAAATGAATCGGGTATAGGTAAAATCAATCAAAAAAAATATTTGACACAACTCGTTAATATACCAGATATACACGATTCATATACGACACGAATTCGATTTGACATAATTTATTAAACACGAATTAATAAACAAATCAAATATAGGAGGAAGAGTATTTTTTGACATAAATCTACTAAAACGGAGCCGCCTCACATGACATAATTGAGAGACCCACAAATAACATCATTGTTTCTTTATTTATAAGCTCTAAACTACAATTCTACAAGTCGTTTCCCATGTCATCCGCTCATGATACTTTTAAATATTCTTGGTGGTGTTTACTTATTAGTAGTGTCGTTACCATCCAACGAGATACCATTGGTTTTTCTTCTTTTTATTCTTCTCTCTTTTTTTTTAGTTGAAAGAAACCCACCTAAGAAAGGGATGTAATTGTAGAATAAGGTCATGTTAGTAGTGCCGATCGAGTTGTATTATGATTATATTCAATTCATATTATGTTGAGTTCATGTTTAATAAACCCTAACATGACCCATTTAATTAATTATGTCAAATATTCATGTATTAATCTAACTAGTTGGTGCTTGAATTACAATTCTAAGACTAGGATTCTTTCAATGAAATACACAACCCTTTTATAAACTAAATTTTTAATATTTTCTTAATGTAATGTCAATTAAAAAAGTTTGTCGACAAAAATATATTATTCATGTTTAACATGATTTACTCGATCCGTTTATGATTTGATAGTGAATTTTCTCATTCTTAAATTCATATCATCAATTAGTTAATTATAATCCATTAATTTTATAATGATTGTGAGTCGTGTGGACACACCATTGTAGTCTTTGTAAATGCCTTTTTTATTTTTCTGGGTAAATATTTCCTAATTTTTTTTTATTTTTGGCTCACTACCTGAATTTGGTGCGCCCTTATTGATGATCAACTGTTCTAGTCGGACAGTATATAATTAGGGGTGTCAAAATTAACACGAATACAAAACAAAATTGGAGTGTTTAGATTTTTCTTAAGTTATTCATTTCGTAAACGAGTGGATCCGAACTGATGCGATTAGTAAATAAATTGGATATGAGTAAGACAAATTAAAAAAAAATGCATGACATGATTATTATATGTTGATTGTATACGATTCACACCCGACATAAACTTGATATGACATGATTCATTAGACACAAATTAATAAACGAATATGGGTGAAACATTTTTTGATACGAATACATTCAGACCTGACAATAACTCAGCTCACCCAACACGATTGAAAGACTTATATACCAAAATTTGCGACGTGTCTCATGTTAATCCTCAACGTTATAATTTTAATATATTACTTCCAAACATATTTCATTTGTTTCAACGTTATAATTATATCATATTACTCTCGAATATATTTTATTTATTTTTAAGTGATTTTCACGAATGATGCCTTTTGTATTTTTATTATTAGTTTCTTTCATGTGTCACCCTTTTGTTAAGTGCCACAAATGCTTCGGCCATCTTGAGACCCCAGGCAATTGCAGATCATCGGGCACCTCTTGCCTCCCTTGAATGGCCCAACAACAAACGAACAGACATTTTCGGTTCCTTCTTGTGTCAAAAAGTTAAAAGACAATTTTTCTTGCAGCTTTGAGTTCTCTCGTGGAGGATGTGCTTCTAAAAAATCTATCTTTAAGCGAAATTTTGAGTCCGTTGTATGTTAATCCTTCTTGTTATATGATAGGCATGTAGAAATTATCATACTATTTGGACTTAAAATATAAAATCTTAGGAATATTCAATATTGATATCTGGTAATTTGAATACACTGAAAAAATACCACATGATAGAAATTGAAGAAAGACAGGCATATTTAAAAAGAGGAATAGTTAATTGAAAGGTACCAGTCAAATAACCGTTGATGAAAGTAAAAACTATCGAGGACAATGACTATAACAGGGCATGTAATAGAGAAAATGAAAGATATATTCAAACTCCCACAAAACCCTACGATCTGGACATTTTTAAGAGTAATTTTAGATTAGTTTTAGGAAACAGTTACTACTGCAATCAAGATTATTTATTTAATTTTTTCTGCAACCGAAGCTCCTTTGATTGAATTAATAAAAGAATCATCTTTTATTAGTTCCTTATATTGTACACTTATCCATTAAATTCATCCAAAAAAAACCTGAAACAAAATATTTGAACTCCTCGTAAACAATCACCTGAAAACTGTCTGTTGATTAAAATTTTTCCGTCGAACTCAACAGATTTTGGAGTAACCCATACCCAAATAAGCAATAGGAGCCCTACAAAAGTTTAACTATTGGCCGATAGAATAATAATTCAATCATGACAATAAAAACTAACAATATGTAGTAAAGTATTGTCTTTTTTGTTTAATAGAATGAAGGCATTTTGAACCATCCACCAACAACACCAACCTAAAAGGCATTCCTTGCGAATCTTGATCTCAGCTATATAGTGGATCACAAGGCGGATATGCAAATACAATTATTCGATTCAATGATATTATTATCTAATATATCGTCTAATAGAAAACCATGGCATAAAAATCTGACATGTATACATGTGGCAATGATTAGAGTAAGTTGACTGTGGCAATAATTGAATCATTTGTGTTTCACTATGCACATGTGGCTATTTGTTGTTAGATAGTGATACCAATACGATATGACAATCGTGTAGTGTCCCATTGTAACCAAACTTTCAGTCCTGTCGGTAGTCTTGTTTACTTTTTCCTACAAGTTGGTGCTTTCTCCTTAGAAGGAAGGTAAACATCAGCATACCTGCATTCATTAAAGCAAGTATCAATTTGCAGCAATTTTAAACAACGATGCATACTTTTCGTATATAGGGGACATATGCCAATATTCAGCGTCTGCACAGATACATATACCAATGCATTTCTGTATACCCATGAACTTTTTATAGTTGCTCATATAATCCATTCGATAATACATAACATTGACATTCTCGCTGGCCAAATGTATAATAGTTTTCTTTCTTTTCCAATTTTTTGTTTGAATGTTCACTTAACGATCAAACTTTCTAAGAGACACTTCCAATGCGTTGAAGGTTGGAAAAGGAGCCAATGCTCATGACAGCAATACCAGACTACTTGTGAATTGAAACTGAGTTTGTGATTATGCATCCACCAACTAGAGAAATAGTTTGTGAATTCTTAAATGTTCAGAACAATTGAATGGAACAACAAAGAAAGAGAATATACCAACAATGGCTCAAAATAATCATCCCCTACCGCCCCCCCCCCCCAAAAAAAAAAAATCCCCAAAAAAATAGAAAGAATAATAGAATGGAAAACATTGAACAAACAATAAAAGAAATATGAAAAATGTACCAGCTTGCCTAAACAACAGGCAATAGATTTGCCAAAAAGAGGAAATCATTTTGCTTTCCCTAGCATTATGAGGTCTTGCTCCATGCTGCTGCAAATTGCAGTAAAAAATAGAGAGAAAAGAAAGCTGTAAACTATGAATTCTCTAGCAGGCCAAATTAAGCAGGAAAAGACTGACATCTTGCACTACAACCCCAAAGTTTCCAAAAGAAAATGAATAAAGTCTAATGACGATATAGCTCTTATCTTCTTTTTGTATGTTCTTATTCTTATTCTAATTGGAACTCTTCTCAGCGATTATATTTTCCATTGAAACAAAGGATATATGAGCGCAGAAACAGAAGGCAATCTCTGAAGAGGAATTTTCATTCACCTTCAAACTGTGTCTACGATGAGCATACAAAGTAATTTTTATTTGAAGTGAATGTCTATGAGTGATGAATTATAATTATTCTATTAAGACAGATGCATGATAACTAATTGCACAAAATGAGTAAAAACAGACCATTTGTTACGTCTTGTAGAATCCAATATTTATGACACATTGAATGAGGGATGCCAAATCGCTTAAGAGTTCTGTTGTAGCACAGAAGATACTTCAAACACGGATTAATGGAAATACTTCAGACAAAAAATTAAAAGAGAATACGTACCCCATCGGTGGTGGTACTTCATCCATTTCAAGATCCCAATAGGAAGTGTCATGGCTGTTTTATGGTAGCTCCAAGAAAATCATTGCACATTTGAATTCTTTCATTTCAATCTGACCGAGAATAGGGCTTTACAAAGACCCAACTGGAGAAGACTGATCTATGTATCCAATCCCAACTGCTAGGTAGGGGCAGGCTTCTTGAGTTGCATTGAGTGAGTTCATATGTTCACAAATGTATGTCAAACAAATTTAAAATAACAAATGGTTAGGAAAGGATTAACGGTTTTATATATTCAAAATGTATGTCAAGCAAATGTGAAATAAAATGTGATTAGCAAAGCATTTGAGGTTGCATCTTGAGCGTCGAAATACCCTTATGAGGTTGCATCTTGCGCATCGAAATCTCCATATGAAATACCCTACTCCACTCACTTCCCAAAAGCTACAAGAACTAATAAGTAAGGTTACTCTCCAATTAATATGCAGTAGATGATCTACAAGGCACCCCCAAGGAGTTGGTTATTATCCATTAATACATAGTATTGTCACTAAATTCTACAAATATGGGTAAAGCTGCCTCCCAAAAAATTTCATTTGCGGGAGTTTTATGCATGGTGTACGACAGTTTTTTAATAATGTTAGACAAGTTACAAATTACATGCTATTGATTATGCTTTTCACAAGGTACAAACTTTTCCAACACCCACACCAACAAGCAAACATACGAATTTAAAGAATCATACAAAAGATTAGGAAAACAAAAAGGCGGGGAAAGGGTAATTACACAAGTAACTACCCCTCCCAGCTAATCATAGTTGCATAAACTTAAGTAACACCAAACAAAATCCACAAATCAAAATCAGAAATTTTGAAAAAAAATTATTACATATTGATACAGAGAAGTGAAAGTTATTTTCAGAAGTCGATTCAGAACAACTCTCAGTGCATCTTGAGATCAAACTTATCTAGAAGACTTTGAATATTAGCTAGAATGGCTAAGCTGTTGCTCATGTACTCCTTCGACTTCTGCACCTTCATTCTCACCTCATCAACCACCGTTGATCCCATCTCCTCCAACCCATCCAAGCACGTCTGTTGATCAGTCATCGCACCGCTAATCCATGAATTCAGATCCCCAATTTTCGCCTCTGTCAAAACCTTCTCTCCTGGGTCTACTTCCATCAACTCCAAAGACCGGTTAAGTTGACTCAGTCCATCATCAAACAAACTCGTGCAGTCCTTTAACGCCGATTCAGTTGAAGGGTCGTTCAATTTCGAGATGAGGGTTATGGGTACTGACTCGAGTTTCGTGAATTCTGTCACGGCGACTTGGATAGAGAGCTTGAAAACGCATTCAGGGTCGATTTTGGATCCAAAATTTGCGTTGAAAGAAGATAAGGAGGTGAAGCATGAGTTGGTATACTGAGTCACGGAACAGATAGTTTTGAGTGACTCGGCCGCCTTGGAAGACAGATCATCGTCATCGGGTGGTTCAGTGATGGATTCATAGATTAAAGCACCGATCACTGCACCGATGACAACAGTTAATATGATAATCAGAGAGATGGCTATGGTTGTACGATGATTTTGGGTTGTTCTGTTGTGGTGGGGAGAGGTTTGATCTCCCAAGGTGTCTACTTTGCTGTAGCCTTTGATGATGTTAATTGATTCCATCTGTGTGATTTTTGGAGCGTTTTCAATGGCGGACCTGAAGTGTTTGATGAATGTTTCGGTAAGGTGGTTTTGGGAGAGCTAAAGAAAAGAATAACACATCTGCATAAGCGTGTGAGGATCGAAGAAGGAGAGTGGTTTGATTTTGATATTGACTCGGAACTTTAACTTTGGTTGAGACGGTGAAGCTGATATGACTATATTAAATGATAGATTATAATCTAAAACATTACTCAGACTCTTTCTGATTTATATTTAAACATTATTAACACTAACGTTCTTACCATTAAATCACTATTTTTAATAAAACAAATTTATCTAAAATATCAAAATTATCTCTACATAAACTACAAATAATATTTTTACATAAAATTCAATTAAAATTTATTTTTTTTACATATTAAAATTCGAGTTAATTAAAAAAAATTTACAAATTAAAATTCGATTTTCAAGTCGATTAAATTTTATATTTTTTTTACTTATTAAAATTTTTGTCAATTAAAATTCAATTCAATTTGATTAAAATTCATTTTATATGTATTAAAATTTGAGTTGATCAAAATTCATATTTTTTTAAATATTAAAATTTGAATCGATTAAAATTCAATGTAAGTTAATTAAAATTTGATTCAAACTGATTAAAAACGAAATTTATTCGGCTCAGATCGAATTTTAATCGGTTCGAATTTTAATAAGTAAAAAATTTATAAAATTTATAAAAAAATTAGATAAGGTGTCTTTGAAGATACGATAAAATAGAAGGAGTGCAACTAAAATTTTTCATTTTATAACTTTACCTTCAAAATTTTAAATTTGACGATAAAAAATAATAATTTTTAATCTTTCGAAATTATCACTTGCGTCACTTTTTTGAGTCATAATTTTTATATAAAAAAGATGTGATTTCACTTTAAAAAATTATAAATTTGATTACGGTATTGTAGACTTCCTTTTTTTATTTTGGTATTTTAAAAAGATAATAATACCTGACTATGGTCTTGTTGTGGAAAAAATATTCATTATAATGGTGATACCACGTAACAATATTGACGTTATCTCACTAATTAATAATATCAAAATAAATAAGTAAATAAACTTCACAAAAATTAATAACCAACTCTCCATTCAAGTAAATAACTATTCATTATTCCTATATGAAAGTCAATTAACTATTCAAGTAAGAGTTTATCTGACCCACTTTATGTTTTATTATTTGTGGGTTAGCATTACTAATATGGTATCACGGCAAACATGGTATCTCGGTTGCATTCAATATTTTCTCTTTATTGCGATGTTGAAAAAAATATTAGGGTGTATCTATCTGTTATACTCTATCATCATGTCGATATTGTGTAACCGTCCAATAAAAATATAACATACGGGAAGGCGGATCTTATATATTCTAGTAACTATATATCGTGTCACTTTTATAACCATGCAAATGAAATTTACCTTTGTTATTTGTAAGTTTATTCATTAATAGTGACACCACATATTAATAATGAGATAATATTACTGTTATACCCAATATTTACTTGGGATATTGGGATCGACGATTCAACTTGCCTCGCTAGCTTTCACTCCTTCCCCCTCTATATCAAAATGGTTGATGTTTCTATTGTTATAATGTTGAAGGTTGACCCAAATCTCGTTTTATTTGTTAGTTTGGCATTAAGAGTTCTTATTACATAAGCCACTAGTTATTAGAATTAATTTTTTATGTGAAAATTAGGGTTGAATCTTTCGGGATGGACTTATAATGACTCAAATCTGCTAAAAAAATTTATTTAGTGAAAAGTCTATTTTTTATCCTACTAATAAGTATTTAAGTTTATTATTTTTTTAAATCCAAGAAATACCCTTAACAGTATTATTCTATTCAATTGTAGAAACTTTAAGTACCTTGAAAATAGTTTTAAATTAATTTCTTAAACTAGAAATTATTATTCCTTGATTCACTCATGAAATTCAAATTTATATTATTTCTTCTTCTCTCCCTCGTTAGAAGAAGATCATCACTCTAGTACAACAAATTTTTCTCTTTTTATATCATTTCTTCCTCTATAGCATAAAAATTAGTAGGGTTTGGAACATCATCAATAATTACTATATTTTCTACTATGTTCTGGTCATCATAAACTTCTATGTCGTTGGTTTTCAGAAAAAAAATGTTGAAAACTTGTTTAATGTGTTATTAGTTTGTTACCCAATTTTATTTTTATTTTTTGATAAATAATCCCCAAATTTTTTCAAATTTTCATGTTACTACGTTTTTTGCTTACCATATTACTATTTTTTTTCTAATTGATCATGTTACTATTTTTTCAGTGTTATTTTTTTGAATGCTGAAGAATTGGAGACCTCTTCCTCTGATTATAGGTTTGAATGTTACTATTTTTATTTTCAATTTTGTTCAATGTCCTATATTGTTATTTCCTTTTTATTGAGCATGTTATTATTTTTGTTAGACACATTTCTATTTTTATTAAGCATATTACTATTTTTGTTAAACATGTTACTATTTTTATTGAACATTATACTATTATTATTATTTTAAAATATTAATATTGAATATTAATATTTTTTTATGTTTTAATGTTACTTTTTTTTTTGTGTTTAAATGACATTAATGCTAGTCAAACTCCTAAAATTTAAGAGTTTTTAATTTTTAATTTTACTTCATTTCTAAAAAGAAAAAATAGTCTGATAAAATTAATAAAAAAATTGACTTCATAACAAATAAATTTCTTTAGCAAATTTAAGTTCGAATAAGTCCATATAATATAAGATGACGGACCTTCAACTTTTTCATTTTTTATTGTAAGTTCTTATAGCAATAGTATAAAAAGTCTTTTTGTTTCCAGCCAATAGTTTTTTATTATTCAAAAAATATGCCTTTATGGTTTTTCAAGAATTACAAATACGTGTTCCTCATTTTTGTCTTTCTTGTTTTACTAATTGATGCATACGTGCGTTGTACATCAATTATTTCAAGTTATAATTTTTTTGTACTATTTTTACATTACAATATTACTTGATCAATTTATAGTTAAATAACCATACTAGAACTTCCAAGAATGTTAACCCCAAAAAAAAAAAAAAAATTCTAGGAATGCAATGCTTATTTGTGTTAGATTTTTGTTAGCTAAGAAGTATGGACAATTTACTCTTGTCAAGAGAATTTTGATTACTACAACAACGTACACCAGTTATAAATGGCGAAATGACTTATAGTGATGGGAATTAGTTGCCGTAAACTTGTATTTACTTTTCCTTGTCTCCTTGATCAAATTAGGAGATGTTTATCCTTTGTGTAATTCTAGATATCTCTATCTCGTCATTTTCCTCTTTGGCAGTGGGGTGGGAGGCATTCACATAGGAGCTAACCATGGACGTGTGACTCTCATCATATACCACACACAAGCTTAGTTTCTAAAAGTTATTTGGTGCTTAAATTTTTTTTTTTCTCTTTTATATTTATAATTTAATTTTAGGTATAGATACAAATATTTTTATTATTGACCATTTTTTTTATTACTCTTTACTTTCAAGTACGGAAAATAACTAGTTACTTAATAAGATAACAAATTCGTCAACCAACCAGACAAGCAATCAATTTTTCTTACCATTTACGGAGAATGTGATGAACTCATAAAGACATTCTTACCTCTTCGCGGAGTCTTGTCCGGTCAAAACTCATTCCGACCAAAAATTATGGGGTTGTTCTCTCAATTAATGAAAAAAAAAGTTTATTTTGATGCATTATTTTGATCAATTAACATATTAAAATATTTTTAAAATAATTCATAAACATAATACCAATAAATAAATAAATAAGCCCCCGTTATTGACCTGGTGCATCAAGAACTGTGTGAAAGACACGACCCACAAATTCAAAAAAGGTTCAAATTTATTTGGTAATCATTCGGAATTAACTTCAACTTCTAATTTTTCTCCTATTTCATCGTCGTTTGTCTTTTTTATAGCACGTGGAACCACACTGTTGGGGCAGCACTTCTTACGCTTATCACTTATCTACGCTCTTGCTTTATGACCTTTTCAGTGCAATAAACTTTTGTAATACGCAAAGCAGCTGAGCGATAAGTTTTGATTGCTATATTTTTGTGATAATAATTAAAAAGTTATCTTTAAAATATTAATTAAAATATTTCGAAATTTCTTGAAATTTTTTAAAACATCAATAATATTTCGAAAAAGAATGAAATATTCCAAAATTTGTATATAAATACTTTAGGATTATGAGATAAAAATTTAATTTACAATATTGATGTATTATCTTAGGTGTTTTTATATTTCTTTTGCTAAAAAAAAATTTCCACGCATGCTTGCTAAAATTAACAACAAAATGTAATAATAAATAATTTTTTTAACTAACTAGTAATAAGAGTTAATTATATTGGAGGTCTATAAAGTATAAAGTTTATTTTATTTTGATCTCTAATAATTCAATTATATAATTTTTGTCCTGAAGTATGAAATATATTTATATATAGTCATTTAAGTAGACAATGTTTAAATTGATAACGATTTTTTATTATAAACTTATCACATAATATTTAAATCTGAACAAAAAAATAATTTGAATAACTCTTGATAAAAATTTTACCCAAATTTCATAGTTTTGATCATTAACTATCCAAATTTTAGTTAAAATCTACCTATATTACACATTTTTTGGTCAAAGGCTATCTAAATTTTCGTCTAAGAGTTACCTAAATTATTTTTTACTCATATTTAAGTATCATATGACAAGTTTATGATAAAAAATCGTTAATAATTTAGATATTGTTTACTTGAGAGACTACATAAAAATATATTCAATAGCTCATAGACTAAAATGATACAATTAACATATTATAAACTAAAATGAGACAAACTTTATAATTTTGGACCTTTAGGACAATTAATCTAATAATAACTTTTTGGAAAAATTTCATCCACTCCTGTAATTAGGTCTAAATTTAATGACACTTTCTCTCAATTCTGAAATTTTACTATCACCTCTTATCAGTATTTGTTAGGTTACATCGTTAATGACAATTGTTAATTTATAGAAATACTCCTAAATATTTATAGGGTAAATTATATTCACGCCCCTTGTAAATAGTCAAAACTTCAACGATACCCCCTATAAAATATACCTATCTTTAACAATACCCCTTTCTAATTCTGAAATTTCAATGCACTTCTTTTTAGTTCTATTATATTAATATTTAGGTTCATCAATTTAATATAAACTAAATTAAAATTTCATCTCATCAAATCAACACAAATTGATATTTAATTTTATCAAATTCGAGTTTAGTTATATTAATTTAATATTTTATTTCATCATATTAATATCATATCTTTAATTTAACGTTAAATTATTATTTAATTTCATTAAATCAATACCAAATTGAAATTTAATATATTAAATTTCATTAATTTAATGTTTAACCTTATCAAATTAATGTCAAATATTTAATTTAACATCAAATGGACATTTAATTTTATTAAAGCAACATTTAGATTTATTCAATTAATATTAAATTTTATCAAATCAACAATGAATATAAATATTAAATTAACACTAAATTAATATTTAAATTTATCAAATTAAGACCAAATTTATTCAATTATTATAAAATTTTATCAAATAATATTTAAATTTAATATTTGAAGGGTGATGTATGAAGAGCAATCAGGTGACGTTGTGGAGGATAGACGATAGCAAAAAATTTAAAAATGGATGAGATTTTGACATAGACATTAATCTCTATCTCTGTTTCCACAAAAAGTTGAAAAATACATCAATCCTAACACAACATATTGGCATAACAAAAAAATTTTAAAACAGTGCATGAACACAATTAAAAAAAATTTACATGAAAAAAATTAAAAATATATGCATGAAATTTTTTTTAAAAAAAACTACATGAAATTTTTTTAAAAAAAAATTCATAACAAAAATTGCATGAATTTTTTTTTAAAATTTGCATGAAAATCTGTAAGAAAAAAAATTTTTTTTTTTTACCAACTTATATAATGATCGATCACTATAGAGAACGAGTTGAAGACGAATAGCTGATTTCGGTCTCCTATGTCTTCCAGCAATATCAGATGGTATGATATATATAGTAGAAAAAGAGTTGAGGGTATTTTAGTATATTTATATAAAAAATAATAATTTTGACATTTTTAAAGAATTTATGCTCAAACTATTATTTTTTGTACCGATAGAATTAAAAATTACCATTAAGAGTATTTCTTTGATTTGAAAATATAAATTAGCAGGGGATTTAGTGAAGTTTTAGAGTTAAAAGGAGAAGCGTGTATGAAATTTTTCCCTAACTTTTTTATTTTTTAACTTTAAAAAAAAAGAAAAAGTGGGTTCCTTTTGCAGGCTGGCCGGGATGCCAGTGCAGGCCAGCTTTTCTTCCGTTTTCGTTATCTCTCTCTCTCTCTCTCTCTCGCTGAGAAAATAAACAGAAACCCTGTCTGTTACCATTCATGCCTTATTAATCTCTCTTTAATGCTCCTAATTTTTGAACTTCAAAACCCTAACTTTTCGCATCTTCGCCTACACAATATATAACCTCAACACCCATTCGATTCTGTATATCACACATCTCTCTGAATTTGTGATCATTTGCATTTTAATAGTAGATAGATTCTCAGAGATGGCTACGAATATAGGCATGATGGACAGTGCGTATTTTGTTGGGAGGAATGAGATTCTTTCTTGGATCAATGCCAGACTTCAGCTCAATCTCTCTCGCGTTGAGGAGGTCCGCCCCTCTCTCTCTCTCTCTATGTGTGTGTTTCTTGAGCATTAGGGTTTTGATCATTATATCTCAGGAATATGTAGTTTGTACTACCAATTAATCAAGTGCCTTTATGCATGAATGTGTCAGGGTCTAATTTCATGATGTTTGTTGAAGTTGATTCAGTTGCTTTATGGATTGCCTATCAAAAATTTGCTATATGGATTCATGCTTAGTAATCTCGGGCATTGACGAAATCTCTATTTAAAAATCTTTTCTTTCATGTGGTTCATTAGAGTCGGTGTTTCTTTAAATTTACTTGCTGGGTTGTTGTGTATAAGGGGGAGGATTTGTGTTTCGTAGTTTATTCTTTGTTTTCGTCCCTTCGGAAACTATTATCCTATTTGAGGATGGAGTTCTCTGTTTCATCTTGATCGACTGCAAGTGATTGGAATGGACAGAAAATGACCGAAAAGGTGAAATGGAGACACTCCCAATGTAAAGAAACACCCTTTTGGAGTGTGGTGTGCGAAATTTGGCTTTGTAATCCTCAACATGTTCTGTATATCTGCTCTATGTTTGTGAAACCAAAAAATAAAAACAAGACGCTTTATCATCTGCTGCTGTTGCAATGATGCATATCCTTGATGCAGAGGGTATTGAGCTAGTAGGTTAGGTCTGTCTGAATGACTATAGCTTGCATTAATCAGTGAAGAGTTGAGGAGATGAGGACACTTTCGGAAGGGAAGCTAATGATGGTGAGAGTTCATGGTTGACTAATGGCATTTTATTGCATGATGGTTAACCTGTTCACAGAGTGCAATCGAATTGGTGGAATTTACTGTTTTGTTGAATGCTTGTGCTGCTGTAACATGTGGGCTGTCTCTTCATTCATCTATGATATCTGAATTGATTTAGGGATTGCAGCAATCATGCTGATTCTTTGGCATATGATACCTTCTTTGAAATTTGAGCATAAAAGAGAATACGTCCTCCAAGTGTTATTATGTTCCATATCAGTCACTTATTTGAGTTAATTTGTTTCATTAATCAATGGATAAGCAACATTTTGAAAATGGAAAGCAAAATGCACATTGTGCAGCCTCTCTCATCTTTTCTTTTGACAAAGGAAATACTAACTTCTTAATTTTTGCATTTGGAAACCTCTGTTCAGGCCGCATCTGGTGCTGTGCAATGTCAGATGATGGACATGACCCATCCAGGAATTGTTCCAATGCAGAAGGTGATTTCTTGTCTTTGTTTGTTAATGTTCCGTATGTGTGCATCTTTTATATTGTTATTTGTGCAATGGCATTTCTGACCTGATGTGGTTTACCATAGGTGAATTTTGATGCAAAGACCGAATACGATATGATCCAAAATTACAAAGTTCTGCAGGAAGTCTTTAACAAACTCAAAATTGACAAGGTAGTTCTATCCTTCAACGCACGTGTTTCATATCATTTATCCATGCACACAAAGATGTTGGTACCGTGCCCCCCCCCCCCCCCCCCCCTCTTTTAGCATTGTTATTTTCATGTTTGATGGGATATGCCTTATTTAAATAGATAATTTATTGTTTGACCTAGAATTCCTACTTCTGGTAGGGTTTTGAGAGATTCCTTGAAATTAAGCTATAACTGATTTCTAGTTGGATTCTTGTAATAGCTTCTCAGCCTTCAGTTGAAGCTCCAATGCCATGGTTGATGATAGGGTCCGTTCCCCTGGCTTTAGTGCCACCATTATTGTTTACACCTGCAAGTAGTTTGAAATAATGACCCAGTTTCATGAAGTTACTGCAACGCTTTTTGCCTTTCTACTCTGCCTCATGTTCCAAGGAAATGCCTGGCTTTTGCTTCGACTTTGTTAGGATTTTTTTCCAAATTGACCAGTATAGCTCATTTAGATAAACCTTATATTTTGTTCAGTGGTACTTTATAACATGCTCCTGCGCTAATTGAGGGAGAGGTTTCTTGTATCAGTTATTTTTTCAGCACGACTGATGAAAACTTTAAAAGATAACAACTTGGTATTTGCCAAAGCAATCTTAGTGAGTGGCCAGTTTGATGACCACTGCATGTTATGCTTCTACAACTATGATCTCATTAGAGGTATTGTCTATTACATTATGAAGTCCCCACGTAGTGTTATTAAAAGCGCGATAGGTGATCGCCCAGGCGAGAAGCAAGCCCACGTCACCTGGAGTGTCCCGACAAAGCAAATATTAAGCGTCCAAGGCGAGCGCTTCTCGCTTGAGCCAGAAGCAGAACGCTTTAGTGAAATTTTGCATTTTGGATCTATCATAGGGTGTTATATTTGATCAATTGGATAATAAATTGGATATGCCAATAATAGTCGATTGTCACTTGATCCATATTTATATTTAAACCTAAAATTTCTTCAACAAAATTGATTGAGAATTAGGGACGTGAGGGCTGGATTCACCCAGTTGTCTTCTTCTTCTTCGTGATCTTCTATGACAAACGATTTACTGCTGCTTCCAAAAAAATGGTCTGCAACCAGCAAATTTCCAGTTACCCGATAAAGAGGCTGAAAATTTGACAACATCCCGCTGAGTGCAAAATCTTTTTGCTTAACACTGCTCTTTTAGTTCCGTGTCAGCTGAAGCCTGTCTCTTGTCATAGCCTGCGTATTAGTATTTTACCTTCCTCTTATCCAAATGTGTCATTTGACTTTAGGAAAATTACTCCTGTTTATGGCAGTGTTGATCTTGTGCTTCTCTTCTTGTGGCTGCAAATGCTTAGTTTGAATGCTATGGTTTTGTTGAAATATTGCTCAATGACAATTCTCAACAAAGAGGATTTTTGTGAATTCAGGTCTACTGTTTGGCTGGTCGCATGGAGTATGAGGCCATGTTAGGAGCAAGAATATAGTGATTTAGCTAGATATCTGTCAATTTTGGTATATGATAATAGAAGCTTTGGTTATCATTGCCATTTGCCACAATAACTTGTCAAGAACATTCCCCTGATCCCCAGCCAAAAAGAAAAAGTACATTAAAAACATTGATAGGTAGGGTGTGCAATGTGCATTAAGTGGTTTTCTTGGTTATTTATTATTTCTGATTGGTTGATGCTACTTTTGTTTGTTAAGCTGTTTTGTTGCCTTGTCGGGAGCGATGCATTTAAAATAAGCTTGTCACAAACACAATGCTACATCCATGCGCATGGAGCATATTGTCAAGTGATTACTGATTAGCAGCAAGTAGTTTTGTCAATATTTTCCTTGACATAAGTATGGAAACCGGATAGGGGAGTTGCTTTAGTGATATCTGGATTCTGGAAATGTCTCCTTACTTTGATTTAATTTTTTTTGGATGACAGCATATTGAAGTCAACAAACTTGTAAAGGGTCGACCTTTAGACAACTTGGAGTTTTTGCAATGGCTGAAACGCTATTGTGATTTTGTAAATGGCGGCATTATGAATGAGTATAATACTGCCTCTTAAATGCTTTGGGCATCATTCTATCAGTCTGACTCAATTTTATTTGCATTCTATCTGTTTCTTAAGGTTTTTGAGTCTTCCAGGAATTATAATCCCGTGGACCGTAGAGGTAAGGGCAATAAGGAACGAAATCCCAAGGGTTCTCTTAAGACCTCAAAGTCACTGCGAGCAAACAACTGTTATAACCCTGGCTTGGGTGATGCAGTATGCATTAATAAAATTTCTGGTTAGCTTATGCCATGATTTTTTTTCTTATAGTGTTTCCTGTATTTTCATGTATTTATCAATCCTTAGCATGGCTGGTTGGTATCTATTGCTGCAGGGACCAAACAAGGCAAAGCAGACACTGTAGGTGTGGGGGCTGATTCATCAGAGGAAATTCAAGCTTTGTCCACAGAGGTAATGGCATTTAGAGTTCTCTGAAGTTTGATTCTTTCGTGCATCTCAATGGTCAAATCAATGTCCTTCATTTTGTAGGGATGGCTCAAGGTAATTTGAGGCTTAAAGCAATAATACTAAATGAGGCATTTTTATTTTTAGTATTATTTTTTAAAAAAAAAAAATTAATTTTTTTATGTGAGGGAGGAGGATGTGATACTTTATTTTTGCTTTTTAAGAGAGAGAGAGAGAATGGATGGGAGTAAATATGAATTGACTTTTGAGTATTTTTTTTATTTGTTTTTAAAATTTTTGATTTTTGAGTTTCTAATGTTATGAATTGAATTGTAGGCTCAAATTATTGAAATTATGATTTTTTTATTAGGCTTAAATTTTTGGGGGCCTTTTGTGAGGCCAAAAATTTTCATGGATTTAAATTTTTTATGTGGACTAATTACTTATTTAAAATTATGGGGCCTTTCAAAAATTTGGAGCCTAAAACCCATACTTTTTTTTTAATACTGTTGGGCCGGCCTGTGATTTTGGAGGGTTTGTAATTTATACATTTACACGTGACAATGGTTGATGAGTTTGAATCATGAATTACTGAGAATCTGAAACATTTAGGACTTAGCTCTAAATGCATATTGCAGTTAAGTAGGTGACTAGGTGTATATACTAGTTTCATCGATTGCTTATAGTTCTCCCATTGCTTTCTGTTCTGAACCATCCTAAATATAGGAAAATTTGGTCTTTTCTGATACATCTCCTTTTTTGACAAGTCTGTGATTTGTTTTTTGATATAATCATCCAGATTGCAGATCTCAAGCTTTCTGTCAACCTTTTGGAAAAAGAAAGAGATTTCTATTTTTCGAAATTACGGGATGTTGAAATACTTTGCCAGGCTCCTGAATTGGAGCATCTGCCAGTAAGAGTTCTTATTGCTTTTGACTTTACTTCCATAGTTTCTACAGCTCGTGAGTCCTTGTTTGGTCTTTCTTGATTGATCTGCATGGTTTTGATTCTGATTTTCTTTTTACTCATTTTAAAGATGTTAATAATCATGGAAATCTTTATTTCTTTGCATTTTTTTCATCAAACGTGCTTCTTTAGATTGTATGCCTATTTTTTTGGTGGTGGTTTCCCTTCCTTGAGAGCCATCAATGCATTTTGAGCCATGTACGAAATCTGAAGTGCAGGGTTGGGTCAAGGGTTCATTTCTGTTGTCACTGTCATCAATCAAAGAGCATTATCCAAAGAAAACCCAATATCTCTACATTTCAAGGTTCATGGTTTCCATTGTAAATACCCTTTGTTTACCAATTGGTTGCCTCTCACCTGGTTATATTGCACTTGCTTATTTGCATTACTCAGAAATGACCACTCTCATGTTGATTTAGGAGTCTTGTGTTTCCCTAAAATAAACTGCTTTTCATCATTTTAAGTTATCTAGTCAACCAAAACTATTTAGAGGAAACATACTTCCAAGCACCCTTCAGGGTTTGTAAGTGCTGCATGTGTAAATTGTTCGTCAGCCTCGTCGTTCCTCCCTTGGTTATATGGAAAAGTCCTCTCAGGTGTAAATTATCAAATAGGTTTGTTTTTTTTAACATGGTTTTTAATTTCGTATGAACCATAATCAACACTGCATTATAATGTGAACTCAATTTGCGATTTCCTGCAGACAGCTGTGGCAATTAAGAAGATATTATACGCTGCAGATGAAAAGGAGTCGGCACTTGCAGAAGCTCAAGAAATCATAAGTCAGTTGATGAATGTTGATCAAACTGATGTGGATACCGAGTCTAACTGAAATGGTGCAGGTTCTTGCCGATGAGAATAAGAGACATCTTGATGATATTTCATCAACTAAAGCTTTCGGGAATCATTTAGGTAAAACACTATGGAGACACTTCATTTTGAGCCCAGTTCAAGGAGGTTGATATTCTTCCCTCACCTCCCCCACCTGCACACTAGTAGTGGTTTTGGGCCACTTCCTCCTTTTCCCCAACTCTTTTTTCCGATGGTGCAGAAGCATATTAGAACTCTTTCCACGGATTTAGACGTTGTATTGTATCTTTTTGATTTCATGTTGTTCTCTCGGTCAAGGATATAATTTTTATTTTGATGCTTTATTTTAATTATTTAATATATTAAAATATTTTGAAAGTAATTTAAAAATATAATAACAATTTATTAAAAAACCCCAATTGTTGATTTGGCGCCTGCGATAGTGCATCAAGAGTTTTTATCATGTGAAAGACGCGGCCCAGAAATTCAAATTTGTCTCGTAATCATTCAGAATTAGCTTCTACTCCTAATCCTTCCCTTCTTTTATATTGGGGTAGTGCCTCATAAGCCTAAAACTGACCTACGCTCTCTTGTTGCATGTGTCTTTCGGGGCAATACAGCTTTTGTAATACGTGAAGCAGCTGAGTGATAGTTTTTTTTTTTTTTGTTATCGCTATATTTTTGTGATAGTAATTAAAAAATTATTTTTAAAATATTTTGAAACATTGATCAAATTATCTTGAAATTTTTTAAACGATCAATAATTTTCCAAACAGAGTGAAATATTCCAAAATTAGTGTATAAATAATTTAGGATTATGTGATAAAAAATTAATTTACAGTATTGATGTATTATCTGAGGTGTTTTTTTTTTCTCTATTTTTCTTATGTGTAAGGGTTCATATATTTCTATCAATAAAATTCAATTTAATTTAAAAAAAAAAATGGGAAGAGATCGTGCGATGTACAAAATTTAGTATCAAATTACCCAAAAAAACAAAGATTGAGACAGTTTACTATACAAAAACATTCCACTCATGCTTGTTAAAACTTAAAGTTAACAACAAAATATAATAATAAATAATTCTTTTAACTGATTAGGAAGAAGGGATACTTGTATTGGAGATCACCAAGTATGAAATTTATTTTGTTTTAGTCTCTAATATATTAATTATATTATTTTAACCCCTGAAATATGAAATATATTTATATGTGGTCTGTTAAGTGGACAGTGTTCAGATTATTAATATTTTTTTATTATAAATTTGTCATGTAATACTTTTAATATAGACAAAAAAATAATTTCGATCTTAACCAATTTTTTTTTTCAAATTACACAGTTTTGATTATTAACTATCCAAATTTTTGTTAAAATCTATTCATATAACACATTTTTTGGTCAAAGACTATCTAAATTTTCGTCAAAGAGTTACCAAATTATTTTTTACCTATATTTAGATATCACTTGATAAATTTATAAAAAAAAATTGTTAGTAATTTAAATATTATTTATTTAAGAGATTACATAAAAATATATTCAATATTTTTTAGACCAAAATATGCAATTAAAATATTAAGGACTAAAATAAAAAAAATTATATATTTTGGTACCTTAGTGCAATTATCCTAATAATAAATTCTTATTTTTTGAACTTTAAAAAAAAAAGTGGGTTCCTTTTCCAGGCTGGCCGGATATGCCATTGCAGGCCAGGTTTTCTTACGTTTTCGTTGTCCCTCTCTCTCTCTCTCTCTCTCTCTCTCTCTCAGAAAATAAACAGAAACCTTGTCTGTTACCATTCATTCCTTATTAATCTCTCTTTAATGCTCCCATTTTCTGAACTTCAAAACCCTAACTTTTCGCATCTTCGCCTGCATAATATATAACCTCAACACCCATTCGATTCTGTATATAACACATCTCATCTCTCTGAAATTGTGATCATTTGCATTTGAAATTTGAATAGTGGATATAGATTCTCAGAGATGGCTACGATAGGGATGATGGACAGTGCGTATTTTGTTGGAAGGAATGAGATTCTTTCTTGGATCAATGACAGGCTTCAGCTCAATCTATCTCGCGTTGAGGAGGTCCTCTCTCTCTCTCTCTCCGTGTGTTTGTTTCTTCCGCAATAGGGTTTTTTTCATCATTGTATCTCAGGAATATGTAGTTCGTACTATCAATTTAATTGAGTGCCTTTATGCATGAATATGTCAGGGTCTAGTGTCATGATGATAGTTGAAGTTGATTCAGTTGTTTTATGGATTGCCTATCAAAAATTGCTTTATGGATTCATGCTTAGTATTTTCGGGCATTGACGAAATCTCTTCTTTCATGTGGTTCATTAGAGTCGGTGTTTCTTTAAATTTTCTTGCTGGGTCGTTGTGTATAAGGGGGAGGATTTGTGTTTCATAGCTTATTCTTTGTTTTGGCCCCCTTGGAAACTATTATCCTTTTTGAAGATGGAGTTCTCTGTTTCATCATGATCAGAGGCGGAGCGAGGAAAAAAATTTTAGGCGCAAACCAGCATGTTTTAATTTTTTTTTAATACACGGTAAAAATTCATAAATTTATATTTATTAAAATTATATTTAATACTTTAAAACATAGAAGATTAAAAATCGATATACATAACATGAACAAAAAAATAATAATTAAAATTTCATATCGATAATGTGACTAATTATTATTACTTACAATTGACCCTGTTATATTTTTATTATTTGAAAAAGTTATAAATTAATTTTATCAACAATATTTCTTTTATACTAATGCTATTGGGACATAATTGAGGGACATAATTTGGAGACATCAGTTATCATCAATGAAATGATAATGAAATATATTTAATAATGAGTCCCATTGTAGCATTAAATAAATTTATTATTATATTATTGGTGACAAATCATTATGTTCTCAAATTATGTCCTAATAGCATTACTCTTTCTTTAATATACAAAATCGCGATAACAATCTTTCATTTATGATCTTATAGTTTACTACATAACGACATACATTTTTATAAACTAACAAAATAACCCTACAATTTAAAAAAATTATAAAATAATATCAATATGTTCAAAACATATTTGAACATGTCTAAAAGTTAACAATTATATTAGTTGTACTTAATTTGAGATTTAATTGATGAAAATCCAATAGTTTGTGACCATTGGATAGATAGTAGAGTTTATTAAATATTAATACTCAGTATTTTACTTAATATTGCAATTTATTAGGTTCTTAAAGTAAGTTTCAATAACGTTGTTCAAAAAGTTAATAATCATTTAAGTAGGGGTCTATTCAAATCAATATCATCAAAACACGATATTAGGATAGACATAATTCAATATGTTTAAATTTTATTTTAAAAAATACATGCTTAATATGAAGCAAAAAAAAATTGAGGGTGGGCACTAGCCCAAGGGAGGCTCCGCCCTTGATCTCGATCAACTGCAGGTGATTGGAATGGACAGAAAATGATCGAAAAGGTGAAATGGAGACACTCCCAATGTAAAGAAACACCTTTTTGGATTGCAGTGTGCGGATTTTGGCATTGTAATCCCCACCATGTTCTGTATATCTGCTCTATGGTTGCAAAACCAATAAAAAAAAACACGACGTCTTTATCATCTACTGCTGTTGCAATGATGCATATCCTTGATGCAGAAGGTATTAAGCTAGTACGTTAGCTCTGTCTTAACTATAGCTTGCATTAATCAGTGAAGAGTTGAGGAGATGAGGACACTTTCGGAAGTGAAGCTAATGATGGTGAGAGTTCATGGTTGACTAATGGCAATTTATTACATGATGGTTAACCTGTTCACAGAGTGCAATCGAATTGGTGGAATTTACTGTTTTGTTGAATGCTTGTGCTCATGTAACATGTGAACTGTCTCTTCATTCACCTATGATATCTGAATTGATTTAGGGATTGCAGCAATCATGCTGATTCTTTGGCATATGATACCTTCTTTGAAACTAGAGCACAAAAGAGAATACGTCCTCCAAGTGTTATTATGTTCCATATCAGTCAATTATTTGAGTTCATTTGTTTCATTAATCAATGAAATGGAAAGCAAAATGCACATTGTGCAGCCTCTCTCATATTTTCTTTTGACAAAGGAAATACTAACTTCTTAATTTTTGCATCTGGAAACCATTGTTCAGGCCGCATCTGGTGCTGTGCAATGTCAGATGATGGACATGACCCATCCAGGAATTGTTCCAATGCAGAAGGTGATTTCTTGTCTTTCTTTGTTAATGTTCCATATGTGTGCATCTTTTATATTGTTATTTGTTTAATGGCATTTCTGACCTAATGTGGTTTACCATAGGTGAATTTTGATGCAAAGACCGAATACGATATGATCCAAAATTACAAAGTTCTGCAGGAAATCTTTAACAAACTCAAAATTGACAAGGTAGTTCTATCCTTCAAAGCGTGTGTTTCATATCATTTATCCATGCACACAAAGATGTTGGTTCCCCCCCCCCCCCCCCCTTTCTTCTTTTAGCATTGTTATTTTCATGTTTGATGGGATATGCCTTATTTAAATAGGTAATTTTATTGTTTGACCTAGAATTCCTACTTCTGGTAGGGTTTTGAGGGATTCCTTGAAATTAAGCTATAACTGATTTCTAGTTGGATTCTTGTAATAGCTTCTCAGCCTTCAGTTGAAGCTCCAATGCCATGGTTGATGATAGGGTCCGTTCCCCTGGCTTTAGTGCCACCATTATTGTTTACACCTGCAAGTAGTTTGAAATAATGACCCAGTTTCATGAAGTTACTGCAACGCTTTTTGCCTTTCTACTCTGCCTCATGTTCCAAGGAAATGCCTGGCTTTTGCTTCGACTTTGTTAGGATTTTTTTCCAAATTGACCAGTATAGCTCATTTAGATAAACCTTATATTTTGTTCAGTGGTACTTTATAACATATACTCCTGTGCTAATTGAGGGAGAGGTTTCTTGTATCAGTTATTTTTTCAGCACGACTGATGAAAACTTTAAAAGATAACAACTTGGTATTTGCCAAAGCAATCTTGGTGATTGGCCAGTTTGATGACATCCGTGTGTTATGATCTCATTAGGGGTATTGTCTATTACATTATGAAGTCCCCACGCAGTGTTATTAAAAGCACGATAGGTGATCGCCTAGGCAAGAAGCGAGCCCAGGTCACCTGGAGTGTCCCGGCGAAGCAAATATTAAGCATCCAAGGCAAGCACTTCTCACTTAAGCCAGAAGCGGAATGCTCTAGTGAAATTTTGCATTTTGGATCTATTATAAGATGTTATATTTGATCAATTGGATAAGAAATTGGATATGCCAATAATAATCGATTGTCACTTGATCCATATTTATGTTTAACCCTAAAATTTCTTCAACAAAATTGATTGGGAATTAGGGACAGGTGAAGAGGAACAACGTGAGGGCTGGATTCACCCAGTTGTCGTCTTCTTCTTCTTCGTGTTGTTCTATGACAAACGATTCACTGCTGCTTCCAAAAAATGGTCTGCAACCAGCAAATTTCCAGTTACCCCGTATAGAGGCTGAAAATTTGACAACATCCCGCTGAGTGCAAAATCTTTTTGCTTAACACTGCTCTTTTACTTCCGTTTCAGCTGAAGCCTGTCTCCTGTCATAGTCTGCGTATTAATATTTTACCTTCCTCTTATCCAAATATGTCATTTGACTTAAGGAAAATTACTCCTGTTTATGGCAGTGTTGATCTTGTGCTTCTCTTCTTGTGGCTGCAAATGCTCAGTTTGAATGGTATGGTTTTGTTGAAATATTGCTCAATGACAATTCTCAACAAAGAGGATTTTTTGTGAATTCAGGTCTACTGGCTGGTCACATGGAATATGAGGCCATGTTAGGAGCAAGAATATGGTGATTTAGCTAGATATCTGTCAATTTAGGTATCTGATAACAGAAGCTTTTGTTATCATTGCCATTTTCCACAACAACTTGTCAAGAACATTCCCCTGATTCCCCAGCCAAAAAAGAAAAAGCACATTAAAAACATTGATAATTGGGGTGTGCAATGTGCATTAAGCGGTTTTCTTGGTTATATATTATTTTTGATAGGTTGATGCTACTTTTGTTAGTTAAGCTGTTTTGTTGCCTTGTCGGGAGCGATGCATTTAAAATACGCTTGTCATGAACACAATGCTACATCCATGCGCATGGAGCATATTGTCAAGTGATTACTGATTAGCAGCAAGTAGTTTTGTCAATATTTACCTTGACATAAGTATGGAAACTGGATAGGGGAGGTGCATTAGTGATATCTGGAAATGTCTCCTTACATTGATTTAATTTTTTTTGGATGGCAGCATATTGAAGTCAACAAACTTGTAAAGGGTCGACCTTTAGACAACTTGGAGTTTTTGCAATGGCTGAAACGTTATTGTGATTCTGTAAATGGTGGCATTATGAATGAGTATAATACTGCCTCTTAAATGCTTTGGACATCATTCTCAGTCTGACTCAATTTTATTTGCAGTCTATCTGTTTCTTAAGGTTTTTTGAGTCTTCCAGGAATTATAATCCTGTGGACCGTAGAAGTAAGGGCAATAAGGAACGAAATCCCAAGGGTTCTCTTAGGACCTCGAAGTCACTGCAAGCAAACAAATGTTATAACCCTGGCTTGGGTAATGCAGTATGCATTAATAAAATTTCTGGTTAGCTTATACCATGATTTCTTTTCTTATAGTGTTTCCTGTATTTTCATGTATTTATCAATCCGTAGCATGGCTGGTTGGTATCTATTGCTGCAGGGACCAAAGAAGGCAAAGCAAACACTATAGGTGTGGGGGCTGATTCATCAAAGGAAATTCAAGCTTTGTCCACAGAGGTAATAGCATTTAGGGTTCTTTGAAGTTTGCTTCTTTCGTGCATCTCAATGATCAAATCAATGTACTTCATTTTGGAGGGTATGTAATTTATACAATTACACATGACAATGTTTGATGAGTTTGAACCATGAATTACTGAGAATCTGAAACATTTAGGACTTGGCTCTAACTGCATATTGCAGTTAAGTAGGTGTATATACTAGTTTCATCGGTTTCTTATAGTTTTCCCATTGCTTTCTGTTCTGAACCATCCTAAATATAGGAAAATTTGGTCCTTTCTGATCCTTCTCCTTTTTTGACAATATATGTCTGTGATTTGTTTTTTGATATAATCATCCAGATTACAGATCTCAAGCTTTCTGTAAACCTTTTGGAAAAAGAAAGAGATCTCTATTTTGCGAAATTACGGGATGTTGAAATACTTTGCCAGACTCCTGAATTGGAGCATCTGCCAGTAAGAGTTCTTATTGCTTTTGACTTTACTTCCACGGTTTCTACGGCTCGTGTATCCTTGTTTGGTCTTTCATGTTTGATCTGCATGGTTTTGATTCTGATTTTCTTTTTACTCATTTTAAAGATGTTAATTATCATTGAAATCTTTAGTTCTTTGCATTTTTTTCATCAAACGTGCTTCTTTAGATTGTATGCCTATTTTTTTTGTGGTGGTTTCCCTTCCTTGAGAGCCATCAATGCATTTTGAACCATGTAAGAAATCTGAAGTGCAGGGTTGGGTCAAGGGTTCCTTTCTGTTGTCACTGTCATCAATCAAAGAGCATTATCCAAAGAAATATCAATATATCTACATTTCAAGATTCGTGGTTTCCATTTTAAATACCCTTTGTTTAACAATTGGTTGCCTCGCAACTGGTTATATTTTACTGGCTTATTTTTATTACTCAGAAATGACCACTCCCATGTTGATTTAGGAGTCTTGTATTTCCTCAAAATAAACTGCTTTTCATCATTTTGAGTTATCCAGTCAACCAAAATTATTTAGAAGAAACATACTCAAAAACACCCTTCAGGGTTTGTAAGTGCTGCATGTGTAAATTGTTCGTCGGCCTCGTTGTTCCTCCCTTGGTTATATGGAAAAGTCCTCTCTGGTGTAAATTATCAAATAGGTTTGTTTCTTTTAACATTGTTTTTAATTTGGTATGAACCATAATCAACACTGCCCTATAACGTGAACTCAATTTGCAATTTCCTGCAGATAGCTGTGGCGATTAAGAAGATATTATACGCCGCAGATGAAAAGGAGTCGGCACTTGCAGAAGCTCAAGAAATCATAAGTCAGTTGATGAATGTTGATCAAACGGATGTGGGTTCTGAGTCTAACTGAAATGGTGCAGGTTCTTGCCGACGAGAATAAGAGACATCTTGGGTGATATTTCATCAACTAAAGCTTTCGGGTATCATTTAGGTAAAACACTATGGAGACACTTCATTTTAAGCACAGTTCAAGGAGGTTGATATTCTTCCTTAACCTCCCCCACCTGCACACTAGAAGGTGTTTGGGCCACTTTCTCCTTTTCCCCAACTCTTTTTTCCGATGATGCAGAAGCATATTCGAACTTCTTTCCACGGATTTAGACGTTGTATTGTACCTTTCTGATTTCATGTTGCATTGTACTTTACAGTTAGGTTTTGTACAGGTTTTACCCATATAACCGAGTTGCAACTCAGATTTGTTTGTGGTAGACATCATTCTGTGGCTAATTCCTCCACGAATATGAGAGCTGAACCAAACCTTACAAATCTATGGGTAACGACTACACCACATTGATCTATGGGTAAATATAATACCAGAAGGACTTTGTTGAATACCCTAAAATTTATGAGTTTTTAACTTTTAAACCTGTTTTAATTAGGAGTAGCAACTGCTTAAGGGGTAATTTAGTCTTATTATTATAAAATGTCGTTTAATTTCTATTTTTTTAATAGACAACTCTCATTAATTAATTATTATTATTTCTTAATTAATCCTAATCCAAATAGAATATTACTTAATTAGAGTTAGTTTATTATTTAAATTAGTTATCTTTGTTGGATAAAACTTCTTAGCTTTCTTAAATCATATGAAAGTCGGTTTTATTATTATATTATATAAGAACTATAAAATAGGTTTTTGCTTTGTAGAACAGTCGGCAGAAGCTTTGATTCCTTTTGTTTTTCCTTCGTTTTCGTTTTGACGTCAAGTTTCAACGTCTCGTTTGGTCGTCATCTTCTTTTTCGTTTGGCCTCCCAATCTCCCAAGCAGACCGAACCAGAGATTTCCAACCCAAATTCAAAGCCTCCTCAAGCTCCAGGTACGAATACTAAACGACTGAATGAGTGAAAGTCTTTCAATTGAAGTTCTGCAGGAGGAAGAACAAGAAAATCTTCCATTCATTCCAGAGAAGTTTCGATATATATATTTTTCCTGAATCTTTTTGTTTGTTTGGAATTGTTAGTTTGATTGTTTATTGTTAAGAAGACATGGGAGAGAGGAAAGTGTTGAACAAGTACTACCCGGCGGATTTTGATCCGGCAAAGATACGAAGACAATCTAAGAAACAACAGATTAAGGTTCGGATGATGCTTCCCATGAGCATTCGATGCAACACCTGTGGTAATTATATCTGTAAAGGGACCAAGTTCAATTCGTGTAAAGAAAACGTCATTGGTGAGACATATTTAGGAAGAATTCAGATATCTAGATTTTATGTAAAGTGTACCAAGTGTTCGGTCGAAATTACAATAAAAACAGATCCGCAAAACTCGGATTACATTGTTGAAACTGGTGCAACGCCAAATTTTGACCAATGGTATGGAGAGGATGAGGGAGTAGAGAATAAGAAACGCAAAAGGGATAATAAAGAGATGGGAGATGGAATGAGATCTTTGGAGAATAGAACTTTGGAATCAAAAAGAGAGATGGACATCATCGGTGCATTGGACGAACTAAAGTCCATGAAGTCAAGACACGCAGTTATTAGTGTGGATGCAATGCTTGAGGCCCTGAACAAGGAGGAAAAGCAAAAGAAGTTGGAAGAAGAGGATGAAGCTCTTATTATAGTTCGGAGATCCAAAGTTGTCCGAAGGATTGATGATAAAGATTTTAGTGATGATGAGGATTTCAGAGACAATGGGAAAACATCTAAAGTTTCTGAATATGTGCCTGGGACAAAAACCAACGTTGTTAATAGCTCTAACATCAAAGGAGCACCTAGCAGTATTGGTAAATTTATTTTTAAGTTTAAAAGTAATGGGTTGCAGTTGCTATGTCAACATTAAGACTAGTAGTTGTATTTAATCTAGAGATTTAATTAATTTTGGTACCTAATAAATTGTGTGTAAATTGTGGTTTTTTGATTGTTAGTGAATTTTTTCAATGTTAGTCTCTATTACTAATTTAATGCTCAAAATGCATTAATTTCTTAAATTCAATCCAAAAATTAAGTATAGTAACATAATAATTTGGGGCCCTAGACAATGCCCTTAATAGCCTAGTGCAAGGGCCGCCACTACTTGGACTCACACTATTACATCAAACCACACACACACGTATGCATAAAAAATGTAAGGACAATTGATGAAATAAAAACTATAAATGTGCAATCTTCTTTTTACTGATTAGGATAAAACGAGTTAAAATGTCTACCCTAGAACATTTTTCTAACTTTGCTCCTATCCCTAACCCGCCCGAGTTGTAGCCCTAACACTCGCAACCACTACACCCTTAATTTAACAAAGCTAAACGCCTAGAGCCTAGAAGTGCAATTGACAGCTCACCATATGCAAAGGGTACAACATGCAGAATTCGACTAAATTACACGTACAATCATTATGTAATAACACACTTACAGTCTTACACACTATATCTACCATTACATCCGCTGCTTGCTACCAATACATTGAAAATCCTTCCCTAATTATAACTATCTTTCAAGAACTTGGGACGGCCATGAATCAGCCGGAGTGGGATACCTGGCGTGTGGTTTGCTCACATTTGAGATTGGCTGAGGAGCATGCTGCATGGTATCAGGCTCCCGATAAACTGCAAGATCAGAATGGAGGGGGAGGACAAAAATGGGGCTTACTGATGCTGCTTTCTGCTGTGCAGGCTCAACAGCGGGCAATCTGAGACAGTCCTCCAAGGAATGTGACACCAATTCTAATTGATGACATTCCGGAGGAGCTACATTTAGGTCAAGATTTGGTTGGACCGATGTCTTTTTTAACTCACTCTGCAGTTCCCCAATCTGAACCTCTAGCAAAGAATTTTCATCTTGTAGCTCATTCTTCTCAATAGCCATCTGTCCAGAAAAGGGTTAAATGTTATAACAATAAACAAATAATATCAAATATATTTGGATATATATGAAAAGGCTCTAAAAATGAAGAGATTAGATAAGGAGATGGAGTTGAGGACCGAAATTAATAAAATAATTTCCAAATTTGTGGATGAAAGGAACAGATTAAGATGTCAGTGTAACAAGGACTGTCCTGATTTCTGTGAACATGCATGAGACTACTGCCAAGAAAGTGCTCAGAAATCCTGGATCAATTAGCCAAGTGTAGAAGTTAAACATCACTAATTCTGAACTTTTGGTTATACTATCTGATAAGCATAAGCATAATACACGGATGTGTAGGAATTTACATATTGAGATTCAGAGAACAAAGCTGCATTTTCTTTTTTGAGGCACTCAATCTGAGTAAGCATGTCCTTTACAATCCGAGTAGCTTCACACAATATAGAGGCCTTCCCATTGTTCAGGTGAGTCAATTCTGCAAGAGAGTCAGATTCTCATGGTATTAGGTCTCAAAACTGTGTAGTTATCAAGTGCATCAGATGGAAAACGTAACCAATTTGAAAAAACTAATCAATACAAGGATCCTTTACCAAGAGCATTAGCCAATGCAAGAAAGAGCTCATTCAAATGTTCACGGTTCATTTTCTCCCTCTCAGACTTGTGAATTCTTTTTGGAACTTTGCGCTGATTCTTCTTGCCAGCATGTGAGCTGCACCAAGAAGAGCTTTAGAGTCAAACATTCAAAAAAGAAATATCAACTTTGTCCTGCATATAGTTAGGCATATTGTTCAAAAGAGATGACTGTTAAGCTATCGTAGTGTGATGAACTCATTTTTCTATTTTGATCCGTCTTTTGGATTAAATAATCTTGTCACTCGTGAAATATATAAGCACGAGGCACTTAGATTCCCAAAGTTTCATTTGTGCCAATTTCAATTCCTCATCTTTTTACTTTGTATTTAAATGATCCAAATGCTAAATTCCATCAAAAAATCTGAAATAGTTAGAAAATCTATTTCGTTACAATTTCAAATGGAAGCTTACAATTGAACCATTAGCACAAAAATATAATACCAGAAGGAATATATTGAATACACTTGGAACTTTCAGGGGCCAAAGTGCTATTGAGAGTAAAAAGGTTAGTAATCTGTCATCTTTATTTTATTCTATTCTTATTTATTTATTTTTTTTTTTGAGAATCTAGAAATTCTTGTTGACAACCAAAAGAACAACTACCAAAACAATCATCATAACATTATTCCTTAACAAGTGATAAGAACATCTACATGTAATTCAGCCTCAATTTCTTGATGGTGGAAAAGAATGAGAAATATTTGTGAAGTTTATATATATCACAACACATTAGTAGAAATGGTGCATGTTTAGTTAGCCCTCCATATAACAGGGAGGAACAAATGCCTACTTCCGCAGAACAGGGATTCCACTTACTGTAAATTGAACAGGCATCCATTAAAGAACCAGGATAAAGTGAGACTTGAAGACCAGAAATGAATACAAACGAATAGACAACTACTTTTTTAAGTAAAAAGATAATGGTCACCGAACTGATAAACATACAAGCCATGTTATATGGTCCATATCAGGTAGGGAAACATATGTCTCAGATGCCTTTTTTGGGTCTCAACTTTAGAATATACATAAGGCTCAGGAGGAAAAGCTAACTGAAAAGTCAAAGTAGTACTACAAAAATAAATCAACAGTTTTGTGGGATTCAGAACTTCAGGCGAAAAAAACACACATGCTTACAGCCAAACTCCTCACAATTAAATATACCTATTCACAAACTGTATATAATATTGCTATAAAGAAAGCTGCATTACTCTGGTGGACCTTTACCTTAGTTCAGAACTACTGGACAATGAAATGACAACCCGACCGGTTAAATATTATTCTCTACCACATTACTGCAGCCTGGTGTTAGACAAATGTTTTCTTAATTATATACATTTTTAAGGTGGAAGATGCCCAACTTACTTTACATGGATTATTTTCTGAATCTGTCTAGTAATGGTTTCCTTTCTGGATGTTCCAAGTCTTTTACAAGTTCTTTAGTTGCAAACCAGCTAAAGGATGCCAACTATTCAGTAGAAAGGTGCGCTGGGACTTTATTGTATTGCTGGATGTGTTATGGACTACCACACTTCATGTAGTTCTGAAAGCATCGATTGCTTGCTATATAATACTAGATTGAATTATTATGATTAATTATGACTAGGATCTTCTTTGCTTTTCGTTAAGTCTATATTAGCTTGCTGGTGAAAAATATAAACTTAACGTGTACATATATCAGTATCATGAAGTTGGATTGCAACAAAACAGCTGTATCATTAATGTAATTGCCAAAATTTCATTACCATAAACCCCAGTTTCTGTATCACTAACAGTCCCTTTACCAAATTAGATTCTTAGTGTATCCCCAATTTTCCCATAAGTTCAGTAAATTTCACGAACCATGGATTCAATTCTCCAAAGAAAGGTCTGATGCAATCAATGAAATGAACAGTTAAAAAAAACAAGAGGATCTTGAAATATATACTGACCCTTTTATTGAGGCCTCTACCACCACGTTGACTTTATCAGCTATTGTAGCAACAGGAACCTCCGACTCCATGGTCAGCCTCAATCAATGAATCAGGTACTAAATGCTGAGTTCTCAGCAATGACAAAATCAATGTCAACTTAAATACATCTCTCTTGAGAATGTTTTGATAAACAAATTAAGGCAATCAACAACAACTAATGAAAAAAAATTACCAAGGGAAACCAACTTAAATCAATTAGCTGTGCACTATTGATCATTACAAAAGGGGAAGAAGCACACTCTACGCTATGAACAAACAAACAAACAAACAAAAAAGAGTGAATCTGATATACGATCACTGTTCAAAAACTAAGATTAATACATGAAGATGAAGTTCACAATCGAACCCTAAAATCTCAGGTCAAAAGCACACTATAAACAACTCATCGTCGGCAATACGAATTTACCATACACAACTTCGAATTTTAGATATCTTTTTGAGTAATTATATACGAATTTCAATGTTCAAACATATTTATATACGGATTTTCCAGGAAATGAATGGAATTGGGAAAACTTACATACCTTTCAAAAGTCTTGAGGCTTGAGATTTCTCGTTGGGTCTCGTGTGTTTATGTGCGTGTGCGTGTGTGTGTGTGAGAGAGAGAGAGAGAGAGAGAGGCGTGTGGCGGGAGTATATAATTAGGTGTGTTGGGAGTGTGGTGGACAGAGCTGCCTCTAGGAACCATCGATTCGGGACACATATATCGCTTTGCCACGCAATCGTTTTTCGGTCAGTCCTAAGCACGTTGATGGGTTTCGTTTCCACATGATGACCACATTTCCCTGTCATGAATTAAGTATCACCATACCATAATTTTAAAATAATTATTAAATTATGATATTTTTAAATTTATTTATTAAAATATATTATTTTTTAAAAATGGGATCAATAACCCACTAACTCCGCTTTTTTTTAAAAAAATATAGTCTATTAAAAATATTATAAAAGCGAAATTAACAACCTCACTTTCAAAAAGCGTGTTATATTTCAATAAATAAGTTCAAAATTATCGTATATTAATAAATAAATTTTAAAAAGATTGTGGATAGAAAATAGAGATACAATTTATATTTATATTCATTTATTTATTTATTTTACTTATAAATATCAATATCTATCAAAAATTTTTAATTTTTAATTTTATCCTTAATTATTATAATAAATTCAATTACACGTATTACCAGTTTGGATAATGAAGTAGCTGGACGGGAGGCATGTGGTTTCGACTGGGCGGCAGACGCATCTCCGCTCTTACTGGTAAACTTCGGATTTAGCCAAGGTACCGTTAAAAAAAACTTGTATCATATCTCTAAAATTTATTATTTTAAAATATATTTTTATAATTTTTGTGGGTCATTTTATAACCAAAAAAAATTATCACTTTTGTAATTATTTATTACTGTTATTAATATTTTTACAACATTTGTGATAATTATTTTTACCACTTTTCTTAAGTATAAAAAAAAAATTGTAAGTAATTTATTACATTTGTAAATGTTTTTATCACATTTGTAATAACTATTTTTACCATTTTTGTGAGTATCAGTAATAAAAATACTCAAAAATATAATAAAAATTACCAAAAATATAATAAATTTTAAATTTGATATAATACCAAAAATTTTGAATTTTGATACCGCACCACGTTGTTTAGGTAACAAAGTTTTAAACTGACAACATAAGTAGGTGCACTGCCGCATTAAAAAAGCACTTTTAATCGTAAGTTTACCAAACCTTCCTTTCCTCCTCCCCTCGATAGATTGACCAAGTTGTCGGCCATGGTTTGGTGGCCCAAAACTAACTTGACTTCGTCAAAAGGTCTCAACTCTAAAAACCACGTCTGCAAAGCGTCGATCTCGCAATAGGCTTCACTCTTAGGACATGCTTTGTTTCTTTCCTCTCTATTCTCTAGTAAATAGTGAGTCTTATGTGTCAATTTGTGGATCGTGATCTCACATACTAATCCATCTTTGAAGCGTACTTTTAATTTTAAAAATTATGTCAAATGTAATTTAATTTACACCTTCTTTAACAATTTAAATTTTTTGAATAAATAATTATTTAATATAAAATCAGAAGCAAGATCCCGTGTTCGAATCTCATCGTCATTATAATCATTAAAAAAAAGTTTACGTATTAGGCTCAAAATTTAACTTGAGGAACCCTTTTGCAAGCCATTAGGCCAGACCATGGACAAAGCCCGAGACCTACCAACGAGCTTACGAATTATCCCACTATCCACCAGTTAGTTAGGCCAAGTCGACCCATGGTCTTCCGGGCCGCCTGGCTCACAGGCCATGCCGAAGGTGAAATGTGAAAGATCACATTTAGAACAAAAGAACTTTCAATGCCAAACGATGTCATATGAGTCAACCTCCATGATTTTCTTGTGAAGGTTACGTCTTTTATTCTTGCTAGATAGTAAGCATCATACATGATGAAATGATGCATCAAACATAAAGCTAAAAAGGGATCAAACCACCGGCAGTGACATGTGAGATTCAATTGAGACAATGCAGATGTTCATGAAACCAAATCATGACACATTGTGGGGTCTGTATGTACATCTTTTTACGCAATAAAAAAGTTAAAACTATCCTCGTGGTGTTAACATGAACAAGTTTTGGCACGCAAATATGATTGGTTGATGAGTACTCAGATACATAGGTGAAGAATTTCGTGGGTGATCCTGGAATTTCATTATCGTGCTGCTCATGTATGGTCAATATTGCAACATGAAAGTACAACCGAAAGAAGAAAAGCATTTTATCTGACCGTGGTAAAGAGCCAGCCTTTGCTATACAGCGAAATGAGTGGCAAGACTGTTTGAAAGGGACTACACTTCCTTAGTATATACGTGTGACTTTTGGAATCCTCAGGCTTTTGAGCAGCTGAGTTGGTACTTGCGGATCTGCATCCTTCCATTCAGTGCAAGTGCCAAGAGATCATACTCCTCTACATACCAGAGCTCAGAAACTGTAGCCTAAAATAATTCAAGGGAGAAAAAAACGATAGTAATAAGCCACAAGTATCATCATACGGCCAGGACACTAAACATTTTCCAAGCTAAAAGAGTGCCCGCAAAGACTAGTTTAACATCACTAGCAACTGCACTAGTTTTACCAAAGTGACTCCTAGAATGTTTACCAATTAAAATGGGACCACATGATGAAGCAAATATTGCATTAAGTTACACCTCAAGAAATACCATAGTAACATGGCCTAACTTGCAAACTATATTACAAATAAACGAATAAATATGCAAGTGATCCAAGAGAAAATCTTCTCTGGCATGGAAAACAGAGCTTCTACCAGCCAACCTAATTTTAATTTTAATTTTATTTTTTTTTTGGGGGGGAGACTAAGCTTTAAGCAAAATTTCCTTAGGTTTTCATCTTCTCATGAATATTGTACTAAATCTGAAACCATGCTAAAAGAAAAACCACCTGAATCCCATGGATTTGGTTGTTTAGCCTAGCTACTAGCTGGTGGAAAAAGTGGATCTCTGAAGTTTTATCCACCTCCTGTAGGGGACAACAATCAAAAGTCAGAGGCTTATAGCAGTGTAATTCCAAGTATAAATATTGAACTGAAAAAAAAAAAAAAAAAAAAAACTTTTTGAGCTAACATTGATTAAGACAACTTCTATTCCAAAAAATTCCAGCTATGTACTAGATCTGCTTCAGTAATTATTTTCTCCTGTTGTAAATCAAATCAGTGAACAGCCATTGATTCGTTGAAAACATGATTTCACGTGTTTCTCTAGTAGTTCTCATAAGGATTAATGCACATGTGTCTAATGAATGATACTGGAGAAACGTCATGGGCATTTGCTTTCAAGCTTCTTTAAAAGTTAATTTCCATAAGTTACAACGTGACTAGCAGACCCCACAATTATATCTGCATTATACAACAAGTAATTGGTCGTGCATGCAGCTCATTTACCATGCGAGTGATTCAAGAAATTCTAACAGAGACAACTGCATGCAGCAAACTAAAAGGTACTAAGTTACTACCGCAGGCAAAGTAGTAGGATGACCCAGAAGCCTTGCAAATGATGTGTGAAAAATAGCAGCATCATACTGCAGAAAAAAACAACCGTACATTAGCAAGGGCTAGAAACTTAAACAAGTTCTACTGCAAATTATAGAAAAACCCCATAGTCATTATCTTCATATCAATGTTAACCAATAAACAATACATGGAAAGGCACCAGCAGAAAAACATCTAAGCAATTGGCTCTAGAGTGCAATAACAAGGACTAAACTGGATCAGAATAAAGGACGAGCAGGCTCCTATGCCAAATAGACACACATATGATAAACCACTAAGCAATCATGAAAGGTCAAAAGATAAGGTTATATATTTGTTAAAAAACAGCACTCAACACTATGATTGCATGTCTACAATTGCCAAGGTAAAGTTCAGGTCAATTAGATATTCGGTCTCAAAGCTGTGCAAGTTCAATCCATATCATATCATTAAGCCAATGGTACATCTTATTCATTTACTTGACAAGGATTAATGTTTAAACACCTTTCCACAGATGAACACGATAGAAGAGGTTTAAATGGTTCTTACAAGTTGTTTTTCGGGAGCACGTGGAAGGGCGGTTTTCAATTTAGCACGAACAGTAATAGGATCTGGCCCAGAGAGCACCTACACAAGAAATTGAACATCAGTGAGAGAGAAAATTTCTTGCGTCCCTGGTAATTGATCATCGCATGAAGATTTTCGATTGTGAACAAAAATATCAGTTTAGCTCCTGCCACACAGGCTGTGGTGCCCAAGACCAGCGGGTCACTAACTTACTTCACCTTCCAAGTTGACATAGCAATGTGATTACTTATATAAACAACCACTAGAGTGAAAAAGGTTACTGGTAGCCTCAGAAATAATATCAGTTTTAAATGCAAGACAAGAGTTCAAGTTGTCAAGCTTCACTATGGATACACAACCACATAAAATGACAGCAGCAAAGACAAAACAATCTAAGCATTCAAGTTAAAATATAAGAGCTCCACTGAAAAAAAGGCAAGGGCGAATATGAGAAAAGAAGTTGCTTCCTTAGGAGAATATACAAGAAAACCATACTCTAGACCTGACCATTTTGTAGCAATGAATGAAGTTACAAAAGTAACAAATCGCAAATTTTGTATAGGAAAATAAGTTTCAGGATTTCTGAAGTGAAAATAATAGAAGGATTATTCATCTGGGATAATTAATTTTTTTCACTGGATCTGGTCTTGGTTAGCTAAGCTCCTCCCTACACACTTTTCTATGCAGGATCTCTTTAACACCGTAACCGAGGCATAAAAGGCAAAAACAAGAAACTTTCAAAATTAGTAATCTTCATACAATTCAAATGAGAGAAGTCAGTCCCCTTATTGTTTAATAAAAAAGATGTCCTTGTTGACCCACAGAATAAGGTATATTTGAAATCTTTGTCCATGTCAGAGTACTGCACACTCAACCAGAGAGATGAGAAAGAGGCCAAAAAAGAGAGAAAGCTTTTACGATGCCGCTAAACGGTGGTACACTTGGAAAAAGAAAGGCAGAATTGCAAGTAAAAAGAAATAACCTGCCAGCAACCCAGAAGCACGCCGGTTGAAGTCAAAACCACCCTATCCAAGACAATTTTCAAGGGGCAGAGAACCTCGGCAACCGCTTTAACATCATTTGCTTCAGTTTCAATCTGGCAGATCACGAGACACCTCAGTATTTTCAAAGAATCTTCTGACGTGTAGAAAACAAGTCATATGGAATGGACTCAAAAAGGAATTACCTCCACTTCAGAGGCCGGAACAGGTGTAATGTGGTGCGAGGCGTGGAACATGCTAAAATGGTACATGCTAGAGTTCTGAAACCAGATTGCTAACCAAGAAATAAGCATGCCAAGGGATGACAAAATAAGTACACAACAATGGAAGTTTCTAGTCATATAAATTTTAACTCACGAGCATTGCTTCAATCAACAATTGATCAAAGGTGAAGCCTCAAACCACAACGTTTGGGTCAACAAATAGGACACATAAAAAGATAGTGTACCTCTATCAAAATATGGAAGAAATATACCCTTCACAGCCTTCCTGCAGCAAGAACAAGATGCATGTGTAATCTCAGCACTCAGCTTTATTAGGTATGCAAGCACCAGAAATACTGTCACACCAAAATCCAAAAATATATCACATTATGCACCTCATGTGATATCTCACACATGTATAAAAGCACATGATGTCTCTCAGCTATCAGATCTTTTAACTTTGTTTGGAGATTCATAAGAGCTTAACTAATTTTCTGAACCTTTTCTCTATGCCTCTGGAAATGATAGAGGCATGATGGTAATCCTTGCTCGCACTAAGAACCAAGCAAAAAAATGCATTGCTGCGGCTGTATGATCGAAGCTAATTAGTGAGCAATTTTGTAGCTTCGGTATTACTTAACATTTCCCAATAAATAGTTTTTTGAACATTAGATGTGTCTTGATCATTCAGTTGATCACCCTCCTAACGTTTATATGCTCATGTTGCCTATTTCTTGTGGTTAAAAAGTCACAAAATAAATTTATTCTCTCCCATATTACATTATTTTTCAAGAATTCCAATCATCAAAAGTTCCAAGGAAATTTTATTGCCATATATTCTTATTATTGACATGAAAAATATAACATCAATTCAACATTTAAACTTCAGTCATTACAGTAATTTTTTATACATCAATGCTAAAGTTGTCAAAACATTGTAAAAATGGTCTATGAAATGGTGGTGCATGGTTGGTCTCCATTGTTTTGAAAACATGTGCATATTTTTGTTTGTCTGAGCATATCTGAACAAAGTGTTATCTCAAGAGCAAAAAATTTTGAGGTTGGCTACAACTTACAAAAAATTTTCACAGCCAGTTCAGTTCCTAAAGAGAAATCACATATCAATTCATACTCTTCTTTCCATAAGCAAAAACAAACATGCAAAATATTAAGAAATGCTTACGAGATAGGAACTGAGTGCTCAGTGCTTAGGTACAAAACATTAGCTCGAACAGGAGGATTTGCAGCCTACACACCCAAGGAAGCTAGTCATCCTTGTCATCACAAAGAAACAAGAAAATAACAATAAAATATGAAAATGACTGAACTCACTCTAGTCTTACCTGAAGTACAGGTGTAACAGTTCCATCCTTTACAGTAAAAAGATCTGAAAGGGACAATGACTGAGAAGTTTCTCCCTGTTTAAGAAAAAGTGCCCCATTTTCCTCCAAATCCCTTTCCAAATTGTCATACAGTCTCAATCTTCGCTCTGAATTTGAGTTTGGAAAATCTGTGGCAACTTTTTGAGCAAAGATCGAATCAGCATAGTTGTCTTTGTATAGATAAGTAGACTACAGGGCTTGATACTCGAAAGATTTGAAATAACTACTACGGATACTCTGAGATTCTTTCTTAAAGAAAAAGTGGTTTAAAAGAAGGTTATAGTGGTTTGAAGCAAGTCAACCAACATTGCTAGAATTGCACATCGAACGAAGCCTATTGACACTGGGAAAACTCCCCAAGTTTGTTTTTGCAAGTCAGTCTCATTATACAAAGTACATGTTTAACCATTTCGAATATTTTGACTTACCATTCCATAATGATCATATACACCCGATAACATCATGTCATCTAAGAGAGGAAGACAATTGGATCCTTCTATTCTATTGACCACACTTAGCAGTTAGCAAAGTCAATTTTTCTAAAAAACAGCTTGATTCCAGGATTTTCATCAAAGCTAAATAAGTTTTCCTTTTATTTTTGATTGTTAGCCATATTAAACCCCTTACACAGTCCACAGAATCCTACTACTAGGCTAAACCATAAATTTCAATTGAGGAAACTTCTCAGCCACACTGAAGATAAATGAGCGTTTAACATAAACAAATGAAACTCATCAAATCAAGTCGACATGGCATGAACAACTATACTACTGTAATTCTATGAAAATACCGTGAGTGTCTGTGAGCAGACAATAGAGAGAGAGTATTACAACTACAAGAAATTCTACATTCATATGTGCAAATTATGTATAAAATATGGAACAAATATACTTCCAAATGAACAGTGCCGTAATTGCAAGTATATAACATTAATTCAGTAATCATCTGTTTCCAGAAGACAGAATAAAATCTTCAGATTATTGATTATCCTACTAAACTGCAATAACTAGCAATTTTTCAGTAGCCAAACACATCGTAAACTGAGAAATTAAGAAATAACATAGGAGAAATTGAAGAAAATTACCTGAATAAATGGAGCGAGTAGTGTGATAGGAATTTCGGAGAAGCAATCGGAACACACTGTAAAATATAATTGCGCAGATTAACCAGATCAGAGTCACGGACTTCGAGTGATTCCAATTCCACCAATTCCGAACCCTAGCCATTGCTAATTGAGAATTACTTGATCATCACTTTAATCACCTAGTCTGGAACTTTCAGCTTTTGGCCTCAAAAAAATGACTTGAAACTATCACTCGTCTTGTATTTATACGCATGCTCATGCACGGCTGCCAATGATTTTCAAATTGGGAAATTACACTTCGATCGCTCAAGTACGACGTATCTCCGAATCTTTAATGCTCGTTTGGTAGCGTGGGTAGAAAGTAAAAATAATATATGTTTTATTTTTCAAAGATGAAACGTAGGACGTATACATTTTTATTTTTTTGTATTTAGTTGGATGGATGAAAAATAAAAATAATTATTTTTTTAAAAAAAAAAATTTTGTGCTAATTAAGATTAAGGGTGACAATCGAGTCGAGTCGTGTCGTGTCAGATTTGTGTTAAGTCATTATGAGTTTGTGTCGAATATTAGTCAAACCTAACTTAACTCATTTAACTAATTATGTCGTGTCGAATTGAGAGTTGACCTGTTTATTTTCGTATCGAGTTTGAGTCGTGTTATGTCAAAAATTTTCACCCTTAGTTAAGATGGAAAAAATATTTTTTTAATTTAAAATATTTTTTTTATTATTTTTAAATTTATTTTTAAAAAATTTTAAAATATATATACATATTTTACCATTGTATTTTTATATGAAATTAATGTATATATAAGATATATAGACAAATAAAATACATCTCAACACAAATAATTAATTTTTCATCTACTTTCCTTCTGATTTTAGAGGGATTGATTTTAGTGAGTTGGAAGAAAAGTTAATCTATCCACTTTTTCATCCTTCCTACTTTTTTTTTTTTACCAAATATGATATTTTATTTACCCCTCTAACTTTTTATCCTCCCACTTTTCCATCGTATTAAACAGAACATAAATATTTAGTTTTGCAATGAAGCCTATAAATTTTTGATACATTTTTTAAATGCAATTTATCCCATAAATTTTAGAGTGAGAAAAAATTAAGTTAGTCAAAAGTAATTATCTATTCAATTAAATTAATAATAAAAATATTTTAAAACAATATTGCATATTCTTTATAATCAACAAATATTATACAATTTTTATTTGGAGAATATGTATTGTTCATTTTTTTTTTTGTTGAATGATTAAAAGTGTTCAAACCAATTTACGTATACCTCTACTAATTTTTTTTCAAATTTAGTCAAAAACAGATCATCCACACCGGTCAATCATCGATTATTCTCTGATAATCTTGGAAATCAATATTTCTGTTAATACGTGCAAGCTAAGTGCAATAAGGGAGGAAGAGAGAAAGGCACAATTTATAGTGATTGCTATTTCCTCCCCGCTTGTCCAAATATTGTCCTTCAAAACGTTCAATGAAAAGAAGTAATATCATAGGATGTAAGACTCTTATGTAATTTATAATTCTATCACTCGTACATCTACTCCCATACTACAACGCCCCAACGCCTGAACCCACCCCAAAACCTCGACCTCCACCACATATCATTCAAAATGAACTTTAAAAAAGCAGAAAAAATAAAGGAACTACAAGATCACCATTGCAGACAAACAAAAAGGATTGTCAAATAGCTTTACATTCCAAAGTATTAATTAACTGCTTTCACTGTAGAAATCATAATATTAGTCAAGTAAAAAGCTAGTAATATTTCATGGCCTCATCACCTAGCACTAGCAAAGAGCATATCAAGTGAGGAAAAGGCACACAATTCCCCCTATTGAAACAAAAAACAGAAAAAGGAAGAGTCAACAGTCACCATGCCCTGTTAACAGATTCTTTTGCAACCTTAGAACCACTTGCGATGATTTACTCGAGGTCTCTGGTTCAAGTAAACACCGCGATGAGGACCAAGAGACGCAGACGGAATGATGAAGACTGTTCAATTGCCTTCATCCTCATCCTCATCACCATCTTCATCATTATCTTCTTCTTGCTCATCATCATCATCTTCAGAACTGTCACAGCCCTTTTCCTGCCAGAGATTAATTCAGAAATTATCTGAACTAGTTTCACAGGGAGGATTTCCTAGGCAAGAAGTTAGGCTATCGAAAATCGTTACTACAAATGTTTTCCTATTGATCTGTGCAGTAGAATCAAGATTAGCAACACATACACAGATACACAAACAGCCATAGAGATAGAGTCAGTCTGATGTGCAAGAGCAGAAGAGTATAATCAATAATGTTAAGGAAGCACGTCAGCAAACAAAGATATTCCAACAGCATTCAAACCTATTAAATATTTTCCCAGATAACAGAAGAGTATAATGGTAAGAAAGTTAAACCATTAGGCATGGCCCCATCTGCTACTAATATGTGCTACTATTGGTCTCCACAGTTCAAAAGTAACTTCACCAAGTATTTGGTGAAGCTCAACTATGGTTGCAAGGTATATTGATTCCTTTTAACATTGAAGTCTGCCAAATAACACAATCTTTGGAGTTTAAGTGTGAGAAGATACCTCATCAAACATATTTTTTCATGAATTCTATAACATGAAAAGGTACTACATTATTCATTGAGTTTGGTACCTGCGCAAAGGCGTAAAATCTTCTCAACAAAGTATGTAACCAAGAATGAACATTCTATGAACTATAAGAGTTCCATGTCACTTGTAATTGTTTTAAAAAAACAACAGCCAGTTAGTCCCTATTAACAGAGATCTGGGGACCAGGAGGATGCCCCTTTTATTTTCTGCTTTTCATTTATAAAAACAGGTTTCTTAAGTTGGATGTGATGGAGTTGGCATTTTACATTACACAATTATTAATTAACTACAAGGAATTCTCGGCATGAACCCCAACAAGTATATTCCATCGAACCTCAGGATTGCATTAGAAACGTGAAAACAACTAAAAGCTCGTAAGGGAACCACAAAGAGCATGAAATATTGTAACATCATAATTTTTTTCTTTTATTTAACATCATAATTTTTCTTTTATTTTTTTTCTCTTTGATAAACAAGAAAAAATTACTTGAATATTGATTTTTCAAAACGGATGTGAAGAGGCTTGAATAAAAGCAACAGGAACACTATAGTCAGCCCTAAGAAGAACTACAAACATGCCCAGAAGAAGCATGTAAAACTAAAACACCATGTTAACAGAAATCAACGATTTACTAGAAACATGACACCATGCATGTGCAACTAAATGACATACTCTTCATTTACCTCATCATCACTTTCATCCCCATCGAAATCATCCACCTCCTGTACCAAAGAGGTCATCCGTTCAGTAAAAATTTTGTGAATTAGGAAATAAAATAGTTAAGGAACAAAGACTTTAGCTTGTAAGCTCCTACCCCTTATGTGTGAAGGAAGACTGGAGGGAAAGGAACAAGGAAAATAGCTTACATAGTTGAAATAAGTGAGAGGATTGGGCCATACATCATCCTTGATTATCTCAGCAACCTGCAGAGAGTGAAATAATCAAAATGTACCACTATAAGATAAGGTTGAGAAAAAGCTCCATCAAGATTTTATAGTATCTAAAACATACCATCTTCTACAAAAATTATGGAAATAAAAAAAAATTATAAAGATCAAATAATAGGACCATACCTCATCATTAATCTCGTTCATGTCATCTTTCTGTGGTGTTTCACTAAACCAGCTAAAGAAGCTGCATTCACAATTGTCCAATGAAAAATGAATTGAACATAACAAGAATGAATGATAAATTTTCACTGATACGCTATCACAAGATGCCTATGTGGTGTCTGCAAAGTACACAACCCATCCATATGACAACACATACTATAAGATTAGTTATGCTACTGAATGCAGATCATGACCATGCTGAGATTGTGAGACATAATATGCAGACACAAGCACCAACCGACAATAGCACATAAAATTGGTGAGCATGAAATCACTGATTTTATTCCTCTTACTCGAGCGCGCCCAACACTACAACCACACCCTACCCCTATACCCACCCTAGGCTGGCCCAACAGTATAGAAAAAAAAAGCATGGGTTTTAGGCCCCAAATTTTTAGAAGGACCCATAATTTTAGATATATCACTAGCCTATAAAAAAAAAATTAAATCCATTAAATTTTAAGCCCTACAAAAAAATCCCAAAAAAATAAATCCAATTAAAATTTTTATTGCAATAATTTGGGCCTATAATCGCATCTATAAAATTAAGGAACAAAAAAAATAAATTGAAATTAAACAAAAAAAAAACAAAAAAAAAAAAATTGAAATTAAACACTCTCTCTCCCTCTTTGTGGTAAAAAACAAAAACAAAAGTTGAAATCTCTTTCTCGACAATATTAACACATCCTTCTTTTGTCTCCCTCTCATATAGAAAATTAAAAATAAATTATTTTTTTTAAAAAAATAATACTAAAAATAAAAATGCCTTCATTTAATGTTTCCGCTTTAGGCTTCAAATTGGCTTGAGCCGCCCTCGTACCCTCCCCCGTCCCTTTTCTCAATTCAAATAAAAGCAGGAAACATTATTAACAATAAGAATTACATAAACAGATTGCAAAGATCCTATGACATAAATTTAAGCAAGTACTGACACAAGCCAAAGACAAAAACAAAGCAAAGCCTAACAGCGACTTCAAGAGGAGTCTCTGCAACACAAGGAAAGTGAACATTGAAAATAAAAAAAAAACAAGCACAAAGCTCAAATAATATGCACATCTACAAAAACTGAGGATATTTAGGGTTGATTCTATGCTAATAGCTATGTCTTCTGCAAATACAATATTGTCCGTCAGAGATATATTGTCTACTTGTATTACATGATCCGTTAAGCTTTTCCTTTATATATAAGTGTCTGGTCTCTTGTTTGATTGAGCACCAGAGGCAAACCGTGAGCATTACATGCTATTCACTTTCCACTATATTTTCCTGTCACGAGTGATTAACTCCATCCATGCTCTTGCAGCTGTTCTTTTAAGTGGTTTTTTCTTGTTCATTCATGCCAATTACTTTTTTTGCAGGAACCTTCTCTCAGACATGCCAAGTGGTAACATGAGTCAAATTATTTGCTTTGAATGACGATGCAGTAAATGCCTTTTTATTCTAGAATTCTCCATGAAGGTCATATGACGTGCTACAAACTCCGATGTGTCTAGTCTCTCATTGGGGATTAATCACCAAACTTATCAAATAAAACTGCAATCTATATCAAATCATGTTCAAGTTGTCTGAAGCAAGGATTCCAAACTGTTATTAAAACTTCGAATAATTAGAAAGATAAGAAGACCTCAGTATAGGAACAAAATTGGTAGGACACCAGTTTGCCTAAACAGAACCAAAAGATCAAAAACAATAACCTGTCATCAGCATGAGGCCGCTTGCTGCCCTTCTTCTCATTAGCAACTCCATTTGGTATGCCCTTCACAAATTGAAATGTGAAATATTTCAATAATACAAGAGCAGAACAAAGAAGTTACATGTACAGAACAAACAAGTTATATGTACCTAAAGGTACATAGATACAGACATCTTACCATGCCCTCTTTCCACTTGATTGATGTAGCAGTTATTTTTGTTGTTCCTTCGTCAAGGAATGTAAAGCTCTTTGTCAGCTTTGTATCTTCAAAGTAAGGGTTGGGATTGAAGGTCTGAAAGAGGAAAACAGAAAAGAGAATCAAAATTGACAATTCTCGTGTAAAAACATCAAGGAGCAGTACTTCAGTTACTGCTTCCAACTTAGTAGGGCAGAACAAGCAAGACTTACAAATGTAATCGAGTAACCAGATTTCACATCTTTAAAATCTTCAACTTCAAGTGACCTTAGATACTTGAAAATCTAGCATTTAAAAGGCAACAGTAAACTCAGATTATTAGAAGAATGAAACATTCAAGTCAGTTAGAAAGTAGCCATGTTAGATACATTTCAAAACAGTCGTATTAGATATCCCACTTGCCCAACTCCTTCAAGAAAATCAATGATTATTAGCAATTTGGAATAGCAAGGAAAGATTCAGTGGGACTTTTCAAATTTGGAGCAAAAGGGACCAAATTCCAAACCTTTTCGTCTTCTTCAGTCAAGAGGTCAGCAAGAGCAGGATGAGTCAGAAACTGCATGGAACAGGTAAGAGATCAATAATACAAAGGGTTCCGAATATTGTAATAAGGACATCATAACAGAAAGCAATTTATTTCTGTTTCGTAAGAGTTTAAGTTGTGTCACTAACAGCAGTCAACCAGAAGTCGGGGATAGATTTGATGATATCACTTCGCTTATCATAGATGGGTTTGCGTATCTCATTGTACTTCTGCTCTACTTCCAATACTTTATCACTTGCTTCTTCATTGATCTGTAAATACAAAGGACAACAATGAACATGTTTATGCCAATAACAGGAACACAGCTCATATATATTTACCCATGGAAGTAAATTAACTATTGGTAAATTTAACAATGCAGTAATTTTCGCTCTATAAATTCAACAAATACCCAATTATATAAGTGAAATAAAATAAATCCCCTTCCTACAGCTTTGTACTATTGGAAATAGTCCCCATAAAGATCATGTATCCTTTGTTCCTTTGATGGAATACTCCACTGAAAAGCTAGGAATCGGCATCGTCAAAAGGTATTATCAGGTTAATTAATGTCAATATTATTCTTGGATACTGCCAGATACAAGTCCGATAAATCGGAGAGGTATATCAATTAAGAACATAATACTTTTAACCTGAAACACAAATTATACACATTAATACTTCCTAAAAATGTTTAAGATGCCTTTAACAGCCAGACGTGACATTTCTGCAATGAAAGGAACACATAATAATTGTGTCAATTACTCTCATAATTTTGACAAGGGAAAAAAGGGAGGTGAGGATTATCAAGACGTGAACAATCAGGGTAAGGAGTTTTCTGATTTAGGGCATGCTCTGCAAGATAATCATAACATTTCGAGAGGTTTTTGTCCAGATTCTTAGTCACCTCGGAAAACAGGATCACTCCATTGCCCACTGATTTTTTTGGAATGCAGCTTCCCTTACCTCACTTTCATTTTGGTTAGGTCATGATTTCACTATATGTTTTCCATTTTTTGAGGGAAAGGAATACAAGATTCAAATAAATGCCTTTAATAGAAGATTTAAAAATCTAAAGTAAATGTGATGCTCTGGTGTCTACAACTCTTCATACAATGCAGCATTTGTACCCCATATCTATTTCCATGTTTCCTGGAGTTTGGTGGTGATATATCATGTCTACTTGTCGCTTGGGTAAGAAGCTATCTTCCTATGCCTACATGGGTTATTTCCCTCGAGGTTAAATTTCTCTACCATCTATCTACTATTGATAAATCAAATAAACGACAGAAACCCAATTTTAATATGAATTTTATTAAGAAAATTCAGTGTCATATACATTAGGGCGAATGGCATTTTGCACCCTGAAAAATTTCAAGATTTTCATTTTGCACACAAAGATTAAATTTCCCACATTACCCTCTCAATATTCAAAAATATTATAATGTGACCCTTCTGTTAGCTTTCCGTTAATATTTCCATCTGTGTCAATTGGTTGACTTTTGACGGAAAAAATAACAGAAACTAACAGAAGGGATACATTGCAACACTTTTGATATATTGAGGGTGCAATGTGAAAAATTTAATTTTTGACGGTGTAAAATGAAAAACTTGAAATCTTTCGGGGTGCAAAGTGTGAAAAGCCCTATATAGTAACACAATTAACACAAATAGAGATCAGATCCTAGACAGAATTTGACTAATGGTTCATAAATTTATTACAAGGGAGCCGCACTGCCTTTTTCAAGTATTTGCTTGGATTAGAATTGCTATATAACTAATATGGGTTTTTACCAAACGAGATCCTATATACATAACTTCCAAATGCAAACTTTAGGAATCATTAAAATTTGACAAGGACACTGACCATCCAATTGAAAAAACTCAACCAATTGGGTTCTGCTAAATAAAACCATCAAATTTTTAAACCTACAGGGAAACAAATATTTGCTTGCCTACCTATGCAAATGGAGTTATACATAAATAAACATGAAATAATCCATACATGCATGCACACATAAAAATTTGGGTCGATGTATAAACCTAATATAGATACTCATACACATAAACAAAAAGATAAAAACCCAAATTACACACACATACATACATCTACATGTAATAAACAGCTAAAAGTGAGGCACAAAGAGCTGAACCCTTTTATATTTTCAATTCTCACACACATGTTAATTCCAAAGGTGGTTTAATTATCCTGTTCCTCACACAAGCTTACGTTGGGAACAAAAACAAATAAAAATAAACACAAACCATTCAAACTAACACAGAATAATTTTGTATAAAGAAGACATGACATAAAAACAAATGGGAAAGAATTGAGAAAATTACAAGTTACAAATCAGTCGGGGTTAAATTTTTTTTTACAAATCTTAGTCTGTTGGATCAATCAAAATCAATCCTATTGAGTCATGACTTAATGCAATGAGCCACAACTTCAGGTACCACTATGTGTCCCCAAATATTTGAGCTCAAAACAAACAAAGTAAAGCCCTGATTGGTCCCTCAAACAATGAGAACAACTCAAAGACCTCCACTGAACTAAGCACAATGGAATCAATATGAAAGGCATAATTGAGGTTAAGTTTCGTTCTTTTAGACCATCCCAAATCAACACTAGGGAAAAGATTCACAAAGTTTTTACCTTTACATCCTATGCATTTTCTCTTGTTTTCCCGGAACCAAACAGAAAGGGAAAGAAAATAAGATTAAGAGAAAATAAATTACTTTTTCAAGCTCGTCTTGAATTTCCTGCACCTTCTCAATGGAGAGAACGAGTTCTTCATCAATGCGCTCTGCGTTGTGGTTGTTTTCCTCTCCGACTTTCTCTCCTACCTTCTGTTTCTTTCCCTTGTCTGCCACCATTTTACAGAACCCTGAGAACTATCCCTAATTTATTCTGATGAACTAAACCCCAGTGTCTGTGCTTTGTTTGGGGGGGGGGGGGGGGGGGGGGGGGGGGTGGGGTTAGAGGGGAGGGAGGTGGGGCAGAGAGAGGGCGTATGCGGTTGTGTGTGTAAAAGGAATGGCATAAATGGGTTAGGGTTTTGGGACTGCTAAAAAGACGAGCAAGTCAAGGTTTTGGAGGGTTTAAGAGTTGGGTGGGCTGTTAGTCGAATGTGTTTGAGTCGAATTTAAAAAATTTATTTCTTATTAGAGTTTAAAAAATTATTTAAATTTGACTTATTAAAAAAATGAGTCAAAAATGAGTTAAGTTTGAACGAGCTTAAAACAAGTCGAGCTTAAACAAAGTCCGAATATTTGTATATAAATGAGTCAAGTTTGTCGAGTTTGAGACAAGTTTGTGGGTTTATTTTTTAAATGAATTTAAAAATTTGTTGAAATTCGAGTTCATTTAAAAAACGAATCAAGTCTGAACGAGTTAAACTTAAGTCGAATCCAAGTCAATCTTGAGTAATTCAATTTAATTTAACAGGCCTAAGTGTGGGACAGTGTGGAGAACCGACTCTTGGTCAAATAAGGGTGTTATAATCATTTAAAATTTTTATTGAAACAATTTTATTTTTTTGTTATACGATATACAAACTTCTGTGGACTATTCCCTCAAATTTTTAGATAGGTCTTCATAAATTGAGCTAATTTAATAACATTTGTGACAGGTTTTAGAGGACTACTCTAAAGGTTGTTTATTGGGGCCTTAAACCAACAAATTACGAAAGATTTTTAGGTATGCTGGATGGCAACAATCTTAATTGAGAATAAATATCTCATTCATATTTGAACTTCAATTAATATAATAATCTCATATTTAAGTGTTTGATTATTATCACTAATCTGGTATTAGGAGTAATATTATTTTCATTTTTGTAGGAGAGAACTGAATTTTAGGAAGAAAAACTATATTTTTATAATGAAGTTAATTATAGGAAAAAGTTTTATTTTGGAATTTTTGTCTTTTTAATGTCCAATCAATATACTATAATTGGTAAAGAATTAAGTACACCCATCATCATTGAAAAATAGATTATGATAACATTTTTAATTTTTTAATTTAATTTACTATCTAAATATGATAAGCTATGAGTTAGAAATGAGAATCTCATTTCTAATCAAAATTATCGCTATTGGGACTAAGAGAATATAGTGCACTTGTTCCATCTGGTGACTTAAATCCTCATATGCTTCTTCCTTATTTACTCATGTTGTGTGTGTGTGTGTCTGTTGTGTTTTTTTTTCTTTTAGTTAAAGTATTTAGGGAGAATTTTACTTTATACCTCAAAGTTTTAAGATTTTTATTTTACACTTTCAAATATTAAATTTTTCATATCATAATTTAATGTATTAAAAATGGTATAATGTAACTCTTTCGTTAGTTTCTGTTATTTATTCTGTCAAAAATTATTTTATTGACATTACAACACTTTTAATACATTAAAGGTATAATGTGAAAAATCTAATCTTTAAGAACGTAAAATAAAAATTCTTAAGTATTTTCGGCGTGCAAACTAGAACTTGCCCAAGCATTTATAGGGGAGAGGGTGGATGAAACTCAAACCTTGCATATGAGGATTAGGCGAGAAAGGCGCTTACTACCATTGGACAATCTTTTGCGCGTGTCGAAGGAGTTTTAAGTGAGTTATCAGTAATGAAGCGGCAAGAACCCGCAACTCTCAAATGGACCACCAACCATCCAAATCACTGTAACACTTACTCTCTTTCAATCACCAAAATGAGAAAATGAAAGAGAAATGAAAGAACAAGAAACGAGGTATTTATTGAAGGGGCTCTGCACCTAGTGGGGCAGCCACACTTGGGCCAAAGGTGGCCCCCTGCCATTTATCTTACCCAATGAAGTTTTCAAGTAATGCCCCCGTTAATTTCTTGATATTTTCTTTATGACTCTTGCATGTCAATGTGTTGAGATATCTTTACAAAGTTTAACTTCAATAACTTCTTATTTATTTATGTTTTACTTTATCCGTTCTTAAATATTTGTCGTTTAAAATTTTTGCACGGGAATTAAGAAAGTTATTAAATAGTTGTAATATGAGTAAAAAATAATTACACAAGACTAAAATTCTCTTATTCAATACGTATTGGGAAGAAAAGGAATATGAAAAATATTTAGCCTCCACCTAATCTAATGCATTGAAAAGTTAAGGGCAAATTTGGAAGAAAAAATATTAATTATACTTTGATTTTATTAAACGACATAAAACAAAAAAATTTGTGTAAAACGACAAATATTTAAGAACGGAGGGAGTATCTAATTAGAAAATATACAAATAACGTATTGAATTTGAATGATCATTCAAGTTAGTATTACTAGCTAGGCATAGGGTACTTGCTAGGCTTAGGGATTTTTTTTGGTTATGTATAATGTTAAAAATATGTTTCTCAATAAAACATATAACAAATTAATGATAGAATCTTTGATTATGCATATGAAAAGGGAAAGTGAGGAGAAGTTTTGCAAAGAGAATCAATATATAATTTTTGGAACATGAAATAAAGTTGAATTTTATTTAGTTAGGTGATTAAGTCAAACAGACTAACATGAGTATTGTGTTATTTCTTCTTGTTTCAAATCTTTTTTAGGCTAAATGATGTTAGTTTTATTTTCTTCTTCTAATTTAGTTTTGACTATTAGTATGACCTTGTTTAGTTTGTATTTCAAAATTTTTTTTTTATTTTTCAAAACAGTTTCGGAAAGAAAAGGTTTTGATCAGCTGTTTTTTGCTTTTGTTTTTTAAAAACTGAGAACAAAAACTAAGTAAATTTAGAAAATAAGTTAAAATTGTTTTGAGTGTTTTTTAAAATAATCTTTTTAGAATTTAGATAACACCACCATACTTCCAGGACCACCACCACCACCACCACCACTACCACGTCCACCACACTTTCATCACCGCTATTTTCTCCACCACCACCTTTCCACCACTATCACACACTCATTATCAGTACTACCACTACATTTTTATTTTCATTGTTTTTTTTATTATTGTCTAAATAAATTTTACTGTTTTCTATTCCGTAAAACTATTTTTGAAATCATATAACCAAAATATAAAAAATAATTTTTAAATATTATTTTTTAAGACACAAACTAAATAAGGCTTTTTGGAAGATAAATAATCAATGTATTGATTAGTACGAAAATGTATTTGTGGAAAATGTCCTTGTTCAACTTGAGACGAAACCAGTTGTAATAGTCCATAGAGCCGGATACAAGGCCCAAGAGACGAACACTGTGTGCAACAAGAAGATTGAGGCCCAAACCAATCAATACTATCAAGAGATTGTGGGATTGGTTGGCAGCCTGACAACAGGAAGTGGGACAAACTTGACAAACCAAACGTGCACTTGGAACTAGTTTGATCATTCTATGATACAAACTCTCGACACACGACCGATACATGGCTTGCAGTCGATCTGAACTCAACTCGATGTGACATAACCCATTAATAAAACTCGATACGACACAAATTCGATACGACATAATGCATTAACAAAATTACATAAATGGTCTGCTAGAAGAAATCCTATGCCCAAATTGAAGATTGAGGCCCAAACCCACACCATCAAGAGATACTGGAACTCCGCTTTGCACTTTGATACAAGGAAATGGACAAACTTGCCAAGCCCAATTTCCACTTTTTTTTTTTATTTAGTCCGCAACCGAATGGACCCTTGAAGAGTAGTTTTTTAACCGTTGGATTATTTCTATTCTTCGGTCACATATGGAAAGAGAGGAATAAAATGGCCATAATTTTAGGTATTGGTGTTTTTCTTTTAGTACGAAAGATCTTTCATTTTTAGGGCATATACGAAACTTAGGGGTGTTAAAATATGTCACAATTTATTAATACAATACGAAATTTGAAGGGTTGAGTTTTCTTTAGGCATTTATTTTATAAACGAGTGGACTCGATCCGACATAATTAATAAACAAATTGAGTATTGATAAAATCAATCAAAAGAAATATACGACACGAATTCGATATGACACGACTCATTAAACACAAACTAATAAACGAATTGTATATATATAGGATATTTTTTTATCTGAATTCGTTAAAATCTAACAAAAATCTGTTTCACTTGACACGATTGACAAGCTTAATAATACTTGGGCCGTGGTTGGGGAGAGTTGAAAATTAAATTACTAATTTAACGCTTAACCCATGTATTATATCTAGTTATTTATGAAATTCAATTGACTATACTTTCTTATACTACAAAGAAAGCAAAAATTATTTTGTCTGACACTTACAATAGACAAAAGTACTCATGGGCAACTCTAGGACCTTGTTTGTCATTGGCAATGGAAACATGTAGTAATGTGCTCCACATGTAAGATGTCTGCTTTGGAGATGGAAGGCAAGTACAGCAATCACCTCAGATTCTTCTAGTCATGGGTAATGTTATTGGTACCGGAAAATTCGACCTAATGTTAAAAAAATCAGTATGATAATGTATGGAAACAGTAATGCATAGCTTCTTTTTTGTATTTTTTTGAACTGGATAGTAATGCATAGCTGGGAGGTTACCTGAAAATGGAAGGAAGAAGAGGTTTCTGTTTTTCAGTTTTTCATGGGTAAATGTTATTATGTAATTCTTGAACCAATAATTCTTCATCAAATCAGTTTGAAACTTTTGTGATCTGTATAAAAATCACAGCATTAACCCCAAGTAGTTCAAGTGATAATAGAGACAAGTTGTAAACTTAGAAGTTCTAAATTTAAATTTTGATAATTTTTTTGGGTTGGATCATAAGAAATTTATCTCTCATGAATACCCTAGTCTCGGCATAGATGACCTGCCTTTAACCGAACCGGAGAAAAAATTAATCGAGATATGCATGAGCTGACCGAACAACCAAACAAAAAAAAACCCACCAGATTTTCATTCACAACCTCAGTTAAATAACTCTAGTCCTACTCTTTCTGAATCAATCACCCCAATAAACATAGTTGTGAGATTTTTCTGCTAATTTAACAGCTGCTTTACTTGACCCATTTTGTCCATTGATCTTCCTTTTCTATACAGGAATTAAGTTCCATATGCTCTCAAGGGGGTCTCAAGTCTCAACCTTTAAATACAACCTCGAGACATCAATGTGGCCCCTCCTCTTCTGACTGGTCCAGGAAAAGTATTAACTTCTGTACCCTCAAAACTTTCATTGTGATATTGATATCCATCTTCTTTTTGGTCCCTTCAAGACATTCCATTGCTAGACCTGTGGCTTAATTGGTCACTTCACAGCTAGATAATTTATTAAGCAATCTGTAAATTAGATACATATCCATCTCCTACTGGTCCCTTCAAAACATTCCGTGGCCAGACCCTATGGCCTTATTAAATACTTCACACCTAGAGAACTTCTCTACAAATTAGTTATTTCACTAAGATCCACATTTTATGAGATTGGATGTGATTGGTAATATCTCTCTCTCTCTCTTCATTAATGGCTACCTTTCTCCATCTTTCCTTTATCCTCCACATCAGGTATACACAACTGCCTAAGGCTCCATAATCTATAATTTTGTGGGTTTTTGGCAAAAAGGACTTCTTTTGGATGCATTATGATAAAGAAGAGGTCTTCTTCAGTGTGTATATAGGAGAAAAAGACCACTTTTACATATGTTGGTTTGCAGGCAGAGTTTTGCTATCAAAATGACAGCAAATGTTACAATTTTTCTGTTTGAGTTTTTCATGTTGGAACCATATAAAATGGCGTATCTAGTGCACGAGACTCTCGTATTTCAGGATCTGAAAAGAGTTGAATGTACACAATCTTACCTTCAAAGAGCCTGTTTCCGCGACTCAAACCACACATGTGAGACAAAGGTTTAGGGGCTTCACTCGAGTCCAAGAAGCAAAAATTATCCTTTTTTTTTTATCCATAAGGGCATTTAAATTGAATATTGATCGACAGGTACAAAAAGTTTATTGTTCTAAAACAGGTCATTCACTTACTGTTTGATAAAAATGTCCTCTATTCTGGTGTGCTTGTCTGCCTGATGCTCACCAGATTTCCAACCTTGTAATTGTTTGATGAAAGAGAGAGGAGTGGCTATGGGATCCACCTTAGTTGTTAGAAAGTTACACAATTTAATGTACCCACCCAACTTCGTCAATCACATTTAGGCGTAACCGTCTTGTGGTTGAGCCATCATGGACAACATTCCTAATTGACAGCTCTAATTATTGAAGAAAATCTTTGGATGAAGGTTTCGCACTCCATATTGAATACCTTCCTTGACACATCTGTATTGTTCGGGGTTGAATATGTACATAGTGTTTTATCATCCTATCATTTGGATTTGTTATTTCGTTTAATGATCTTAATCCTTCAAGAACTAATATCTACAAGTAAATGTATTCTAATGCACGAAACTCCTGCTATTACAAGATTAATAGAGGATTAGATGCACATGGTATCATCCTGACGTAAAGAGTTTATTTTCACGACGCGAACCCATAATGCCTAACTCACAAACAGGGATCTTGGGTTCACAATCTGCCATCAAACAGGTTACCCAACCAAGAAAAAATATCCAAAAACAATAACAATGCCTTGTAGTTGGAAGTATTTATGAGTTCATTAAAACCATTACTGAAATAGGAAGAGTTTTCTTAACCAAATTACCACTCTTTTTCAACTTTATTCTGTAGATATGATGTAAGAACAATGTTACGATAAAAAAAAAAAAAGTTTAACATTCGCGGTAGTGTCATCATTGATCCGTAATAGGGAACTTGCACAGTGTGTTGTTATACAACATGCTAATGTTGTCTCAGTTCCTCTACAACTAATGCTCCAAAAACAATGTCAAGGGATTCCCTTACAGACAAGATCACTTGGAAACAAGGTTAGGCATGCTGAAGTGCTGTACTTTGAGAAGCATAAGTCTCTGTTTGTAGGACCTTCAGGTCTAAATATCGATGCTTGGTGACCCAAAAACACAGATTCGTAGGCTCATAAGCAAGGCAAAGGTGACTTGTCAAAAGCTGCTTTGCCTTTGTACCAATAGATGCCCCCAAAACATCAGTGACCCCTTTAAGAAAGATCTGGAAGATAATAATAAAAATTAATCTGAGAAAAGAGAAATTGTTTGAGACAAGTTTGGTCATGTATTTGTGGGTAAATAGTCTTGATATGGGACCAAATTGCCTAGAGAAATGCAGATAAATTAATTTGTGTTACCACCCTGCTGTTCCTTTTAACGACACAAGATATGGATAGAAAGTTTCAGGGTTTTTCGGAGTGAATTTACACGCTTCTTGAATCTCCTTTCTGGTCTGATCAAATGCGAGATAAATCTCTCATAAACATCTAGATTTACAACTCATAATTGTTATCACTTGAACTACCCCTTATATAATTTACTTCTCATGTGGAATACAAATCTGTTGTAAACTTGGATGAATTATAGCCATGTCCATAGGAGCAACTATTTATGTAAGCATCAGTTATAAGAAACTCTAGTACTGATAGTTTGTAAAACTCGCATACCCGATATATGTTGGAAATATGCAAAACATGTGTACCATGCCACAACTGCTACGCTTCCCGCACCAACTTATTGTTCGCCCCAATAGACACAATGGTAGATATCTTTGATGGGCGAGTAAGCGTTACTCCGCTACCTTGCGCTCATGCTCCACGTAGCTACTAGCCATTGAACTTTTGAGTTTAGTGAATACGAGTCTTCTACTATTTCCAACAAAATCAATGAAAAATTAGGAGGAGAAAGTTATATTATATGATTATAAAGGACAAATACCTTTGTAAACTTCTTATTTGATTACAATACACACACCTAAGGAGAGAAGATTAAAGTAAAATTTACAAGAAACACAAAAACTTGACAATGATTTTCAAACACTTCCCTCCAGTGCTGTACCAGCCCCTTAATGCTTAGTGTCCTAACAAACTGCTATGGGAACAGTCCTCTTGATTCCAATGAATTCAGTATCCTTGGGGATTCAACATCTTTCACCCTAATCTGATCACCTTGTAATTTCCGAAACGAAAACGATGAATCCAGTGCTTCTTGTTTCGGTTTCTCAGTGATCTTATATGCGGTTTCAGCAACTCTCACTGCTTTGTAGCTCCTACAACTCAGTAAACCTCCAGAACGTCCTTTTTCACCATCTTTGCCCACATTATTTTGGGGTCTCACAGATTTATTGACCGTATCCCTTTCAACGTTCTCAAAATCAGAAGCAGCAGAGAAATCTGCTGCACTGGCTGTGACAACGCTCCACTGAATGCTCGCCTCGCTAGGTGCGTACTGAGTCGTGGGACTCGTACAACTGGACCTGTCTGATGCCTGCCTTGTTAACAATGGGTATACAGTGGTGCCTGAGATGTTCTCGATCTCGAATAGATCAGAACTTGCATCACTGGCCATATCATCACAGACAGTGGTACTTCCAAAACTGGTTGTTGGAAGGTTCTGTGCTTTTGGAATGGCATCCCAAGTTAGCACGGACAGTTTCCTCTCCAGATTTGATGCTATGTCCCTCTTTGTCCTTGTATCGGACCCAAACACCTCGATTGATCTTCGCTGATCTTCCTCTTCCTCATCATTCTGATCTTCTTTAAACTGGTTTTTCACTGTCGAATTCTCCATCACGGGACTGCGAATCGGAAATGCTAACTGCTCTCCAGTTTTCAATCCTGGTTGGGACTGTTTTCTTCCATGAAGTATTCCATGTTCAACACTGATGTAAACGTCTTTCTTGTCCGAACAACGCCCGTTGCAACCAAAACTGTTGAAGAACTTCCTTCCAAATACCCTTTTTTCCTTTGATTGAGATGGGTTTCTATGGAGATTTGACAACAAAGCTGTTTGGCTGTTTAAGCTGCTTCCTTCAGAACTAACACTTACAGTGCCCAACTTGAAATTTGGTTTCAAATGGTTCAGATCTGTATACCCCTCCTTCTTTTGACCATACTTATTCCTGCTGTCATATTCCATCTTCATGTTGAAGTACTTATCAGCGCCAAAGATACTAATTTCACCCTCTTTGGTTTTAGTTCTTCCCAACCCTATTGGACATGGAGTCTCTTGGGATGATATTATTGCAGTAGGATCATGAACAACCCCAGGAATTTTGAACACAAAGTTGTCTTCTGTAGTGTTGAGATAAGAAGAAAAAGAGGCGACGCGAAGATTAGTGAAGTTGTCTTCACTATTCATGGAGTGTAAGAGATTGGTATTGGAAGTTGGATTTGTGGTTAAGGTCTTAGTTCTTCCTGAGCTTATTGGTCGAAACGGGGGCTCTTGTGTTGAATGAGGATCTTGATGAATTGCACCTGTAAGCTTACGGAGAATAGTTTCATCTGGAGTGTTGAGGTAACAAGAAAATGAGGCAACACGAAGATTGTTGATGTTATTCTCTCCCTCCATAGGGTCTATAGACTGGTGGTTTTGGAGGATGGTTTGGTGAACTTTTGTTTATAGATACCGACTTTGAAGAAACAAATTAAAGACAATATAAGTTTTTTGGGGGGAGGAACTGTTTTGCTACTATGACAATTGCTAGAGGGATGAGAAAGTTGAGTGATTGAATGAAGGAGATAGAAAGAAAAGAATTTGATGGACAGAAGATTGGAAAGATCACAAGTAAGGAATGAGGAGACTTTAAATATGAGACATATGCTTGAAGAGGTTGAAGACAATCTTTGATTTGAGAGATGGATTGGAGAGGCTTTGTTTTTACTTGTTTTGTTGAGAAGCAAGTGCCCCTATAAGTAGACTTTGGGGGGTTACAATACAGGAAGATAGTGGATCCTACATGCTTGGGGCTTATTCACAGTTTGTCACCTTTTATTCTGACATATCTAACCCAAAAATAAAGAAAAGAAAAAAAAGTTAAGGCTTAATAGTATTTTTGATGGATGCAAATTTTGTTAGTTTGATTTTTAAACTTGTCAATTTGATGCTTAAAATATTCAATTCGTGTTTAAATGATACGTGGTCACTTTCATTAAAAAAACTTAACGGATTGTTTGATTAGGGATTAAAGTGACACGAATTAAAACTTTAGAAACTAAATTGATAAAATTAATATAAGAAAGACCCAACTGATAAAATAAATATATTTTAAAGACTAAAAGTTTTATTAACCAGAATAAGCCTACATTACCCAAAAAAAAAATGTGGATACTGAGATGTAAATTTTCCTTTAATTGATTTCTAACCATTGGAAAAATAAAAAATAAAAAAAGTAACAAAGTAACAAAATAAAAAAATTTACACGTGTCACAATTTTATTCAATGAAATGACCCTAAGTATACATATATCAATTGACACTACCCATCCGTTCAAAAAAAAAAATTGACTCTACCTCCCCTCTTTAGTAAAAATCATGAAACCTTGAAATAATGGTGAAGTTTGATTTATTGTGATTTAAACACTAATAATTTAAATGATAAAAACAACTTTTTTACTAGTAAAATAAGACTACGTACGTCTGCTACACTTAGACGGGCTATGGACTACGTATATGGAAGAAGGCTACTCTTGGGGTATTACTTTAATTTTACTGGTTATCTGTGGACAGCAAATGGGCAAGTGGCTCACAGGCAGAGTTCAAGGTCCCCCCATGCATTCAAATGGAACATGCCAAACTCATGGGGCAGGCAGGGAGAGTTTCAAGTCAGAATGAACTGATGATTTGAAGTTCCAAGTATTTTCTTGATCAGCTGCAAGTGATCACCAATTATTCAATGAGCTTCCCTGGATAATATGGATAGGATAGGACAACAGTATACAATAATAATTTCAGTATTAAACTAAAAACAATTTGGGGTCGTAACGTCCATCTTCAAAAGTTATAGCTTAAACTTTAAATGTTATAACTTTTGATACAACACCGCTTTCGTTACTGTAGTCTTCCTCGAATAGTATATTTGAGAAAAAAAAGTAATAGTTTTGCTTTTGCATAGAAAGGGTGAAAAACTCGATGTGAATACTTTCAAAGTGATTATCGAAAAATACAAAACAAGAGGAAAGAAAGTGATCACCAGATGGAGGAAAGATGGTACATATGAGCCTTCAAAGCACAATGAAAGAAGAAACAAATCATATCTTAAAGAACAATTAAAACTGTTTACAGAACGTGGTAGGGCATAATAAAGCGCTAAAGAAGGAAATGAAAATGAAAGAAAACAATGATAGACAAAAGGAGAATTGATAGGAGACTCTGTTAACTTGATCTACATTGCTGCTAAGGAAGAGAAAAAAAGAAAAAAAAGCCAACTAATCAATGATAACAACTGTAGAAGTCTCTCTCCTGTTGCTAATTCTTCAGATTAAATCAGGAAAAAACAAATAAATAAATAAATAAAGCCTTTGGAAAGCATCAGACACAGCAGCATTGCCTGCTAAATATCTGCATAATTTCTCAATTTCCATTTTCCATTTTCTACGAAGATGTCGTGTAGTTTTCACCTGCAACCCAGTACTGTTTGACAGCAAACAATATCTTCTCAGGTACAAGAGGACCGTCTTCATGATCCACCATTTTTATCTTCCACCTCATACCTGACACGATTCTCTTCACCTTGGTTAGTACGTCCACTTGGTCGCGGATTATAACTGTGCCTTCAGGTCTTAGGATCCGATCCATCTCTAAAAGAATGTCTTCTGAATTACACCTGCATAAATTGTAAAGACACAATCAAATTCAGTATTGAATATGCTGAGGCAGTAAAACAGTTGCCAATTACAGTGAAAGCTCTTTCCCGTTGAATTGCCCAACTATGCTGATAATTTAAACATTATTGGTCTCACATTCAGTTTGTGTTACTAGTGTATCTATTCTGATAGGCCAAATTAACTGAGCTGTTCGTCAACAGCTCAGGCCTGGCCACGTTAAACTCTGCCCAAGCTCGTCATGTAACAAAACGAACCAAGCCAGAGACATACGCTAGGCTCATTTGATAAACAAGCCAACCTTGAATAAACTCAGAACGGTTCCAGTAGGCTTGTGAACAAGAGGGTAAACACATCTTAAACATAGCATTTGACGTGTTTATGTATTTAAATGCTTACTGTAATGCAGTATTTTGGCTTTTCCAGCATTAAGAAGGAAAAAGATTGCACTCAGGTGCAGTTAACATGAGCTCAAACTCAAACTCGAACTCGATTTAGCTTGTTTATGTTATTTATCCAAACCAAGTTCAAGCTCTAGATCAAAATCTGCATATTTTATATGGTCGAGTTTTAACACACTAGGTAAAGCTCGCCTTGAGCTCGAGCTCACATGGCTAAACTCGACTCCAGTAAGAGCAAAATCATCTGAGTGGAGCCTGAATACCCTAATACTCAACTTGGCCATGCTCACTAACAGCCTAACCTAGGCAGTTCTAGCTGAATGGAATATCCTATCATCTACTGCATTTTGCAGATTAGTCAAACATTGGGAAAACTGGACTTACAAGAATATATCCCATAAGTGAACTAAATCATCACACAATGAAACGTCCAATTTACATAATCTATGCACCAACTTCAACTAATAGAAAAAAAATTCTCAAGAAGAACTTACTTGTCCCTGTACAAGCTGAAAACACCGTTTCCATGAATGAGGTCGTATGTCCTAGGATATGTGGAGAAGGCTTCACACCTGAACAGAGAGGTGAGAAACAGTAAAGAAAGGGAGAACAGAAGGAAACATATCAGAGGAGAAACATAATTCCAACAAAAACCACAGAATTTATGCTTGAGCATACCGCAAACAAATAAAAAAAACTATTAGCTTGCTTTTATCTTGTTCTTTCATTTTAATAGCAAATATAAGTTCACAATTTAGCAGAGCATCATAAGATAAGCCTTAAAAAAGGATAATGAAGAGATCAAGAAACTTCAACCCTCAGAAGCAGCTATAGCATATTCTCATCATATACGGCATGTAGAAAGAAATGCATAGCAATCTTAAACATTAATAAGCAGATGTTGATGCTCTAGGTCTAAATTACACTCAGCTTGGATGCAAGTTTATCCATTTGATACGGTTTCTGGGGAAAAAGAAAACGAGAAAAAAAGGAGAAAGCTGTCTCAACTGCAAGAGTCGGCTAGATCTCTGGAGGTCCCAGCACAGGCCTAAATTCAAGTTCCACCAACCAGACCTTCATCCGACTTCCAAATAAATAAAGTATGAGAATATTTAACCAGAAAACAAGAAGAGGAAGACAGAAAATAACAACAATCACAAAATAACTAACAGGAAATGAAAAGTTAAGCGAAGAACTTCTTCAAGCACAACAATCCAGAAATGTACAAGCCTATCAATTAGTTGCAATGAGAATCGTATGCCCTGATTGGTAATGCTTGAAAGACAAAATGCTTTTGAGTGTACAAAGCAGCCTCATACTGTTATCATTTCAGAAAAATTAAAATCAGATTTTGGTATGAAAAGCTTAAGTTCCAGAGCACTATAAGATGCTTCTCATCCCTTAAACCAGCCAAAATGATGTACCATGACAAAAACTTCCATGTGTAATCTTTCCCTTTCTGAGCAACCTAGAGAATGCTTCTAATATTACTAATAAACAGCAGAACACCAGAATTAAGCTTTTATCCAGCACTTCACTTCTCTGCTGTGCATGGAAGTATTGAATGACCTTATTCTATCACTATTCACAATGGGAGATGGGAAAGTTAGGTTTCCACTCCAATGGAATACCAATAATTTCCTTGCATTCTTCTTCCTTAACCATCCATAACTGCTTTTCCAACCGTACTCAACCACCACAATAGTGTTATCTCCTTGGTCTCTTATCACTCCTTATCTCACTGTTTTGCAATTACCCAAACACAGGTGGCCTTGTGCACCCTCTAGTATTTATAAATTTGTCAAACTTTTCTCCTCATGATACTTTGTAAAATTTTCATCAAGTAATATGGCTAGTTCTCTGCATAGCAAGCTTAAAACCAAATCATAAACTATCTATACCACAAAGGGATTGCAAATTTTCAATAGTGAGATTCTTGACTAAAATTTGGCAGGTATAACCACTGCAACAGCTACTTGCTACCCATGAACATGAAAAGACCTTGTGAAACAGAAGAGTCAATTTGTCAGTTTTTGTTAATCACTAACCACAGCAACAGTATTGTTTTTTTGTTTCAACTGAAAAGTAGAAACACAACACGTAGTTAATACACTCACAAATAATTACACTATGCTGGACAACAAAAGTATTCAGAGTATTTGCAAATACCACATAGGAAGTGATCATCCATCAGGTCAATTGAAAACTAAATTTGAATTATATTACACAAAGAAACCTATAACGGATAAGATACTCATAGATAACAGAAGTAGACCGACTTATCATTAACTAGAAGCATGTCAAAGAAAACATTATTAGATAGATTACACTACATTGTAATAAAGATCAATTTAAACATAAAAGCTAGTAATTTCTTTTCCTGAAAAGCCAAAATTAAATCTGATCTAAGCAAGTGATACAACAAAAAAGGAAAAGGGTGTGAAGACAGTGGTAGTGAGCAGGGATTAAGTAGATGAGAATTGGTTCAGAAAGTTACCAGTCATGGTATATGCCGATCAAGCCTCGCTCGTATATAATACCCAAAGTATCTTTCTTGGCAATTGTTGGCATGACATTCATAACCCATAATTTAGATGATTCAAGTGCTGCAGTAAAACTTCCTAGCCCAGCATTCATGTCCATAATGTTGCGATACCTCCCAGAGTCAATAATCTTATTGACCCTCTTGTAAGCTTTTACATGCTTCCGCCATAGTTTGTTATCCTCCTGGAATGACTCAACAGAGATTCCAGGAATAGAATCGCTTAGTATTCTTGGAGGAATAGCATTGAGTCTCTCTGGAAATGACTTCAATTCCCCACCAGCAACTTCATCGGGACTGCTAGTCTCTGGATAGGGAGTAATGCAAGCTTCCATCTTCTTGTACCTAAATGCCACCGAAACGGAAAATATTTCATCCCAAATATGAAGTCACAGAAAAACTTCCAAAAGATATGCTACATTTTACTGTTTCACAATTATTAAGGTGCTTCTCCCAACCACTCACGTATTTTCCAAGATAGTGACCTCATAATGAATTCCATGCAGAAAAATAAAAACATCGTAATAAATTTAATCCACCTTCCCTGAGGAAAAATGAACCAGTTTGTACTCTAATATCACCAATACTATTTTATATTTCTCAAACAACCACATCCTAGAGTTCAACATGTAGGAATGACTACTGTATGTATTAGTTTCTTGTGTGATATGGTCATACTGCATTTTTTTATTTGTAAGGATCTTTCTGTAATTTTGTATTTTACTACTTAGATATACATTGGAAAGTTTTTGGCGGAGGCAGATATCACCCATCATTTTTATTTTCTGTTTCTTCTCATGCTGTCCTAAGTCAATACAATAAACTTACAAAGCCCATCTCTATAGAACAGGGCATGCAAACTATGACCAGTCATGTAACACAAGGAAGAAATAGAGCATACAAGGGAAAAATAAATGAAAAGGAAAGGAACTTATGGTTTTTATTCAGTTTAATGCAATCTGCTTTTCTATCATCCTCCAAAGAAACAATGTTAGCAACTATAAGTGGCAGAAGTGTGGGAACAGAAATGCTTTTTCAGTTTTCCTTAAACTTTCAGTATGATTTATTTCGGTTGATTAGTTAATACGACAAATTTGTTACTTTGGCCTTTTGACATTCGAGAACTCAGTAGAATGATAATCAAGTGCAACAGTATACCAGACATCATTTGAATTTGTGGATTCACATTTCATAACACCAGAATCTCGTTCACTGCATTCTGCCTTATTTACTGTCTTCCTCCAGATGGCAATCTCACCCTTCTCGTGCTTCTTCTCCCAACATAGAAGTTTGGCAATCTCCTCAATCTTCCTCTGTTCCTCCTCAAGTTCCTCTTTAGGACGCTCCCATGCTACATAGTTACTCCTCCAATTGATTGGAGGACCTGAAAGCACCCAGTAGCCACCAGGTCTAAGAACTCGATCAACTTCCATCATGTACATTCCATCTACAGAGACAAGTCCAATGATGATGTTTTACACATATTTCCATAACAAATATGCATTCAGAAAATACTCCAAATAAAAAACGAAAGAAGAAAATGAACACTACAGTATCCCAAACTTCATCAAGCCATCCCTAGAAGTGGCTTCTAAAGCAAATTTGAAACAGAAGCTGCATGCGTAAAAGGCAGGTATGCCTTTCGAATGCTTGACTCGGCTCAATAGCATACAATCTAAAGTATATGTCTTGGGGAAGATATTAAATCTGTGAAATAGTAAGGATAACTAATTAAATATTAACCAATTTGAGGGCTTGGGGGAGAAGAGGTTTTGTTTTGGGGGGTGGAGGAGCAATAATTGATGCAGTGGGCTCAGAAATGCTAGCTTTTGTGATCTATTGATTTTGAACTGATCCAATCATCTGAGCTATAACTCCTGGTGATCGAAGCCCAAACTTAGCACATTATGCTCATTATGAGCATAACAAATTCCTAAACTACAGACTCTAAAGGCAGGGAAATACTTTTTTTTTTTACCCACCCAGAATCTACCTGTAATATGCAATACAAAATCTATTATTGGCACCGTTCTCACCATTTGCACCCCATGGAATCAAGCAACGAGAACAGTGAGCCATGTCAAACGCTCTGGATGGATATGGCAGCTTTATGGTACCAAGAACACCAATTATTGCCGGCACGCCTCTTTCCAAAGCAAATTGAACTTGCGCTTCGTGTGAGTCCCTTGGCGCAAATGACATGGCTATGACATTTCTCTTGAAAAGGTATGCACCCCAACTTGCAACCTAAGCACAACCAGAAGGCCATAAGCAAAACCAACATTTGAAAAAAAAAAAATTCAACTCACTAAAACCAAGCTGCACAGATGATAAACGATAACATAAAAAATAACATAGAAAACCGCCAAAACATGTCATAGGTTTGTAAATATTTACGCTTATAAAAGCCACTACAGAATTGTGAAAAGAAAAGCCACCCAAAATACCAGGTGTACCAACGGGCCTTTGGTCCAATGGTATTCCTTATCTCGTGAAAGCTTTGCCTTGAGGTGAAGGGTTTAATCCCCCAACCCCCTCCCCTTCCCCCTCCCCAAAAAAAAAAAAAAAAACAATACCTGGTGTACAGAGCTAAAATGAGAAAAAAAAAATTGCTCACAGGTGTTGACGGGAAGAATAACAGATATTAAGGAGGATCTATTGTTCTGACTTACCCCACAACCAGTATCCAATGCAGTTCTAACCATTCCATTGTCTATCGGGATCACAGAAGCAAGTTGATCAATATAAGCATCTGCCCCATGAGGGAACTGTGTTCCACCACCTGGGAACCTAAAAACATTGCCTTCATATTGAATCCAGTTCTGAACTGCCTTCTCAACTGTCAAGCTCTTATATGGAGCGTTTGCATATGGTACAAAGTCACAACTCTTAGGCCACGGAAATGGTGTCACATACCCTTTTGGGGCAGGAATAAGACAGTGCAGCTTCTCTTCCTCTGGTGGACAATGTCTCTCCCTATAGTTCATATTTTCCCGAGGGAACGTCATTGCACGCATTTGATCTTGACAGGGAGTGTAATCAATGTATCGATCACTGCATGGCTCAAAAATCTTGCCTTCCAATTTGAAATCAATCCCAGATTCCTCTCCATGATGAGTTTCATAACTCAGATTGGAAAGGATGCTGCAGTCTGTCTTTTTCGTCATCTCCACAGCTATGCTGTCTCCCTTCCCAAAACCACTTTTTTGCCATGCACCCAAAAGATAGAAGAAACAACACAACCCAGCAACGATGAACATTGACACAGAGCTCCTAGTTTTATTGTCTCCTGGATTTCCTTTTGTTGCCATTATTGACCTGTTGGTGTTATCAAACGGTTTAAAAAGTTCCTACACGATTGCATAAAAAGGAATGTTCACTATGAACATCTCTTAAATGATATTAGTTACTCTAAGAAAGATTGATTATTAGACGAATATTCTTGATATGTGATACACCTACTGACAATTGCAATGTTGAACACCTGTTGACAAGACACCAATGTGTAACCCTCAGTTAGGCACTATAAGAAGACATGTTATAATACTTGACGGATAAACCACATACCAAGGGATAAGCCTTGTCGTCAATAAAATCAATACGAAATTCATTGTAATCTCTGTGATTGCATTAGTACACACCTACCCAATATCACAGACTAAAGGATTTCACATAACATACATTAGAAGAGTATCGTGTCTAGGCACATGTCCATGTCCACAACAATTATTTTTTCATTCTTTCGATGTTCTAGCAATTGAAAATATAGATCAAAGAAGAAATATTACAGTTTGTTGTCTCTATTATGTCAATAAATGTGAATAACCTCTAGCAAAAGACAGTAGTGTGCATACCTGAAACTCATACACCCGTGCGTATGTACTTGTGTGATCTTACTTGCCATTTCTAGGTCTCAAAGAGATTATAATTAAGCAAAAATCTTGACTCTATTGTAAGATCTATGAATAGACAAACATTAAACAGGGCATGACATGTGTCCAAGCCTGATGAACAGATCCAATATAACAATCTAAGCCTGAGCTATAGTGTCACCCTTACAGATAGATGCCTTAAATAACAAACACCGAACAAAGCAAAAGCTATAAAAGAACAAACTAACAAAAGTACACAATCAATCAAGGAAATACCTTGAGCAAACATTGCATCAAGGTTAAACATATCTGAACATACAGAAAAGCACAAACACATCACAACTTTCTAAAAATTGAATAACTAATTAACAGATTCACTCTAAAATTTAATCAAAGACTTCTAGACTGCTCAAATTCAGTCAAAAAATGGATCTTTGGCATGGAATTCAATAAAGAAAATAAATAAATCAGCACAATACAAGAGTGCAAAAGCAAATAAAATCAAACAACTAATCAGGAAAACTTACCGATCTTAAAGCGTGTTTGAGAGAGAGAGAGAGAGTCTGAATCAGATCAGGACATTCTTGATTGGGATAGTATTGGAGAGGAGAAAAAGAGACGATGCAGAAGTGGGTTGATGAGGACGGATGTGAATGATTGTGGGGAATCCAACAACGTTTGAAGAGAGAGAAAAATGGAAATTTAATCAGAGGAAAACAGAGAAGACAGAGCAAGTGTGCCCAAAAGCTTTTGGAGAGAGAGAAGGGGAGCGAGGACGAGTTCTTTCTTTGCATGTGGGTACGATGCGAAGAGAGTCTATAAAAATGGAAATGAGAGTCGAGGGACGCGTGTCTCTCTCTCTCTCTCTCTGTCTCTATCTCTGCGTGTTTTGTACACAGAATCTTAAAAGTGCTTTTTTGGACACGGATCTTAAATAAGATGTTATGTTGCAATCATTACAACAACAATCGGACAAAAAGGAACACAAAACCTGGTAAGTTCCGAAAAATGAAGTGACTTCGATTATTTTGATGCATTCATTGAAAATTTGAGGTCGGTAATAGCAAAAAAAAAAAAAAAAAGGGTCAGTAATATTGTTTAGAAAGAAAAAAAAAAAAAACAACTTCATCCGATGTGATGAGTCGATATCGAGGTATTAAATGATCCTGTCTATAAAAACTCTTAAGAGTCATTTAATGTATTGTGATCACCAGATTAGAAGTAGGTTTGAAAATTGAATAATGTCTAACACTAATCAATGATCATAATGGATCAAATTAGATAAAAGTATTATTATGTTGTAACCTATTTTTACTAATTGCATCCTAGACATTTCAATACATAATAGACACCCTCCATTAAAAGTCAAAAGCCACAATCCCCCTTGATAAAGGTATCACCATTGCCTTTTAAGGTCACTTTATATTATTGAATATTGTCTTCAACGGTCGAACCAAATACGATGACCCGATCCGAACCCAATAATTTGGATGTCTTGCCAACTTTGTCTTAACAAAATGCAAAAGTCAACTGTTAAAAACTAACGTAGATAGGATTTTTGTGATTAGTTTACTGTCTTATCAACATGTTGAATGCAATTAGAGGACAGATAGCGTAATGTTGTCCCATGCCTCTTATGAAGGTACATGAGTATTACTTCAACTAGTTTTACAGACAAAAAGATTAAAGATTCTATAAAAGCACGTGAAAAGATGGAGGTATCTACGATACCGGAATAAAAAATTCGGTATCGTATTATTATTATTATTATTGTAATATCAAAAAAAAAATGAAAAAAATAAAGTGAATGCATAGAATAAGACCACTGTGAAACAGCAGTGAAGCGTCTTTACAGGAGGCGCAACTTTACCTACCTTGGAATTTCCTTGACGGGAAACAATTGTGCTAGACTTACATTCCTCATCGATCAAAATTGTTGGCCGGAGATGATGCCAAACTGCTGCTCTTCTTCCTCTAATGGATCGAATTAGGGTGAATCTGAATTTGTTCCTATACATGGGTCCATGCAACATTTCCACAATATCATCATGATCAACTATGACAGTGGCCATCGTTGGCACTTAATGATATCATCGTCAGCTGTGACCATCATACATGTGACTTGGATTTTCTGACAAATTTCTTCAAGGTGACTTATCACATGAGGCACTTGAAACATCAGCAGTACACACTTCTGGATGAGCACTAGTTAATGCCAGGCAAAGTACTGAACATCCAATTGAAGAACTTTCTGATAATGGCACTTCTTGCAGGAGGTTCACTTTATTCCATAGAGTTGAGGAGAAGTGACATGATTCTAGAGGTTCATGTGGTAATTAAGAACCCGTTCTCAATGCTAAAATGTCAGTGTGGTGGTTGCCCGTAAATATGGGCAATAGAAAACCACAGCAAACACTCGGACAAATCTCTGTACAATATCCATGCACATAGAAGCACATCATTAGGTATAACCAATCAAAGATACAAAAAGCTTGATGCAATTGAAGAAAAACAGCAAAAAACTTCAAGTAAACTAGGCATACCTCAATGGTAATCTAGAGAACATTGAGCGTCGTATGCCACTTTCAAACCCCAATTCGTAGATGGCCCCTGCCAGGATTTTCCCTGAAGCATTTTCAAGGTGTCCATCGATCATATGATGTCATAATCCATTGGTATCCTGCTCCACCCTCCCATTGATCTTCAAGCCCAACATTAGGAAGCACTTGGTTCAAATGATTTTCCATGAAAGATTTCCCAGCTGAACTTTGGTCCACAAAGACAGGCAGTATTCTAGGAGTTGGTTTTTGGTTTTAAAAAGTTTGCTTCTCTCTTTCATCACCAATTCTTCTGAAACTTCAAACATTAGCACCTGCAGAACAGGAAGGGAAAATACGACCATTGCTAATTACAAACATGACAAACAAATATTCCAAATGGACATATGGAATACGACGTTTTAAAGGAAGCAGAAAGGTGATGCCAAGAAATTATCAGGAAAGATGTATAATCCAACTTCAAAATTATCAGGAAATATGTATAATCTAACTTCAATATCTTGCTTAACACAAAGATGTTTAAAATGATTTAGCCTTAGAGTATTTCAGTGACACATATCATTTGTTTATTATAACACTGATGGTATTATTCACTGCAGCAAAACTAAAAGTATGCAGTTATCTTGGAAATGAATGGAACAAATCAGAACCTAAATGGTCAAAGCTATAACAGTAATAGCTGAAACTTGAATAAATTGTATGCTAGGGTTAAGGAAAAGAAAAAAGAAGAAGAGAGGAAGAAAGAGAGTATGAATTATGAAACAGTATTGTGTGTTGTATGTTGCCAACATGGATTATCACCTATCTATAATAGGTTGATATTCAAGACAATTACAATATTAGGAAAAACATAATAGCAAAATAGAACAATAGGAAAATAACACTCTTAACACTCCCCCCCAAGCTGGAGCAAATAAAAAATGGCCAGGTTGGAATAAAGGCTACTAAAAGTCGACCACGCCAATGGTTCGGTGGGAAAATCAATGAGTTCACCGCAATATATCCCCGTCAACAATAAGGATGATAAAACCAAACTGTATGGCTGCTCCAGATCATTCAGGAATTTCTTTAATCGGCATACACGTTACACACTATCACAAATACTCCCCGTGAGCAACAAATTCAAGAACTTGATCCATGTGAAGTCTAGGACATCTCTTTTGTTTTCTAGAGAAACAATCTATGACCACACCAAAACAAGTAATATTAAACAACGATCACGACAATATAGAGGAAAAGAAAACGGTGACGACGAAGGGCAAACACAACAACATCAACACCACCAACAATAATACCGACACAAACAAACACAACCAACACCATCACAATGAGTCTCAGACAACAACAAATTAAATCGTAACAATCAAAAACTGGGCGTTGAATCAGCCAAAAAAAAAGAAAATTTGCTGGCATCAAGGTGTACAATGCCATGGACTGGGTACCTTCCTTAAAACATTTGCTGCTTTTGCATAAAAAAAGGTATTATTGATTTACGTAGTATCAAAACAAAGGTAGTCCAATAATCTACAAAGTATCAACAAAAAAAAACAAAGTCTGATAATAAGTATCTTTTGATGAAACAGAGGAAGAAAAAACCATATGGTACACTACAGATCTAGCAGCATTCAGACTTTGTAGGTCAAAATGACGCTATACCAACCAGTCTTTATGAACATGAAGATAACCTTGCGGAAATTAACCAAAGAGAAAATTGAGTGAGTTCAAGATTTAAGGATTTACATGTGTGCAAAAGAAATAGGGTTTCCATGTATCTGAGAACGTACTTATCCGGAGTTACTTTCTACTTTGCAACATGAATCTTGATTTTTTTTCTTTCCTTCAGTTATAACTGTCTGGAAAATTCTAATACCTTGGATCACCATTCAGTTGGCCTTCGTATCTGCCAACTTCACTGCAGAAATTTCACTCCCATCACAGTGAGAGGCCAACCAGTAGTCTGTATACAAGCACTGTGCAAAGTACAATTGATCTAAAGTAAGAAATGTTTACAAAATGAGAAGGCTGAAGTGAAAATCAGAAACACGTTCCGCTTACACTGTTATTCTACAGTCTTCAGCAAACATTTGTTTGCTTGCTCAGATGTTTTAGACCTCAATCTCCGGGACGAAAACAAAGGATCAAATCACCATTTAATAATTTACTTAGGAGGGATTGAGGAAGGGGTGAATGGTCATGATTTATATCCTACCAGCATACGAAGTTGAATACGTAAATTCTCTGGTCCAAATTCCCTCCATGTTTTTCTGACTACGATACAAACTGATTCCATCATTTTTCTTTAAGTTATCACTCTCCAACACTTGTTTTCTGATTTGGTGATGGTTATAAAGGGGTGGAGGTGGTAGAGAAAATGATTTCAGGAAAGTTTAAGGACCCAAAGAATCAAAAGGCTACCTAGTGAGGGCAAAAGGAAAGCCATGACCATATCTCATACAAAACTCCATCCAGGTTCCTTCTTCATCCCTGTTCCTTTCATCCCACCTCTGATTTTCAGGACTTCTTCCCACTGGCCCACATCTGCACAGATGTTTGACAATGAGACATAAGCTCCAGCATCAACTGGCTCCAAATCAATAACCTTTTCAGCAGCTAGCTTTCCAAGTTCAACATCACCATGCATTTTGCAAGCAGCAAGTAGCGTTCCCCAGATGAAAGCATCAGGTTGGATAGGCATATTCTTGATAAGCCTTTCAGCTTCTTTCAGTCTTCCTGACCGACCAAGAAGATCTACCATACAGGCATAATGTCTGTAACCAGGTTCAATTCCATATTCTTCAACCATAGAATTTAGATAGTAATAGCCTTCTTCAACTAAACCATTATGGCTACAAGCGGATAAAATGCCAACAAAAGTCACTGAATCAGGATTTGTTCCTGATTTCCTCATAAGTTCATAAACTCTTAGAGCCTCTTCACCTTTTCCATGTTGAGCATAACTTGCAATCATAGCTGTCCAACTGATCAAATCAGGTTTCCTTATCTGCTCAAATGCTTTGCGGCAATCATCAATGCTTCCACATTTTGAATACAACATGACCACTGAACCACCCACGGAAGCTTCCAACTCCAAGCTAGTTTTTATGGTGTGGGCATGCAATTGAGTCCCAATGCTCGATCTATTCAAATGTGCAACAACTCCAAGAACAGATGACATTGTGAAGGAGTCAATCTCTAAATCAGCCACCAGCATTTCATGGAACAGCTGAAGTGCCTCTTTAATGTACCCATTTTGGGCATACCCTGAAACCAAGGAAGAGCATGAAACATGATCTTTTAAAGGAATCATGTCAAAAACCCTCCTAGCTAAACACAGGGCACCGGATTTTGAGTACATATTCACTAGTGCACCATCAAGTATCTGCTCACCGTCTCCTCTACGAATAGCATAAGCATGTACTTCCTTACCGATCTTCAAGGCACGAATAGCAGAGCATGCTGTCAGAACAGCTGTAAAAGTTGTCTCATCAGGCATAGCTTCTTCAAACGGCATCTCCTTAAACAACTGAATGGCTTGATGTGCACATCCATGTTCTGCAAAGCCAGCAATCATTGAAGCCCACGAAACATCATCTTTCTCTGCCATTTGCTCAAAAACCTGATACGATTCCTCCAAACTACCACACTTTGAATACATGGTGAAAAGAGAACTACCCACAGAAACATCAAAGACTAATCCAGCTTTCAGAGTATAGCAGTGAATCTGTCTCCCTAAACTTAAACTTTCTACGATACTCAAGACACTAGAACTACAAAACGTATCAGGTCGCAGACCCTCCTGAAACAATCTCTGAAATAAATCGACTGCCCTTCCAGAACTCTTACTCTGAGCATAAGCGGATATCATAACAGCCCATGTACCTATGTGCTTGTAATTTTCTGCCTCTCTGAACGCCATCTCAGCTAAATCAACTTGCCCCATCTTTGAGTACATATTGATTAAAGAATCCTTCACTGCTGAATCCAAACTGAGGCCAGTTTTAAAAACCCAGCAATGAACCTGGATCGCCTCTTTAACCTTTGATGAATTAATGCACGCAGTAAGCACACAAGTAATGGTGTGGCTGTTTATTTCCTCCCTCGTTTTTATCATCTCTATGAAGAATTGAAGGGCAGAAACATAATCACCCTTCTGAACAAAACCAGAGATGATAGCAGTCCAAGAAACTACATTTTGGTTGGGCATCCGCAAAAATTTCTTCATAGCCTCATCCATAGCCCCACATTTGGCGTATAAATCAACTATAGCAGTCCCCACAAAAACATCTTCTGCAGCATGTTTAATGACCCAAGCCTGAACACCTCTACCCAGATCAAGCTCTTCAAGTGCAGCACAAGCAGTAAAAATGCTAGAAAATGTAAAATTATTTGGCAATAAAAACCCACGACACATCTGAGAAAAAAGATCCAAAGCAACCCAATATTCCTTATTTTTAACAGCCCCGGAAATTATGGCATTCCAACAAACCACATTCTCGCACGAGATATCATAAAACAACCTCAAAGCATCCTCAAAGCTATAACTTTTTGCAAGCAAATCTATCATTCCAGCCCGTACATACCCATTTGGAAAAAACCCATTTTTCATTGTAAGCCCGTAAACCTGCATACCACAAAAAGCTGATTGCAGAGTACTGCAAGCTGAAAGAACACTCCCATAGGTGAATTGATTCGGATCAAAGCCCGAGATACGCATCCTACAAAAAGTTCTCCACGAATCCTCAAATAACAAGTATTTATTATAACCCGATATCATCACATTCCAAGAAACGTTATTTGGGTTAGGAATTTTCTCAAACAACCTTACCGCATAAACCATGGCATTGGATTTGCAGTAAGTATCAACTAAAGAATTGGCGACAAATACATCAGTAAAGAAGACGTGAGTTTTAAGGGAATGGGCATGTATGATTTTGGTATCTCTGATTGTTAACTTCCTTGATTTGGTCCATTCATTGAACAAGTGAAATGGGATGAAAGCACCGAGTGTTTGGTCATGAAAAACTGAAGGGTTTTGATCAACAAGAGCTAGGGATGACATGAAATTACGTCCGAAAAGTGTTCTTTTGGCTCCTACATAGTGAAGGATGAGAGAATTCATTGGAATTCATATGTACGAGGTAGAAAAAAATACTAAAAGAAAAAGCGCGGGAGTGTAAGGCAACATTTATAACACCAGTTAAAATCCTATAACTATTCAAATTATAACTAATTTTTTTCGAATAATCACTTAATTTATGCAATATTTATATAGAAATATATACATATTTTAAATTGGATTATAATCGAATTAAATATATGTATATTCAAATCCAAATCTGTAAAATATAATATAACGAATTCGAGTTCAAACTATCGATAAAAAAGTTAATCTATATCCCACAAATTGAATTTGATTCGAATTAAAATTTAATTCATTAACAAGCCTACTTGTCCACCTTAGTTCAACTTCAAGATGGCCGAGTTGGTTTCCGTTTTACTCTTGCTCTCGTCTTCACTCTAACTTTATGTTAAGCATTCCTTTAATCCCAAATAGTTCTTTCGTCACTCTATAATTCAAACATCAGTTCAATTTAATGTATTACTATTTAATTGAATTAATAAATATATAAGTGAACCTCAATTTTTATTTTTTTTTTAACATTGGTAATTGTTAATTCGCTTGTTAAGTTTTTTATCAAATGGGAATGATGGTGAATATTTTGTTAACATAGAGTTTATTTATAAATTAGTGTTCTCAACGTTATTCAATAATTGTCAAGATGGCCGAGTTGGTCTAAGGCGCCAGTTTCAGGTACTGGTCCGAAAGGGCATGGGTTCGAATCCCATTCTTGACATTTGACTTGTTTTTTTAATGCTTTTAGTGGAGGCGGATTTTTTATGCTTTTATTATTTAGGAAAATTTCAACAACTCCCTTTCTAGTTTATCATATTTTCGAGGACACTACATTTATTTTATGATTAAATTATCCATGATATATTTTATGAAAAATTATATTCACACCCCTTTTAGATAAGTATATCTTCAATGAAATTTTTTATATTTTATAATTTTTTTATGTATTAAACTCGAGCCGATTAAAAAGAATTTTAATAAACTTGTATTAAATTTTAATCGGTCCAAATTTTGATATAAATTTTAATACGTGAAAATTGAATTTTATTTAACTTGAATCGAATTTTAATTTTGATAAAAAAAATTTTAATTTTGATAAGTAAAAAAATATAAATTTTAATCAACTCAAATCGAATTTTAATCGGGCTAACAACTCAAATCAGCTCGAATTTAATACGTAAAAAAAATTAATAGGCTTGAATTTTAATACATAAAATAAATAAATTTTAATGAGTTCGAATCAAATTTTCATCGGCTCAAATTTTAATATATAAAAAAATAAATTTTAATCAGTTCAAATTTTATGTAAAAAAAAAAAAATTGTTTGAGATTTATGTATGGGCAATTTTGATATTTTAGATAAATTTTTTTTTTGGTTAGAAATTATGGTTTAACGAATGGGATTTCAGTGATGTTTTGAATAATTGAAAAGGTATCCTTAAAGATATGATAAACTAGAAAGGGTGTAATTGAAATTTTTTTTTTATTATTTCTATATTATACAATTGTTTTAGTACTTTAGACCTGTACTTGAAATAATTTGATTATAAAAAGTTCTGGACCATAAAAATAAGTTTCTCCTAACATAGACGTACAACATTTGTACTCTGTTTTATCCTCTAGAAAGTTTTGATCAATGAGAACTTTCTAAGATGATGGGTCAAATACAAACTAAGAAGGGAGTGAATGGAAGGTCTATAAGCTTAAGCATCCGTCAATTTCGTCAGTGCATACATCATTTGCTAAAAGCTCTTCTTTTTGTCCCCTTTTTCTCTTTTTTCAAAATGTTTTGAGTAATCTTTGATTTGGTCGTAGATGTTGCCCATAATCAAAACATACCATAAATTTTCAAACTCAATCACTTCACGTGTCTACCAACTTTGAAGGTTTGAAAAGGTACAAAAACACCACCAAGATTTTGCAGATCTAATGTGGAGGATCTCGACCCTCTACTGTATAATATTTGTGTGTGTTTCAACTTTGAACTAGACTTACGCGACTTTAAAATTACTTGCACAGTAGATGTGGGATAAACGTGAGTAACAAATCTCAACCCCTTTTCGCATCACTTCGATAGGATGTGGGATTCGAATGATAATTTTCATCAGACTCGTTGTTATCGTATAAATTCTTTGTATACTGAACCAAAACACACAAAGAGGTGCACAAATTACATGACATTCACATTCCTGGGGTTAATAACTACTACCATTTGTAATGTACCGAATTTATACTTTATAATATTGTCTACTTTTGATCAGACCCACGTCATTTTTAAAACACGTTATATAATAAAGACTTAATTGTATTTTACCCCACGTGGTTTCGGTTAGAAGAATCTTACTTATTTGATGTTTAAAATTATGTACATTATTTTTTATAGTTATGTACTAAAGTGAAGTAATTTACGTCGTTAACGGAATTTAAAAATTATTATAATGCCAACATTTTAAAATCAAACTTTTCATCTGATTTACTCTTGACCATAAAATTAATGGGACATGACAACAAACTAACACATTTTAATCAAACATGTTGAGTCTCTTTTTCCTTCAAATGTGGTTTTGATCCGGGGCGGAAATCACTTATATTTTTCATACATGTTTTTTAATTTGAGATCGATGTTTTACTTATTTGGTTACTATACCATATATTATAAAAGGTACTTTTGGAGAGAAACAATGAAAACAAAGCCTACAACATAGTTTGGGTGTGTAGGGCACACTCTCCATTAATTTGGATGATAAAAATAATTATTTCACTTTAATACATAACTGTAAAAGGGTAATATGTAAAATTTTAAACATCAAGTAGGTAAAGTGGTTCTAGAAGGAGTTAAAGAGCAATAAACCTTATAATAAAAGTCTAAAATTTGTATTTATTAATACATTATCTTCAGTAATCAATGAGGTAGGATGAATATGAGTTAGCCCACTATATATATGACTCATTATAACATGTCTGAGAGAGAGAGAGAGAGAGATGGCAGAGCAAAGCAAAGTGAAGCTGCATGGGATGTGGGCAAGCCCTTATGTAAAGAGAGTGGAACTGGCTCTCAAACTGAAGGGCATACCCTACGATTATGTAGAAGAAGATCTGTGGAACAAGAGTGAGTTGCTCCTCCAACTCAATCCAGTTCACAAGCTGGTCCCAGTTCTTGTTCATGGTGGAAAACCATTATGCGAGTCATTGGTCATCATCGAATATATCGATGAAACATGGCCCAATGCCCATAGACTTCTGCCTCAGGATGCTTATGAGAGAGCCAAAGTTCGGTTCTGGGCCACCTTTCTTCAGCAACAGGTGAGAAATATAACTTACAAACTGCCTTTGTACATGAATTCAAGTACAAGCAGGAAGCTTTGATCTTTCATTTGTATACTGTTTTTTCTTTGGTTAATTATTGATCTGTTGCTATGGTCTTTGATGAATATGCAAGAAAATAATCTAGGTGTGATGGGTTTGAGTGATGGAAATAGTCTTTTTGTTTGTAGAATATGGATGTGAATGTTCAACCCTCTCTAGACACTTCCTTTTTAGAAACCTGCTCGTACCTTAAGCTGGGTCACTGTTGGCTCATTTTCGTCCTTGCATCATGATTATAACCTAATGCAATAACTTTGTAGCTAGTGTTTAGTGTTGTCCTATTGTGACCTTGGAATTTCTAGATACGGCGAGTCAGACTCTCTGAATACGTGGTAAAATTGCATATATCTGACTTTCATAAAATCCGACAGTGACATAATTTTGTACACTAGACTATCTTTTTCCGAATTAAAATAGAGATAAGGATCGCCTTTCGATCTTGAATTCAACGAACAGATATAGAGGGTTTGTTCTTGTAGCTTCTTTCTGCAATAAAAATAAGGGTTTCCAATTGCAAGGGCAATGGACTAACGAGTAGATTGACTAACTGTACTACTGCTTTGTTCATCAATATTAGCTATATGACCACGTAGCAAAGGTCATCAGACGAGATGGGGAAGTACAAGAGAAGGCCATCAAAGAAGTGCATGAGAAGCTGCAAATTTTGGAACAACACATGGAAGAAATTTTTCCAGGAGGCAATCCTCTAGTTGAAGATCAATTGGGTCTCCTAGACTTGATGATGGCTCAAACAATGAATGCCAACAAAGCTATTGAGGAAGCCTTTGGTTTGAAGCTTATAGACCCAGAGAAGTATCCATTGGTATATTCATGGATGACATCTCTCCATGAGATCCCTGTGGTGAGAGAGACGGCTGCGCCATCACATAAAATGGTGGGTCTCCTTCATATTCTCAGGAAGATGGGCCTTATGGGGCATGACTTATAAGTATCGATGTTATCTACACCAGTACTCTTATAGAGATCGTTCTTTCATGTATTTGGACCTAATACAAACTTGGTTGTGTAACTTTGGCTTTTACTGTTTGAGAGAGTAAAATTCTGGGAAGCCAACAATGCTGTTGTACTGTTTTATTTTCGCATATGTTTGAAGAATTAAATAAGTTATGGAGGACCATCTTGAAACTAATGTTCCATTGGGAATGTGTTAAGATAGGTGGAATAAAATTATATGAATATATAATAAATTGGGTGATTATTTTATGAAATTTGTTTGAAATTAAGTTATTCTTTCTTGGCTGAATTCTCTGTGTACCTCGTATAAGCTAAGACGCACAAATCTAGTGGCTGATGCGCTAAGTCAAAAAACTGCACTTGTGAGCTTGAAGCTACAGGAGATAACTGTTGTGAGCCAATTTAGGAGCACCCTTTCTTGACTTATTCAGTATACCTAGCGCTTATGCCTATCCGTCCCAGAGGAAAGTCAAATCAAAATTTTGGATCGATTTTTGTATATTTTTAACAACCCAAGTTTTAATGCTAGTCATTACCGAATTAGTCAATACTATTCTATCATACTATAATATAACTTAAATCTCTCGTAATGCTTAACTCATTCTGTTGTAACATTTCGTTCATATCGCCCAAGTGATTCATAATACGACATCCTATGTGTGACCATGAAGGGATGGCAAACATTTTAGCCAAAAAGGACTGGTGTTAGACCCTTAAAGAGGATTGGCATGCAGGTGACTTAATTCATATTCCCATTGTGCATAAACCTTTGCATTCAGGGAAACTGAAACCAAGCAAATATTTCCCCACTCTTGTAAACTAACCATTAAGCTGTACCCCATATGCAAGCTGGATTCACTTAAATTCCAAATGAATAAAAAGAGAAAGAACCAATGCTAGGAAATAAAATCACTTGTTATATGCATGCAAATCAAGCATTGCACCAAACTACAAACCACAAGACTGCATTACTCGTTTTCAGTTCAGTTCATCTCATGCAATAGTATTGAAAACATTCTGGTGTGTCTCAAGTATCTACTGCATGGATTAATTGCATTCCACCCAGCTACCATCCCATTTCAATCCATGTCCTAATGATTAAATAATTGAAATCGTGAGCAAATATTTAGAGACTGACACCATGAGTAATGCCAGGATGATACAGAACATAATAGATATGCTTCTAGAGTAGGTAAAACAAGGGCATAGAATTGGCAGGAGGAAGAAATTAAAAAAAAAAAACTTAAATAATGCCAGTTAAATTCAAAAATTATCATCTCACAATAAATTTAGTGCACAAATTATAATCATCCTATGAGTCAAAATTTCTTGCAAGCACATTTTAACAGAAGTATCTTAAATGTAACATCTTAGCTCTTTGTCGCCTGCTTTTCTTTTGCCTTCTGAATCTTTAGAACCTTCTTCACAATCTTCTGCTCTTCTACCAAAAAGGCTCGGATAATCCTACAAAATCAACACATAATCACATAAACTTGACCCAAAGAAAGGCAAGAAGCTTAAAAAAATTTCTACAAAAACACTTGGTCAAAGAATACTGAAGTACAGACAAGGAAATGTGACATGAACCAACCTCTCTCTCACAGCACTTCCAGATAATACACCACCATAAGCACGGTTCACAGTCCTTCGGTTCCTTGATAATCTGGACCTCTTGTACTCAGCAGGTCTCAAGTGAGGAATCTGCATATGGAACCATCAATTTTGGATACCTCAATTTTTGTCCATTAAGCCTCAGAATTACAATCAAATGCTGATGTATCGAACTATGATATATGCACAAAACAGAGGCACACAGCACACTAAGTTCTTGGCATGCTAAGACAACCAAACAACCAGGAAAAGAAATGCACAAGAAACCAAAAGCAACAAGCGACGTTAGGACAAATTTAACATTCCTATTGTAACAGATTGTTAAAATTATAATATAAATGAGAACAATGGAGAAAAATGAAATCTACCCTACTTTATACACCCCATATCACTCAATTTTCATATCTTCCAATACGATCGTAATGTGCATATCCCATCAAGCATATTGAAAAAAATCCAGGATGAAACACCCAGAAAAATAGCAAATGGTTGAAAAACAGTACTACCAAGAATGAGACACAAAAAGAAACCATACAAATCTAAGCTAATATTTTTACCAGATTTTATGGTAGAGGCATCAAAAATATGCAACAACTATCATCACCATGATAAGCACCCTTAATCAGCTACTTCCAATTTTTCCTTTTCCAACTCTATCCATATAGAGGTCCCAAATCTATGTAAATATCAAACTTTTCAGCTAATCAATCATAAAAGAAATGAGAAAGAAGTAATGTGTGTGGCTAATTCAACATGGATTGAAAGATTTCGGTTATTACAGATGTTTTAAAGCTAAACTGCCAGAGGCAAAATCTTCTTGGAACAGGAACAACATCATAATTGTCAAATGTCATGCCAGTTACTTATACAGCAATCCTTGTTTATACAAGAGCTTCTTAACTAGGATAAAAAAATTTTGGTTTTATTGAACTTGTCAAAACAAACACTTGGTAAAAGTTAGTATATAAAATGTGAAAGTTATAATGATCAAGCTAATTGAAGATAACGTCTATCTTTGATTAAGTAACATTTGCAAGACCCTAAATCCAAAACAAAGTGATGAAGATCGAAAAGGGATTGGATAACCGTAAATTGAAGAGTTGAAAATTATTATTTATTATAGTATTATTATATTAATTAGGGAATATATATTTGACTAGTATTACTTTAGTAGTTTTGGTGTAAGAGTTTCATTAGGTTACTATTTTAGAGTTCATTAAGAAACTATTATCCAGTTTTAATAAGGGGGATAATTTGAAAGTTTGATTATGAAACTTTTTTAGAATTTTAACTGGAGAATTTTTATTTTCGCAAGAGACTTAGCCTATAAATATAGATTTAATCCGTACTATTCTTTTAAGAGAGAGATTATGAATATGAATTGATTATTCTCTATGGCGATTTGTGTATTTCTTAACCTAATCATTGTGAGGATGTGGTAACCTCCCCATCTTCTCTTTCTTTCCCTTCCCTTCCCCTCGTCTCCCCAACAAACTTCACAAAGCTAGCCAAAATGGTGAAAATCAAAATTTCTCTACCAGCAATCTTCAGTAAAACAAAAGTGCAACATGTACAAGTCGTTCTCTAGGATAAAAGTGTTGATTAGGATTTACAGACAGTATCATATAATTCTGTTTTAAAAGTTTTGGCTTTATTTCCTTGAATTATATGAAAACCAGGCAGGCAGTATCAACTTCTTAACTATAGATTCCGAAATACGTCACCAATTTTCTTAAGCCACGTAGTCCAATAAACTTGATAGAAATCCGTCTCCAATTTTACTATGCTGATGAAAAATCATACCATACAATCACAAGGCGGGAAGATCTCACAAAATTACTGACAATACGAAATTTAGAAAAAATAAGTCAAGGGGGAACATGGAACTGGACAAAGCAAAATGACAAAAAAAGATTCACGTTATCAATCACAAGGTATTGAAAAATGCTTATTTTAATTGAGTTGAGTTACAACAGAAAACAGGATAGTCAAGTATGTGCTGCCAGCATTTAGAAGAATAAAATCAATGAACAAAATGACAGAAAAAGAAATATTGGACTAAGGAAATGATTATGAGCCTATGTTTTATGATGGCAGCGCACAGAAACTCAATTGATTGTGCAGTGGCAACACATTTGACAAATGAAGAGAAGAAAATTCCCAATGTTCCATAGGCTCCTGTGCGAGTTATACTTGAAAATGAGCTATGTTCTCAGCACCATACATAGTACAGTAGCAACAATTCCTTGTTTTGCAAATTAGATAAATCCAATTACTAGACAATTACTAGACAACTACATAAACCTGAAAATACTATAACAACTGGCAAAGAAGTGAAAAAAAATTAGGCACTCTGCAAGCATACACCATGTGGGGAAAAAAGAAGGCTGCAATTCCAATTTAAGTCATCAAAAAATGCCAGGAGAATAAATATTTGACTCCTCACATCCAGTACCCCAACCTCTACCGCTACAAATTGAGCTATTTTAAGGCTAACTACTTAAAACCCACATTATATGATTTACATTATCAATTAATTTATATGAGATCCTTGTACCCTACAAATCAACATGCAATTAAATCAAAATGTCACCATGAAAAGATCCACTACAAGCTGAGATCAATTATCATTATTATACTAGTATATCAGATTACAACAGCCAGCACAGGTGAGTGTAACCACAATTCCTTACCCCTTGGATTCGCTTCCCAGTAACAGGACACTTGGGCCCACTGGCTCTCTTCTTAGTGCTCTGGTACACCAACTTTCCTCCTATAATTCAATAAGTAACAACAAATAAGTAAAACAGTAGCGAAAATGGATGGTCTAAGAGCTAAAAATGCACTAACAAAGCTACCTGAATAAAGCTTAACATATAAAACGAAACTATATCGGCAGAGAATAAAAAGGAATAGATCTAATCCCATTCATAAGCAAATGCAACATTAGGGTTTCGTTAAACCGAGGGTTTTACAATTGCCCATAACATATACAAATCAAAACTATTAATATGTATGGGTTGTGTGTGTATCGGGAGATAGATACCAGGGGTTTTAACGACCCTGTGCTGGTTGGATTTGGTCGCATAGCTATGGCGTTTGCGGTACGTGAGACGCTGCACCATCTTCGGGGAGACTACTCTCTCTCTCTCTCTCTCTCTCTCTCTCGGGAAAGAGTCTGAAACGGAAGGGTCTTTGTATAGGCTTGAGTTAACAAATTAAAACCCTACAGTGTCATAAAGCCCTAAATCGGACGGCTGTTGCGGATTCTTCTAAACGGTTGAGATTTGTCAAATTGTAAACATTTCTTTACTTACGTATATTTGGGCAATATTTAAAAATTTTATATGGTGTCTTTAAGGGTTTGTTTGATTTGCGTTTCAAAAAATAGTATCTAAAAAAAGTTGTTGAAAAGAGTTTTAAGAAAGTGATTTTGATATTTTTTAAGATAAAAAATTTGTTTGGTTATATGATTTTAAAAACAATTTTACAATACAAAAAATAGTAAAACATGTTTGAACAGCCTAAATATATATTTGAACAGTAATTTAAACATTAATAAAAAAAATATTAAAAAATTATTTTTAGATTGACAAATTCATAAAAAAAAATTCAATAAACCAAAGTTTAAAATATATATATATATACACCCCTCACACACATAATATATATATATATATACACGTATATACATTTATATATATATATATACAAATTTGTATATATACATATAAATAAATATACGTATATTTATTTATATACACCTCTCTCACACACGCACACACACACATATATATATATATATATATATTGTTCTTCTTATTTCCAAAATTTAAAAAAAAAACTCTGAAAGCAAGTTACACTTGTTTTCTGTTTCTTTGACTCAAATCTCATTTTTTCCTAAAATTTAAACAACAAAAATGTTAAACAAATAAGTTTTTGGTGTTTTTAAAATTTTAATAACAAAAAATTGTTTTCAAGATGGTAATCAAACATGGCCAAAATTTTTATTTTAGACCCTCAATATATAAAAAATATTGTAATGTAACCCTCCATTACTCATTCCACCAAAACTGATGGCTTCATTCAAAACAATCTATATTATTACTCATAAATGCCCTCCATTATAGAAAAACTAGTTCAACTTTGGCCTCAAAATTTTCAAATGAAAAGAAATTATATGTCTCTTTCACTTTTTAAATGGAATCTGTATCAAATTTCACCCAAAATCTGTTTTATGATTCGGTCCAAAATATGCTCCAACAAGTCAAATTTGATAAAATTTAAGAACAATTTCTATTTTTGTTTAATAAAATAGAATCTTAATTTGGTGAAATAGAGTGTTAGTTTGATAAAATTGAATATTCATTTGATAGCATTAAAGGTCAATTGAGTATTAATTTGATAAATTGACTACTAGTTTGATAAAAAAAATGAATGTTAATTGGTTGGATTGAATGTTAATTTGATAAAATTGAATATTAATTTAATAAAATTAATGATCAATTTAGTATTAATTTAATAAAACTAAAAATTAATTTAGTATTGATTTGATAAAATTATATGTTAATAGAATAAAATTTAATGTTGAAAAAATTTGAGTGTTTCTTTGATGAAATTAAATATAAAGATGATAAAATTTAAGGTCAATTTTATAGTAATTGGATAAAATTTGATTAATTTAAGGCAATTATATTAATAATAGTTGGATATGAAATGAAAACATAAACTCATATGATTAAAAAAAAAAGAAGTTTTGTGATCATGTATAAGTTAGGTCATAATAGGGGGTAAAAAAAAGAAGTAAAAATTAAATAATATGTGGGAATTCAAGATAATACATAAATTCATGTTCTCAATTTACCCCGAATGAAACTATGTAGTACATAAAAAAATGTTAGTGAAATATGATCAAAATCCATAATAAAAACTTAGGACTTTTTGCACTTTACACCCAAAAAATATCTTGATTCCCACTTTGTACCTTGAAAAATTATTTTTTTCACATTACACCCTAAATGTCATAAATTAGTTCCAATGTGACACTTGAACTAACGTCTGTTTTAGATTTCGTTAAAAATTGATGATATTAATAGTGGGTGGCAAGGCATTAAATTTTAATCGAATTTGAAATGAATGTTAGTTCGAAGCTATATTATAACTAATTTATAATATTTAAGGTGTAATGTAAGAAAAATAATTTTTTTGGGTACAAAATGAGAATCAAAACATCTTTCAAGATGTAAAGTGCGAAAAACCCTAAAATTTACCTGAAATGAAACTAAAAGAGTATCAGTCGGTTAAAATAACCGGCCAAACTATCGGACCTTTTAGTTAAAACCCACGCTCGAAAGTGACCCATTTGATAGCATTCATCAGCTCTATTAAAATGCTCGATATACCAACACAGAAAAATAAATTTAGCTTATTTTCAGAGTATTCTTTGAAAATTTTGAAAATAAGGAGAACAATTTTGGACAAGTCGAGCCTGCACCCCTATATATAGAGTCAGATATGAAATCCGAATTTCAAAATAAAAAATATTATTCACAACTTTATACTATTCCTAATTTTAATAATTTACAATGACGTCATTGCATACGTCATAAATGTTGTACACTTTTTTACTATACATTATTCACAGTCTTTATAGTGACGTAAGGGCATACGTCACTTCTTCGTAGTGACGTAAGGGCGCACGTCACGTCGTTGTAGTGACGTCAGGACGTGCGTCACTTCTTCCGGGTCTGCTTTATCTGATCATTTTCTAAAAAATAAAATAGACAACACATTATATTTGTCATCATGGAGATTTATCTTCATATCATCATTTAACAAATCATTGTTAATTTCAATGTCACCTTTAAGAGGGTATGTCCCTGGAAATCCATAAAGTCGTCATCAGAATTAATAGGAGTAAGAGATTTATTATTTTCTTCCTCAACTTTATCTTTCTCTTTGCCTTTTATGGCAACTGTAGGAGTGTTGACGAGATTCAGCTTTTCAATTTTGCTCATGCCAAAAGTAGACATGATCTGAAAATCGAATTCCTTCATAACTGTTATTTTAAGCTGCTCATAATTTAAGTGGGGTTTTTCGTTTTTAATTAGTTCTTTAAAAACTTCAATAGGATTTAAATTAGTTATAGTATTTATACTAGTAGAGGGAACCATTGATGTAGAAGATGAAGCTTTATTTGTTGGAGATTTATCTTCTCCTTTATCTATATCTTTAAGACATTCCGCTATAATTTTATTTTTAAACTCAAGCGGATAATTTTCCCAAAATTGAGCCAAATATTTCTTGATTTGTCTAGAATCAATAATGTCCCTGATTTGTCTGGGATCATTAATATAAGGATATATCCTTTTAATGAAATTATAAAGCTTCATATATAGAGGCAAAGTCAAAGATTTTGGAATAGTAGAGAGAGATTTATATCCTGACAACTTTTCTTTATAGTAAATTTTATTTGACAAAGAAGCAACAACTTTAAGTTATTTTGACGGGTTATTATTCATCACATTTATGTGATGATGTCTTTTATAGAGAGTGGAGGATAATAAGTATTTTTACATGCATTAAAATAATGAGAATCCTTATATATATTAAAATAATATGCACTTCTATGTGCATCAAAAGCATTTTTATAGTCATTAGAGAAATATGCATGTTTATATGCCAAAACTTGGATTCTAACAGTTACACTACCAAGTTTATTTATCATTTATTGGCAAAATTCTTCTGGGACTATAGTCTCCAGTTATTGTTTATAATGTCAATCATAGTGTCAGTCATTAATTTCAAGAATAAGATGGAACTTTAAACCTATTTTTAAAGATTATTTTTGACGTCTTGCAATTCTTAATAAAAAGATTGGTATATGATTAATTAATTGATCTTCCATAGCATTGCAATAGAGACACCAAAATAAAATTTTGCAATTATTAGTACTCCATGTGGAAGAAAAGCTATAAACATCTTCTCCTATATAATCACAAAAATAGTCAAAAAGTTTTGTCGATTTGGCAATAAGATTCAAAGAGAATGAATCTGGGTTATGACTCATTTTTGTAACTTCTTGGTTTTGTCCTGCAAAATAAATATCTTTTTTTAATATGTTAGAATAGGATGAAAAAATTAATTGATTTTCTTTATAAATTAGATTTTATTTTATTTTATTTATCAATTTTATTTAAGGTGGAGTTATAAATTCAAATAATATTTGTTGACCATTTAAGATCGTCAAAATTCCTTTAGACTCAATCATTTCTATGGGTTTGATTAAAGATAAAAATGGTGTTCATGAGATCACCAATTGATTTAAATTATCAATAAGCATAAAAGTGGTAGGAATACAAATTCCTTTATTACATGCAAAAATATTAGAGAGTTTAAAATTTATATTTAATTTTGACCCATCAGCAACACTGACTAACTGAGTAGTTTTTTTAAAATATTTAGTTAGAATTAATCATGTTTTTATGCAGTTCATATCTACTCCATTACCAATTAGAACAATAGTTTCGATAGTAAACTCATAATTTATAACCAAAATTATTTTAACATACTATTTTTGATAAGTTATTTTTTCTAAAATATTTATATTGTCATTTGGTGATGGTTTATCATCAAAGTTAGATAGTGATGGTAATACTATATCATCTTGTATGTCACTTTCTCTAGATGAATTTTTTTTTTAGAGCTAATAATCTAGACTTTAAGACTTTTATGTTTTCTTTAACTTCATTGATTTCTATCTTTATATTTTGAACCATAGTAGGTCAAGCTTCATTTATATGGAGTGGGCTATCACTCATGTCCTTTTCAGTTATATTAAGGACTTCTTTTAATGAATATGGTTGAGACAAATTAAGTCTCTTTTCTTCTGAATTTATCTCTAAAAATTATTCAATAACTTTTCTTTTGGATTCTAGATCCTGAATTTTATCGATAAAGTCTAGAATAAAATTTTGCGACTTAATCAAAATATTTATACTTAATCCATTCATAGCTAGAATAACTTTATAATAATCATTTTCAGCTTTACAATGTGAAGAACGAGTTTTATCTTGTCTTAAAGATTCTGTTTCTGAAGAAGAATTACTAATTTTATTAATATTATAGTCTTTAGAAAAATTATCAGAATTATCTTCTAACTCACTTTC